ACCAAATAGAACGTGAGCTTGGGCATGCTTCCAGCTCCATCGACTTCAATTCACTTTGTACTGAAAAAAACGTTGCCCCTCTCTCCGTTCCTGCTGCTGTCAGATTCATTTTGATCTTAAAATGTTCACATTAACGGACTCTACGTGATCCTGGTGTTTTTATTTTGCTATTTTGTCTTTATATCGATTCCTGTTCCTTTTATGGAACTCAGCCCCAAATTCGCCCCATAACTGCTAGGCTTTGTGAGTTTCATTTGACTGGAGTCGAATGCTATGGGTGACGCCACACTTCCTTAGCCCACTTCTTCACTTCTTTATACAGTCTATGGCTATTGCATTGTGAGAAAGCAATGCAGATTGAGATGTGAATAGTAATTTTGTTGCTTAGGTCCCCTTTTAGACTATGTTCGATTGACGTGCATGTTAACTTTTATACTTTTACATTACTCTCACCATGTATTCAATCTCCATTAGCGCAAGAAAGATGTGCTGCTGCTGTGGTGACTGATTGGCCTGATGGTGCACAGGGCTCTTGGCTCAGTAGGAGGATGAGAAAAAAATCAGTGCAAAAGCTGTTATTTGTCTGCTATATATAATTCTTTAGCAGCGGCACCTGATCTGACCTGCGCAACATTCATAGGGGACAATGAAAGCAAGCAGTGGGATGCCTCTCGCCTGCTCCCCTCCCCATGCAACGCTTTTTCATCTCTCCTTCCCACAAGCCTGATTCACCACTTGTGACCCTACGGCTGCCTCATTCAAAATAGACAACAAAGTGTCTGAAATGAAAACCAGTGGGCAGTTGGAGATTGTCGTTTGGACTTGGAGTTGGCCGTGCAGTGGTGAGCTCTCTTCCTTTGCCAATACACCCACATGGTGTGTTAACGTTAACACGAGACCCGGGATTCCAGCACTTCGTACAAAGTTGTTTATGATCCAGCGCTCTCATTTCCTCAAAGGAAACAACTTAAAGCTTGTTGGGCCTTTCTAATATTATGTTCCTTGGAAGATCTTGAAACCTGTATCTTTGCATTTACACCACAGTGTCCTATTGCTGTGATCATAAGCACCCCCTTCATGAATAAAGATAGTTTAGGCATCTCCTTTCTCTGTTGTTACTGTGGTGGCCATTATTTATAGTCTTGCTTGGGCCCGGAGTGGCGCGAGTGGGTCTCAGGGGGGATTAGGAAGTGGAGCCAGTGCTACCTATACTGTGGAAGATATACCACCTCACCCCCGCTGAGAAGTTGGAGCAGGAAATGAACTCATAAATCAAGCAGTAAATTGAGTGTAGAGCCGTGCTTACTCATCTCAAGAGGTCCGGTCCTCTTCCTCCACACAAGAACCAGCTTCTTTTGCCGTGTGACTAATGCAACGCTGCACTTTTCTGTAACGCATGTCTTTCCCACTTATCACAAAAAAATTGTTCTTAACTCTGGCCCACAGGCTTACAGTGTGGGAACAGGAGGAGCATCGGCAGAGGTGGGAAACTCCAGCCAATAGATGCCAACCCACCACAAATGTGCACCAGATTTAGAAACTGGAACTCGGTATAATGGAGTGCGCTTCAAGTATTGATACTTTGCAGCTGATGTCATCAACATTCCCCAGGAGTGTGATGATAACTGTAGGCACTGTTCTATCAAAGGCATCTTAGATTTTAATTTGAGCTTTATTTTAACATAATTTGACCAGAAGAACTGACAGCTGGAACTGTAACAGGTGAGCTGATTTGTGCTGTTAAACAAGTATCTCTCCAATAACATTAGCTAACAGTTTTTCAGTTAGTCACTCTCACCTTTTTGGGACCATGAACACCCGTATTAATCACAGACTCCTGGAAATATGTTGTTTAAATCCATGTTGTATTTTATCTTGAGTTTTCAACTACTATCTTAAAATTTAAAAACTTTCAAATTCATCTATTTGCTAATGTGTGCAATGTGTCTCCATAGTAACTGGTGAATATTCTACCAATACACATATATGTAGAACACTCCAGGGTGATGTCTCTGCAAAGTGTGAATATGAGTTCAACCAGGGCAGATAAATGGCACAGACAAATGAGTTGTGATGGCTTCTTTGGCATTTCGTCAAGTGGTGATATTAACAATTATGCAATGAGGAGAGAGAATTATGGATTTATAGAGAGTTAATTTCTGTTAGTTTCTGTCCTGTGAGTGACTTTTTTATTATCAGTACTTGTTATCTAGTTTCAGTACTAGTTTTATTGTCAATTAGTATCTGATTTGTGATACTTTTAACAACCCTATTGTCTATATACCTAAATCTGTTGTCCTACAGCTGAACTTGTTCCCCTCATTGTGATGCTGCTGATAGGAGCAGGGTGTCTTTACCGGACACCGCCTGAGAGAAGATTCTGCCCCCGGGCTACACTGACAGTCACAGGCCCTGTCCACAAGAATTAAAATCTCTATTTATCAAGCGTCGACTGGGGTGTCTGGGGACTGACCAGGGAAAATGGCACACAGTCAGCCTCTTATAGCACTGGGACTTTGCCTCAGAGTTCAACACGCTGGGACGTGCCCATGCAGCTTGTTGTCTTGACAGCATGTGTGGTGTTAAAACAGGCTCTCATCCCCCTTCACTTTATTTTATTGCACTACCAACTCTAATGATCTCAAAATAATCACTTTTTTTAGTTTTGTGCTTTTAAAGAACTCAATTGAAACAAGCAGAATGACATTTATTTGTTACATTTATTTGTCTAACTTTTGAGTACAAATTCTGTACATGTTTGTAGGTGTGTGTAAGTGAGGTGCATCCACCCCTGCTGAGCTGTGCATCCGTTTAAAAAGGGACTCTGCCGCCTCCTGCAGCTCCTCTCCATCACAACAGCGGTAAGCAGCATTTTCCCGGACAGAGAGAAAGGAGGGTGTTTTTTTTTTTTTTTTTTTTTTTTATAGATCCGAGGGAGGTGAAGCAAGGGAGGGAACAGCTGCGCCGAGCTACGATCTCTGCTGACATCTGCTGGCCAAAATTAGTGTAAACTCTAAAGCTCACTCAAATCACAGCTAATTTTCTCGTTCCCTAGGTATTTCAAACAGAGTCTTAGTAATATGCTACTACAGCCTGAATACAATATATAACATTTTACCACTGCTTGATCTTGCATGAATGTAGGTTATTTAAAAACAATTCCATAGTCTAAAAGATTATGAAAAGGCATTCTACATTCACGATTCAACAACAATCTCCAACAAAATAAGTTGATCTTGTTTGCATGGCTTCTTTATGCGGCTTACAAGAACTGCCTACCCGCTGTTTTAGACACCCCCTTTTCAAAGCCCCACAATCTTCTCCCTTCCCCCTTTATCCTGCAACCTGACACCAAGCGCTCGACAATAACGCCGGATCTAGAAATGGTTTTGTCAGAAAATAAAAGCCCAACGAGATTAAATATTACAAACGTGTTCGTTTTACCAATTTTTTGTATTTTACATAATACACAGGATTAAAAATTGACACACGTGATATGAACTAGCTCAATTTGTGAAGTTTTTTTTTAAATACTAACGTTTATTTCCTGGGGACTATTTTAATTTGAAATCATTTACCGGAAGTGTATGTTCCGATCACGTGGTATTGACGTGTTTCTTTTGAGCTCGGATTTAGGAATGTGGAGACCTGCGACGTCACCCTCAAACCGCCCGGGGTCCTGTTTTTAGAAACTTTTTAAAACCATGAACACATCCTTTCAGGTAAGTTTTATAGCAACTTTCAAACCAATATAATGCGTTTATAATGTAACATTTGTGATTTTTATTGCAAACTCATTTTTAGTGTAGTTTCTTTGGATTCTTATGTACCCCTCGCCACTAACAAAGTTAGGGGCGAGGGGTATTGTTTTCGCTCGGTTTCTTCCGCTCTTTTATTATTATTTTTCCTTGCAAACGATCGCGATTTTGAGGGCCTAAACATCGACGACTTTACTGAACCGTATCGAATCGAAAGCGCACTGTATCGAGGTTTGTCTCATATCAGTGACTTCTTAACAACACTCGGCCTCAGTCAACAGGGAAACGTGGCTCTTGCCCCGTCTGGGAGTATGACATCATCACATTCTAGAACCTGAAAACCTCCCAGTTCCATCAGGTTCACGGCGCCGATGACATCATACATGTAAAGTTCCATAAAGCCTTGTTACCATGGAAACTCCGGAACTCAAAGCTAAACTTCAAAGCTTTGTGGGCTTTAACTCAAAGCTTTGTTTGGCCTCGGGGAGATTATAAGAGTAGGCAAATCGCAAATCACAAATCAAAAATCACAAATCGCTTAACGGAAAAGGCACATTTAGCTGAGCTTGACACAGAGCAAATCGTACAAAGATTTCAAACAGTAGACTTCACAGAGGAGACTTTACAGAGTAGATTTCACAGGGTAGGTCGCACTTTTTATCTGCGTAACAGTAAGTACAGCAACACTTACAAAACAACTCAATTATAAAACAAAAATGGCCAGAAATAACAGAGGAAATATACTCGACCTTAAACCATGACCTTAAACTAAAGAACTGTGGTCTTCGTGTGATAAAGAGTAGAGGGGTGTGCAAAAATATTGAAATATCGATATATTGTATCGTTTAATGTGATGACACAGTATCGATATTGTGGGCTGCTCTATCGATATATCACCAAGAGTATTTTTGGTTTATTTTACTAAATGATTTTGTTACAGCTACAGTTTCGTTGTTTGTTTAGTGGAAGGAAACTCATTTGACATTTTCGCTATTTTGAGGATTAAAATGTTTGTGTTTCATATGAACTTTGCACAAGAAGTGGTTTAACAAAGATTTTCCATGATTTAGCCTTTATTTTTTACTGAACCGTATCGAATCGAAAGCGCACTGTATCGAGGTTTGTCTCATATCAGTGACTTCTTAACAACACTCAGCCTCAGTCAACAGGGAAACGTGGCTCTTGCCCCGTCTGGGAGTATGACATCATCACATTCTAGAACCTGAAAACCTCCCAGTTCCATCAGGTTCACGGCGCCGATGACATCATACATGTAAAGTTCCATAAAGCCTTGTTACCATGGAAACTCCGGAACTCAAAGCTAAACTTCAAAGCTTTGTGGGCTTTAACTCAAAGCTTTGTTTGGCCTCGGGGAGATTATAAGAGTAGGCAAATCGCAAATCACAAATCAAAAATCACATATCGCTTAACGGAAAAGGCACATTTAGCTGAGCTTGACACAGAGCAAATCGTACAAAGATTTCAAACAGTAGACTTCACAGAGGAGACTTTACAGAGTAGATTTCACAGAGTAGGTCGCACTTTTTATCTGCGTAACAGTAAGTACAGCAACACTTACAAAACAACTCAATTATAAAACAAAAATGGCCAGAAATAACAGAGGAAATATACTCGACCTTAAACCATGACCTTAAACTAAAGAACTGTGGTTTTCGTGTGATAAAGAGTAGAGGGGTGTGCAAAAATATTGAAATATCGATATATCGTATCGTTTAATGTGATGACACAGTATCGATATTGTGGGCTGCTCTATCGATATATCACCAAGAGTATTTTTGGTTTATTTTACTAAATGATTTTGTTACAGCTACAGTTTCGTTGTTTGTTTAGTGGAAGGAAACTCGTTTGACATTTTCGCTGTTTTGAGGATTAAAATGTTTGTGTTTCATATGAACTTTGCACAAGAAGTGGTTTAACAAAGATTTTCCATGATTGGCCCTCGCCACTAACAAAGTTAGGGGCGAGGGGTATTGTTTTTCGTCGGTTTCTTACGTTTGTTTGTTTATTATTATTGGCCCGCGCCGGGGCGAGGGCCACCATCGCCGCGCGCGGCTTTAATGTGTATTATTATGCGTTATGTGGAAATAGAGGTCACAAAAGGTAGGACGCTAACTTTGGATTATTTTTGTTAACGCGAAATGAAAAAAATGTGCTTACTTTGTAATTTAAGAGGGATGAAATGGGCCTGGACATGTTCATGCACGTTTGGTTGGCTTTGTTAAGGTCAAGAAGAATCATTAAAAAAAGTCTCCCTCAACGATTGTTTTCGGTAATTTGATTCCCTAAGATTCACGTAAAATAGGCTAGTTTTAAAAGTTAACAACGTAACTAGGTAGTTGAACCTTTGTTTGTAGCTAACAACGCAGCAATTTTATAGTTTTTTTCCCTGTCAAAACTAATAATGCGTTTGTGTGCTTTAATCGCTGACTTAAAGGTATTCCCAAATCCCTCATGGACTCTGTATTTCAGGTACAGTGGGGGAAACATGTCCTAATGCTACCCATGTTTTGGTAACATTTTCTCCCCAGGGACGCTCGAGTGTGTCTCCATAGTAACGGCGGCGTTGTGAGCGGCAAGGGGGCGGAACCGGAGAGAGACGACGGCTGCTCCGTGTCCTGTGGTCGGTAGAGGCGTAAAACATCAGCCGACGATGGTAAGGAAAACGCGGCTGTGTATGGGCACCTGCGTGTTAGGTAGATAGCGACTGCAGTGGTGGAATCTAGCTCTGCTTCTCCTTTGTATTTGCTGTTCAAGGCTGCATGATGAGGTTGGAGGTGTAATTAGCATTTTCTCTTTCTCATTTCATTTCAGCCATTTCAAGGTGGCTTCTATTACCCTTACAACCGTGACAACCAGGGGGCCCATTCTTCAGCTGGGATTCCTTCCCTTCTTAATTCTCCGTTCAGCCAGCAGTCTGTGAATGGTCATTGTGCACCAGGTATGACTCCTTCCAGTGGCATTTCCACGGCTCCCCTCTTTAGGTTTCAGCCGCGGAGGGAGAGCGTGGACTGGAGACGAATAAATGCTGTGGACATTGATGCGGTGGTCAGTCAGATGGATGTGGCGGTCCTTCAGGACTACATCAACGCGGTGACGTACTGCAGCTTGGATGATGAGCGCTGTCCGCGATGTCAGAGTCCAGTAGACCCTGCTCTGATCAAGCTCTTTCGCCTGGCCCAGCTCACCGTTGAGTACCTGCTGCACTGCCAGGAGTTATTGACAGTGGAAATGCATGCATTGGAGGAAAGGCTTGAGGTCGCTGGTAAGGACCGTTTACAGCTGCTGGCTCAGCAAAAGGAGAAAGAAGAACAGATAAAGACATTAAATGAAGAGCTAAAACAGAGAAAGAAGGTCATTCGCACACAGCAGAGGATACTTGCACCAAGCATCGTCAACAGCCACAAGGTATTTCATTTAATACAATTGCCATCTGAATTCATTTACATTTAACATGTGTGTAGCACGGTGACAGCTCTCCCCCTCCTTCGCCTGTCTCCTCCCCCCATGCCTCTGTCATTGTTCTATTGATATATTCATAGCTTGCTTTGTGCAGCTTGGAACTAAAATGTCACAACCTTATTCCAAAGCAAAATGTATCCTTTTTGAATTCAGAGCAAATATATTTGTTTGTGTTATTATTACAGGTTTTATTTTAGTTTTATTTTATGAAAATTTCCATGTGTAATATCTATGAGAAACATCACAGTAAACTGTACACATTCATGTTATGTTGTTGGCATGGCTTTAATAAGCTTTGAACTTGAGGTTAAGGATTAAAAGGGGCAGAGCAGATGGTGTCATTAGGTTACAATTATTTGTAAAATCCACTTATAAAAACATGACAAAACTCCAACTGGAGTGGCATCTTATTGTTTTTGTATGTGATTATTGTTTAGTTTAAAAAAAAAATCTAATTTCTTTAATAACCCCTGCTGTCATCTTGATGTAGACTTTGACATCTAACCTAGCCAAGCAGTTACCAGGGCAACTTATGTAGTGTGTCTTGACAGCATGTGGTTGCTAGGTGTGTGCTAGCAGCTCGGCTAACACAAGTGGCTCAATAATTGATAGAGAAGCCATGTGTCCTCTTAAGACCTGTGCTGTTTGCCCTGAGTAAATATATTAGCTCTACTTTCACCTCCAAGAGGCCTTAGTATATTTTATTTGATTTAGCATCAGGCTTCTCAATTTGAAACTGTTGTTTATACTTAAATCCTTGGCATATGGTGCGACAAGATATCACTATCAGCCCGATTAACATTGAATGAAGTCACAGCGTTTGAGCTGTAGAGTTAAATGTAGCGTGTGATGTGTGTGTGTGTTTATGGCGGGGAGAGCGTGTGAGTGTAGCGTCTCCTGCCTAAGGGAGTAGAGCAGCATTACTTGTGCTGTCTAGAGTTTGGATATGATGCCATGCTTTCAAATCCATAACCCTCTATGTTTGAAGACTCATTCAGAATTAGATTTGCTTTCTGATTACCAGCTTCTATAAAGTAGATCATTGTTGATTTTATGTTTATGGAGACACCACTTAACTAAGGCTTTTTGTGCTTTTAACAGTGTAATATTAACAGACTTATTCTTTGTTTTTGTTTTTTCTGTTTGTTTTTCTAGTGTCTGCATTGTGAAAAATCCTTTCTAAATGCTACTTTTCTCCAAAATCATATGCAGAGACGCCATCCAGAGGAGTATGATGCCAGTAAGTTAAATAAAATGCTTCATTAAATTTTCATCTGTCTGTTGTTAATTAATTGTAATACCGGTACTTGTATTTCTCAGAATTGCTGTCAGATGGTGAAAGGAAGTCAGAGATCGACAGCCTCAAATCAGAGATTACTGCTTTAAAGGAGGAGATTGTTCAGCAGCAATTGACCCTACAAGCCAAAATAGCCCAGGTACAAGTTAATTCCAATTCATGTATATATAAATAGGTAAAGCTTATATGTTAAATCATGTTACCTTTTTGGTTCAGGAAAAAGAGCAGGAGTCTTTGCACAGAGACCTAACAAGGGAGCTGGATCGTTTTAAGGCAGAGGAGATGGCTCGAATGGACAAAAAGATTGAGGGTTGTAGAGACGGTATACGGCGGGAGATGGAATTTCTGTACACTCGGAATATTCAAGCTCTTAATGTACGCACAGTTTGATGTAACCTTTACCCTCCATGTGTAATGTTATATAGTAAGGCATTAATCTATCTAATAACAATTATTAGGAAGCAAATCAGCAGCTATCAACAAAACCAGGAAAGTCCAGTCCTGTGCAAATGGAACCAGAAAAAGACTTGGACAACTATAAGGAAATGCAGAAACAAGCGATACATAAACTTGAACAGCAACTCAAGAAGCAGGTGACTCTAACTAAAAATTACTTGCACAAAATGTAAATAAAAGTAAATTAGATAAGACCCTCAAATACCCTAAAAATGTTGTGTTTTAGGACAAAAAGTTTGAATCTAGATGGCAGGATATGAAGGATCAGCATGAAGCAGAGAAAAATCAGGTATGTTTTTGCTCATCTTTGACTTTTATTTATAATTTTCTTATATATCATAACAGAATAATCTGTCTTTCTCTGTGGGTTAGTTACTGAACGAGCTCAACAGAATGCAGATTGTGGTGTCAGAGCAACAGGAGCACAGCCAGAAGCTCAAGCAGGAGTGGGGCCGAAAACTGCTGGAGAAGGAACAAATCATCAAGAACCAGAAGGAGCAGGTCAGTCCTCATTCACAGTATCACACAGCCATTTACGCCGACAGGAAACACACCACAGGGTCAGGCCTTGTTCAGGATTTCCTTTATTAGCTGCATACAATGTTTAAAGACACCATACTGTACATTCAAAAGAGGTGACGCTGTAAGCTCAATTTATAAGAAATTTTGCTGAGTATTTGGTTTGTTTTACAGATAAAGAAGATGGCGTCTAGCCCACCAGCCAAAGTTGTTGAAACACAAGGTAAATTTAAAGAAGTTTACTTTTTGTTTATTTTCAAATTTAAAATAAAAATATAAAACATATTTATTCTTTTCATCAGTTCTACACACATCTGCAGCACCAGAGCTTAAACAAAAGAGAGTTGTTCTTGGTAAGTAATATTCTTTACAAAGACAGAGCTTATTTTCCTTTTTGAAAATGCACAGTCATAGCATTATGTTTATAAAGAAAAATCATATCAGGTCTAGCATGCTTACTGTCTCGCTTCATTTATCTGACATATATAATGACCTCTGACCTGTGCTGTCCATAAAGAGGAGCCCCCCTCTGCTCTTATGCTGGATCCTATACAGGAGCTGTCAGAAGAGGACAGAGGTAAAATAGATGCAGCAGAGCCGCCTGAGTGCATGCTGTCTGCATGAATGTATCAGTCTGTCCTTAAAGGTCATTTCATCAGGAGTTTAGTCTTAAACCATCTTAAATCACTTTAGTATGTTGATCGCAAAGGCATTAAGATGACCTCATCCCTCTTAAAGATCCTTGTGAGCATTAAACCATATTATAATGCTGTTACCTCCTCAGAAAAATACCTGGAGTTTAGTTTTGTTTTATTCACACGTTTCACTAACCCCTTATCCATCCATCCATCCATCTGCACCTTGTGATGTCATGAAGTATTACTTCTCAAGTTAACAGCTACCTTTTGCCTTTAATTCAGTAGAGATTGGCAATTCCAGATGATGCTAGTGAAGATGTATGAAGTTTAAAAATACAGTGGAACACTGTCCCATGTGTGAATGAAACAAAACATAACTTCAGGCAGTTTGCAATGAGGAAACAACAATATAAGACTGATCAGAAAGTAGTGTAATATGGGCCCTTTAAACTGGATAATAATCTCTTACAGCAGTGCCAATAGTTCAGAGTTCAGAGTCATTATTTAGAGTGACATCTTTGTGCCTTGATGGCGCACACTTGCATGGAGGCATTCTCGTCTGGCTTCCCCACTCAACCTTAAATCTCTTCATTTATCTTGGCATGCAGCGCTTGTATCACGCTGCTTTATATTTCAGTACGACATTGTAAACACACACTAACAGTGTCCTGCTACTTTCCAGAGTCCAGCAGTGTGTCTGAAGCAAAGCCAGTGGAGAGAAAACCAGAGCCAGCACCAGAGAAGAAAAAGCGGACCGCCATCAGTGCTCTAAGAAGAAACCCCAACCTCAGGAGAGAGATGAGGCCAGAGCTGGAGAAATCTGTCATTACAAAGCTCGAGAGCTATGGAGTCAAACCTGTGAGTACAGTCATACTAATACACATTTTCATTAGCCAATATTATCAATTATACATTTAAACATACTGTTCTGGCAGTTCTGAAACTAAACTTTTCAAATTTTTCATAGATCATAGATTTTCTGGGAATTTTTTTTTTAATTTTTAATCTGTTTCTGAAACTTTATAAACCTCAAAGTTATTAAAACATTTTGCATAATTTAGCATTTTTAAAAGGCATTTTGAGACTTAAAACAACAACATTACGGATATTAGCTATCACGTAGCTGCTTAGCCTCTGCAATGTCTTTGTACTCTTAATATTTGAATTTTTCATAAAGTCTATGGGAAAAATGAATGGATAACCTACCTCCGAAACTGGAATGAACGGTCACTGTTGAGCCCTATACACCAAGTGCATATGATGCCATCTGCTGGAGGACACATAGCAATACAGAAGCAAGCATTTAGAAAATTAATGTTATGCTATTATTTGAAAAGTCAGTTTTGGCTTTAAAAATATTTTAGTAAACTTTGATTTACCCATTGTTAAGCTTCATAGTTATTGGAAATAGAATACATTTGTTTGAGTTTTAGATTTAATATTTCATCTGTTTCTCTTCTCAGAATCGTACTGGACTGAAGACCAAAGAGATGGAGTCTATTCTTGTCAAGGTGCATGCGGAGCGAGAGAGGAAATTGAAAGAGCAGCCTGATTACTGGTCTTATTGGCAGGAAATTAGCGATACTGTAGACAACAAACTGGGATGCCCAAAGAAGAGCCACGATCACAGAAACAAACAGCCAATGCAAGGTATTAGAAATCACTCATGCTTTCACAATCTGGTATGTGGACCATGCTTTGTCATTCTCAGTGTATTTAATGAGCATGTGTTTGTGTAGTGTTACAGATCTATCCTCGTTCCAATAGCCTGCCTTCCAAAGCAACAAATGTGATGTCTGTTTCTTCAGAGAGGCTATCCAAAACCCCACAGCCCGCCCCGAGATCTAAGTCTGTGTCACTACCAAAAACCTCCACCCCCAAGGACAAGACCCCGTTGAGAAGATACCCTTCCATGTAAAGACCTACATAGACCTATTCACTAAATTATTGTTTGGTCAACAGGTTTTGATTTTGAGTTGATTATGTTGATAGTGCTATACATTTTTACTTCATCATTTATTTTATAGCATTTCTGACAAGGTAGCATACATTGGCTTAAAGTCCTTAATTATTTTGAACAATCTTTGTGTAACTCTCAAGGACCTCTCCTTTCAGCTCAGACGAAGAATCTGAAGAAGAAGAGACAGATGCCGAGGAAGAGCTTCAATTGGACCAGAGGAAAAAATCCAGTGTGGTCCAGAACAGAACCACTCCAGTTCTAACCAAACAGGCCTCAGTCACCTCAGTCAGCAGCCTGCCTACTAGAGGGCTGACCACAGAAGTTACCAAGACAACGGTGATGAAGATAGACAGTGAAGATGAGGAAACGTGGTCCGAAGTTAGCGAGCTCCAGGAGATCGATCCTAAAGGGCTTCAGAGCTTCAAAGACCAGAATGGGAATGTGGAGAGGAAGAGCTTTGGGAAAGGTAATACAAACAATTGTATTCTGTAAATTAATTAACAACAATTGTATGGTTTAATCTTTTGTTTTTTTCTTTTTTTTCAGAGAACAAAATCAGTGAAATGGGCAAAAAAATTGAAAAGCAGTTTACAGACAGGCTGGGCAAGAAACCAGCAGGGGGCATTAGCATTTTTCCTGAGAGGAAAGATGAAGTCCAAGAACTCTCAGTAAGACCTTTTATGATTAAGTAAATTAATTGAGTTCAAAATTAAATATAATGATAAAATTGTGCATAGTTTAAATAAATATTGAAAATGCTAATGTCCTGCTTGTTTGTGGCAGTGCACAGATCTAGAAGAGAGCAATGAGTGGGTCTCGTCTTTAGAGGAGAGAGTGTCTAAACCTGTCCATGGCTCTGTACCACTGAGGAAGAGCCTGGACTCAGCCAGCACCAGTGTGTGGGGTACGTCCACCGGAAAGGGACCCAAGTCAAGTCAGTAGTCTTAGGGCTTGATATATACCACAAATATGTTTCAGTATAATTAAGTGTCATTTTAACTTTGACTTTTGTTTTAAAGGTTTGACTGAAGCCAGTACAGGAAGCACTTTGAAGAGCAGCATTTACTCCATTAGTGATGCCAGTGATGATGACTTTAGCAATAATTAAATAGAAAATATTACGAAGGCCATATGCAAAACCCAGTGTTGTGCATGAACGAGTTCAGTGAACTTTGAACTGAACGCAACACTTTTGTAAATAAATAACTTGAACGTGAATTTGTTCAAATTATGTGTGATGAACGACGTACGTCACTGTTGGGGTTCAGTTAAACGTCGGAATTTGACGAGTGAAGATCTGCTCGCACTTCACCTCGCGAAACCACAGCCGCGTGTCAACGCGAAGGCGACTCCACCGGCAGCTTTAGCGGAACGTACGGGCTCTTGTGTCTCTCAATGGGAAGTCAATCAAACTTGACTGGGCGCGTTTAGCTGCGTTCTGTACAGGCTGACCACGGCAAACGCAAGGCACTAATTAACAGTCTATGTGGATCTGGGCTCTTTCACATGATACACAACTGCCCAGGGAGCACAATGTGCTGATGGTAAATGCACAAATACAACAATAAATACATGCTCTCTGTGTATTTTGACGGGGACGCTCGTGTAGAGCGTCAAAAAATAGGATGGATCCTATTTTCTGAAATCTACACGCACAGGACGTGCTGCTCCGCGCGCGTATTATTTTACTTGGTACATATGTCAGTAACGCGCGTCACAATGCTTTTCTAACCTGGATTGAAACGGTGGGTTTTTCGTTTTTCTTCATACAAATTTGCTAAAATCACCGCGATATCAGCAGCGGTGAAACGCCGGAGGTGCGCCCGCGTAGACCGTGATCCTGAGCGAAAGGACAGACGCAGAAGTCCGCGCTCCACCGAGATAAACGCAGCTGACGCCCGATCGCACTCGGGGTTCTCTCAGGGGCGGTCCTAGATTCCAAGTTCTAGTCCAGGATTAGTCCTGGTTTGGTCCTGGTTTAGTCTTGGTTTAGTCCTGGTTTAGTCCTGGTTTAGTCCTGGTTCAGTCCTGGTTCAGTCCTGGTTTAGTCCTGGTTCAGTCCTGGTTTAGACCTGGTTTTGTCCTGGTTTAGACCTGGTTCAGTTCTGGTTTAGTCCTGGTTCAGTTCTGGTATAGACCTGGTTTAGTCCTGGTTTAGACCTGGTTTAGTCCTGGTTTGGACCTGGTTCAGTTCTGGTTCAGTCCTGGTTCAGTCCTGGTTTAGACCTGGTTCAGTTCTGGTTTAGTCCTGGTTTAGACCTGGTTTAGTCCTAGTTTAGACCTGGTTTAGTCCTGGTTTAGTCTGGTTCAGTCCTGGTTCAGTCCATATACGGCGCAAAGGTTCAGCATCTTAACAGTTCTTTTGGTGAGAGTAAATTAAAAGTGCTGCAATAGTCGTGTAATGTTTTACATTTTAAATACAGTAATATTGTAATGTAACAAATGACTTTGAAATGACAGTAACAAGTCATAAATAACACATTACAGTTTTAAAGTCACTTGTCCAACAGTGTATCTTGTAAAGTTGTTGTAAACTAGAAGTCAGTTTGAAAAATAAATGCAGCCTTTCATTTACAGATCTCATCTAAATATAAAATGAACTGAACTTTGAACTAGTTCAAAATTTAAATTGTGAACTATGAACGTGAACTATTCACTTTGAACAAGTGTGAACTGAACTTTGAACTAGTTCATGAAAAGTGTGAACTTGCACAACACTGGCAAAACCATGAACCTCAGCCAGCACCGCTACAACTCCTCTACACACACCAAATAGCAATATACTGGAGACAATATTTCAATTTCAAGGGAATTACACTGTTAAAAATATCTTTATGAAATAAGGAAATAACATACCTTTGTTTGACTAGATTGCACTATTCTAATGTAGGAATACCTTGTGCCAATGTTGTACGCCTATGAACTGTTTTATTATTAACGTAAATTCAAAGGTCACAGATGAGTTGTTTTTTAGTAAAGACGCATTTATTACTATGTTACCAGTGTTTTGTACAATATATTTTGTAAGTTTTTAACAAAAAAATGTATAGAAAGTATTTATACAGAACAATAAAAGTTTTTCATTACAATGTATTCTCAAAAGAGTTCTTGTCAAAATGTGAATGCATGTGTGTGTGTATTATATTTATCTGTGTAAGTATTGTATGTATTTTTTTTAACAATACCCTTAAACAAAAGTGTCTCGGTTGTATGTGTTGATGGTTTTTGCAGATCTTGTCCCTCTTGTTCTGCTCTTTCTCCCTTCGTAGAACAGAGGTGGGACCAGGGTTACTCTGGAGGCAGGAGCCATGTAGGTGCGCCTGCTGCGGCTGGTCACATAAGTCCCATACACTCTGCGTCTGTCTGTGGAACTGATAATTATGCAAAATATTTAGGATCTGTATTGTTTCAGTATCAAATGTTTGACATTTTACCTTGATGGCACGCTTTCTTTCCCTGAGAAGTATCCTTGTACAATTCCCCCACAAATGAGCAGAATTGAGCCTCCCCATCCAACAAAAACAGCAGCACCAAGCTCAAATCTAGAAGTATATAAATATATAACAGTATTTCTTATTTTCTGTAAAACACACTTAAAGGCCCACTGTGCCACTTTTCTGGTAGAGACTCTGCTACCTACTTGCCTCCATGGAGATGTTATTGCTTTATCTGGAATGTTCCATGGTATGACATTAACATATCTATCATTACAGGTGTTTCTATTGCTCAAAACTGTAACCTGCTTGTCACCCTTGTCATAGATCTATACTGTACTGGAACATTCTAGAGAAAGCAATAACAATTCCATGGAGACAAGCAGCTGACAGACCAACCACTTGAAATGTTACGCAGTTAGACCTTTAAACTTTCACTTACTTTTGAGCCCTGAAATTTGGATCCACAAACTCACTAATAACTTTATGGGCCCACCAGGAATAGGTTATCATTCCACAGAATCCTACAAGAAAACACACTTTTATTATACTTGTCATTAACTGTTACATTACTTACTTACTTAATTCATTATTATTATTATTTCTACCTGAAGCTAAGTAGGTGAGTGCTCCAGCAAAGGTGACTCTTGCATTAACAATCTCTGATCCTCCTATTTTCGTGCATTTCATCCCAATGAGAGTGAGGACTCCACCAAAGAAGCCTGTGATTACTGCACACACAGCCAGAGCTCTGCATGCATGTAAGAACACTAGGAAAAAATACATTACATAAATAATTACAGTAATTTAAATTTGTGATGTTATATTTTCTTATATATGTTTAAGTCTTACCAGGCAGAGCCAACATGGAGGGGTATTCCTTGCAGTCTGAGACCCCAGTAGTGTCAGATACACAATCCCTCCACAAGTTAGAGTAATAGTTGGCTGTGGTCAAGACAATGCTACCTACTTCAGAGAAAGTCCAGTATTCTGTGGGGAGAGTGGAGCAGACCAGTATCCATCCACATAAACAGCTCACAAAACAGCCAATCTCTACATACATAACCACTGTCCGATACTTCATGGTGAGTAGATTTCCCCCAAAGAAAAGACACTAACTTTGACAGACTGTTAGTGGTTTCACTGATGTATTCACGACAAAGGGCTGTAGCTGTTTGGCCAGTTCTTATCTGTTAGATTGTTTTGCTCCATAAGCACCTTTTTGTTCCCAGGGCTGGACTCAGAAATGCTCAGAAAGATGATGTCATATGTTTAAAATGGCTTTATACTTAAAACTATAATTTATTTTGTTTTTATTTGAAGGTTTTTCCGCTTTGTTGGTAACTGGCACTGTTACACATGATAACTACTAGTACCATTACTTTTGCAAACAGTACATTACCAGTTCACTGTTTTTATTAAAAGCATCATCAAAACTGTTATTTCCTAAAAAACACTTCATTTCATACTGTATGTAACTACATATATGTTAAAGGGCACATATTATGCAATGTTTCTGCTCTGTGTTACAATGTTTCCTCATTACAAACATACCTGGAGTTGTTTTACTCACACATGTTTACCACACAAATCCTGCATATTTAGGCTGAGTTCTTCTCTCAAACAGAAAACACTTTCCACCTTGTGATGTAATGTGGTAATACAGCAGGTGCTCCACTGTGCTTTTAAACTTCATACACCTTCACTAAAATTATTTGGGTAATTTTATGGAACTGCTTATCTCTATTGAACTAAAGGTAAAAGGTAACTGTTAATTTGAAAACTACAGTTTCATAACATCACAAGGTGGAACAGAACATTTGAAGTTGCTGATTTTTTACTTCAATTTCCACAATACATCACAAACATGTATTTTGTTACTTCCCTCATAAAAACATTTTACTGTCAATGTATTTCAACAGTCTCTTCCATCTGTGTGGCAGGAGAATCTGGAAATTGTTTGAGGTGTAAACAACACTGCTCAGGCCTGACTGAGGGACAGTACATTACGTAAGGAAAACAAGACAAAGTAGTGAGTGAATTTACAAATGGGGAGGTGTCTGCCTGAGAGCGCACACATGCAAAACACATGTTGTTTCTAACATTATCATAACATATTAATTAGGGATGCACCGATCTGATACTGGTGTTTGATATTGGTGCAGATACAGAAAATTTTCCTTGGTCAGATATCTGCTACCAAATATTGGTTTATTCAGTATCCTGGTTGGACGTATAAACTGATGTAATAAGGCTATTTTCTGATTGTAGTCAGCCCCATAATGATGAACTTTTGAACTTTTATTTACGCAACGTTACACAAAGAGATAAATAACAGTTACATAGCACATCTGGATCACTTTTGTCTTATTTTAGAGCGAGAGTGAGAGATAATTTATTGATACCAATTTAAATTCAAGATATTGTTTAAAGGAAATAGTTAATATTGGTCAAAATCAGTATCGGATTCAAAAAACTGGATCGGTGAATCTCTCTACATACAAATTTGTTTGTTCTTTTCTCTTTGTAGTTCAAATCAGAGATGAGTTATTACAGTAACATGAATGAGCATACTTATACTGTTTGTGTGTACAGTCTGTTCTTCATTGCTTGATTGAACTATAATTCCAGCCTCCAAATGTATTGATTTAAAATAATCAACCAAAATTTAAGTACATTTTTTATTATGCAACAATATTTTACAAAATGCTACAATATAGTTCACATGTCAGGCCTTCATGTATTAAACCAGTGATCTTAAGTCTTTAAAAAAAAAAAAAAAAAAATTTATATGTAGGAATTCTTTACAAACTGCGCTGATTCACTCTTGGAAATTCCCGATATTGTAGACACTGTCCGGCTGCTCCCACTGCTCCCACTGCTCCCACTGCTCCCACTGCTCCTACTGCTCCTACTGCTCCTACTGCTCCTGCTAGACCCTGAGATGGTGGATAAACTGGACCTGGAAGACCTCCCTGACTCTGAGCCTAATCTGGAGGTGGAAGCCCGGGAGCCTGCTGCCCTGGGGCTTCTGGGAGTCCTGGATGTTCTGGATGTCCGTCCTGTTTTGGAGGTGCGAGCCGACCTGGAGGAGATTTCCGATACATCTGACTGTTTGGATGAAAGCTCAGAAATGGAGGAAAGTTTGGACTGGGAGGTGAGGTCCGACTGGGTGGATAACACTGTGGTAGACTTGTTTAAGTTGGTTGTGGTGTTTTTCTCCACGTCTGGTAAACCTCTGACAGCTACCACCCTGGAAAAAAAAATACATGTTCACATTTTGTGATTTGGTCCTCAAATATTCAAACAATAGGTAGAAGTACTACGATAAATACTGACCCTAAAATAATATTGTTCCTTCTGACATATATTGAACTCAACATTGTAATTATCGCAACAGGCCTAGTTCTAAGTGCACTGCTATTTCTTAAACCAATAAAGCCGTACAATATACAAATATTACTTTCAAGTCAGTACATGTTTGAAATTTATGTAAGGTGACTCATCGAATTCCTCTTACAACCAACGTGAATATGCAAATCTTATGTATAGTTTATGGGCAGGTTTATAGTCAAATATGATCCACATGTTTTATCATCTGGGAAAGCTCTTAAAGTAATACCGTAATTAAATAAAGCTGTATAGATCTACAGCAAACAGGAAATCCTTTTAAATACTCCCTTATTCTTCCCTTCTATAGCTTTAGGCCATGTTTGCTTACTGAGTCGAAGTGTACACACATGTGGTATTTAATAGGAAACATGTCGCCTTAACTTTCGTGCTATTTATTGCGGAAGTGGAGCTCTTTATTTACCGATGGCCCCTCTAACTTCTTGAAATAATAATGATATGTTTTGTACACTCACACTGGCTCTCCTCCTCCACACAGGGGCTTGCACACAGACCACAGGTAGAAGAAACCACCGGCCATATGGAAGGCAGAACCAACCCAGCCCAAGAACAGTGGCGTACCAAGGTCATATCTGCGTTTCAAGATGTGGAACATGAATTGAAAATCACCTCAGTGACACAAAAACAGATTAAAGGTCCCACATTACACTATTTTCAGATCTATGTTATAATGTTGTTTCCTCATCAAAAACATACCTGGAATTTTTGTTCCATTCACACATGTTTATCACACAAACTCTACATTTTTTGGCTGTATTCTTCCTTCAAAATGAAAACACTGTCATGTCATACACAGGAAGTGTTTTTAAACTCCATACACCTTAACTAGAATCATTTGGATAATTTCAGCCCTGGAATTGATCATCTCTACTGAAAACACAACTCCGGGTATGTTTTTTTTTATTGAGGTAACAACATTATAATGTGGTTTAAAGAGTCTATTTTGTCTAATATAGGACTTTTAATATGTATTTGTACTTACTTGAGGTCTTGGAAGTCAGGGTTAAAGTATTCCACGGAGACATATTGAGCATAAACAGCGTATCCACTTGTAGACAGCACACCTAAAGATAAAATATTACCTCCAGATTTCAGAACATGCATGTGATTTGAATGAATGAAGGCAACACAAAAATATAGGCACAATTTTAAGGAAGGTAATTAATTAACATTTCCTGGGGGTGTTAATTACTTACCACCCCCTAACTGAATGCACTACTCTATTAGAAGCTCTGTTACTCAAGTTTGATTTTAATCTGAGCTTTAGCTTAACACAATCTGACCGCAAAGAGCTGATTTAAACGCCTCTCACACACTCTGACCGTTTTTGTTCAAAATCAAACACCTAAAAAGAACCATGAACTCTCATATTGATCACAGGCTGCTGAAAATGTTTTTCTTAAATCCTGTTTGTATTTTTTCTTGAGTTTTCAGACGATCTTAAAGTGTTTTTGTCTGTGTTTGCCAGTGTGTGTAGTGTCACCATGGAAACTGCAGTATGTCACTGCTAAGTATCAATAGTGCTTTACAGAACAAAAAGGTTTCAAATAACATAAAATTGACAACAAAATATTACAGACAAGAAAAAAATAGATAAATAAATATGAAAAAAACAAACAAACAAACATTAATTTACCACTTATAATATGACACCATCCTCCAGCGTAGACCTTCTTGTATTTAGAAAGATCCTGGCCTCCAAGATATGTGCACTCCATTCCCAACATACTAAGCACAAAGCCAAGCATGCCCAAAGAAAGGGCAGCCATTAGCAACCCACGCACTATTTGGATGTGTCCTGGAAAAGAAATAAAACAAGCAAGTGGGAATCATTTGTTTTTTTTTATATGAAGACAATATACGGACTTACCCTCCACTGACCACAACACTGGGAAGTCATAGCAGTTGCTGACAGCAGTGGAGTCTGTAAAACAAGACCTCCACAGACTAGACCAGTACCAAGCCACTTTGATAATGGATGATCCAGCCATGCCTCCAATAGAAGTGATTTTCCAGCCCTCCATCGCCATGGTGCAGGCCACAAAAATCCACCCAAGAACTGTCATGAGGAAGCCCCATATCTGCACCACTCTGATCTTCATATTATGTATTTGCCAAACTTCACAGCTAAAAATGTCCTTGATGTTTTTAATCCATAAAATCCAGTCTGATTGTCCTTTGTCTCTCCACTATCCACAGATCATTGTTCATCCTAAAGGGCTACAGGACTCACTGAGCTGCTCTCAACTGAAGACAATCTCAGGTACAAATCTGAGCCATTCAGCGACTTTATAAAACAAAACATGAGGGTGAAAGACTGCACCCAAGTTCCCATAGATGTTGGCAAGTTAAAATTTGAGTGCTAAGCAAATGTCTCATATTGCAGTCAGTTCCTTCCTTATTTAATATCTCTTTATCTGTTATATAATAAGAAAGTTGTGTTTGTAATTAGAATGTATTTTTGGTTGGCACAAGCTTCAAACTTATTGAGGATAGACTTTTCAGCATTGCTGTTGAAATGTTAATGACACTAATCTGCAATAATCTCCTGAAGAATCTCATACATATTGGCTGTGAGAAGTTATTAGCATGGATGCTCTGACCTTCTCCACTGAAGGCGATGTACATTCTTCACTTTGCCTGAGGCCTTAAGCCTGTTATTAGTCATACAACATGACCTCTTTGTATGAAGGGCCCATTAAAACACCAACGTCTTAGTCCAAATTATAATTACTCTTACATGTGGGTTAATATAAGATACAGGGGGGGAGGAATGTTCTTTAAGATGAGATGAAAGACGTCTTCTTCACATTTAAGTCCTGAAATATTGACAAAGTTAAACATAGGAGCAATGAATAAATCCTCTATTTAAAACTATAAAGGAGTCTGACACTCACTGTAGTGTAGGCAACAGATTATAGTATATCCAAACAAACTGAACAACAATCTTCTCCTTTATTAAATGCATGATCTGTATTTGATTTAAATATAAAAAGGGCAGTCTTCAAACGTTGGTTATTTTCATTGTGATGTTTTACTGCCATCTAGTGGAATGGTAGTGCATGAGACACATTTAGTCAACAATTTCAAATGTATATCTTATTATTTACAAATGTCTTGATTATACGATGCAAATAAAATAAAGTATAGTGAATAGTTTTATAGATGGAAAACAATGCATCCTTTTACCCCAGTGCAGTGGACACCTGACACTTGTTTACTGATCTAACGTTGTGAAGCACAGCCTCTGCTGGTTCAGGTATCAGAGCAGACCTGGTAACAGAGCACTGGGGTTCTTCTGATAATATTCACAGGTGGAGATGGACGAGGAACGTCTGGTCAGAAGAACTCTGATCTGAGGAGATAGCACCAGGCTGGACACTCAGTGACCTGGAGGTTAAATCCATTTGAAATGACATTATAGACAAATGCATGTAACTGAAATAAACCATATAATACATGTTATTATGATCTCCATGTAAATGCACATAAACTTTTTAAATTATACTCTTATCCTATTCATAGAGGAATGTCCAAAGAATCTCTCAAATACACATTCAATATCATTGGAATTATAAAAGGGGATTTGGACACAGACAACTTGTTGAAGGAGACTGGTGAGTTTTAGGCAAGCTTTGTGCCAAATCAAATTTCCTGTTCCATCACAAAAATGAGTGTGTACTTTTAACAAGTCACTGACAGAATAAGCTGATGCTGGTACAAACACGTGGAACAAAGCAGAAGTTTTTTTCACACGTATGCGTTTCTCCCAAACTGTCTCTGCTCGTGTGTGTCCTTGTGCTGACTGCTGCCTGCTGCTTTACTGGGGTAGTGCCGTGATGTCTCAAAAGATGCTGCTCCTCTGTATGAATGCTCAGCCCTGTGCAAACAACAAGAACAAGATTAAGGCAGTGGTCCTGGGTTAATTCACTGAAGAGCCTCACAACATAGCAATGAAAAGGCAAAAATGGCTCTAAGACTCAGTGTTTTCAGTAGTACCTCAGGCGAAGGTGACTTTCATTGTAGAAATGTTACAAGAGCGAAAACAAAGGAAACATTCAGGAATGACACGCTGTATCACTAATATCCATCAAATCATTTAGACTCTAAGTTATGAAACAAGATGTGGGATTAGATTGTGGACTGTTTTGAGTAAATGAAACATATCTGAGCAGGTTTGTTTTACAATGTTAAATTACTTTTCCAATTTGTGGTCATTGACACTTGCCTCAAACTGAATCCATCAGACAGCGACAGAAAGAATACGAATCCTCCAATAATACATAAAACTGAACCCGACCAGCCGATGAACAAAGCAGCCCCCAGCTCAAATCTAGAAAAAAAAACAAAACATGAAGGAAATCATGAGGTATGTGTGACTACTTTGATCTTGATCTTGACCTGCCAAATTCTCCCTTTAATCCTTAAGACTTACTTCTGGGCTACAAAAAGGGGGTCAAAGAAGTCTGTGGTGATTCGGCGAGCGTATATGGAGCAGGCAGTCATACAACACAGCCCTATGAAGAAGAAATGTAAAAAAAAAAGGTATCATTTTGCATGTATTTATTTAATTTCATATATTTGCAGATTACCACATAGTATGAAGTGAAAACCGGACAGGACAGTCAGGCGAGCTTTAATGGTGTCTGAGCCCCCGATTTTGGTGCACTTCATTCCCACCAGAGCGAGGATAGCTCCGAAAAACCCCAGACACACTGCTGCTATCATGAGACCCCTGCAAACCTGAATGTAAGCTACCAAACAGGAAAAAATGACAACTGTTCAAAAATATTTGGTAACGAGTTTGGTAATTTAAGCATTTGTGGGTTCCATAGAAATTACAAACTTAAGAGATTGTTTAATTGTATAAGCAACAACATCTGATTGAATTACAAATCGTGTGTTAGCTTTCTGTGACATTTAGGAGACTTTTCAGAATAAAAAAAGCTTTAAATAGTCAGTTACTGGTAATGTTCAAAATTTTCTAGCATTTTGAAATCCATGGATGCTTGAAAATTATTAATTTATGGTTGAATATCTGTTTAGAGCCAAACATTAAGCAAAAAAGAGTGTCACATTATATAGATTTCCACAGGATTTCACAATGTTACTAAGTGATGATGACAGCTAAAGCTAAATATTTATTTTAACATTTTAACAAATGTAACATTTTGACATCTGATTTTGCACTTTGTCTGGTTTTGTCTTATACATTTCATTGTATTTGTTTTTGAGCAGGTATATAAAACTATTTACCACTTGGGCTAGACTCACCATCCAGAGCCAGCATCGAGGGAAAGTCCTTGCAGTTGGAGACTCCAGTGGAGTCGGTGACGCAGGTCTTCCACAAATTTGACCAAAATGTTGCTGTGGTGATGACTGTCCCATCTACGGATGACACCTTCCAGTAGTCAGTGGGAAGCGTGGATGACACCAGAATCCAGCCTGAAATAGTCAAGAGAAAAGCCACTATCTCTGTCCCCATGCTCCCCATCCTCTCCGCTCCTCTGGCCTTGATTTGGGACTCTCGGCGGGGTGCACAGGTGGGACTAAATGGGTGAGGTGGGAGGATCTGTCCAGGAAAGGTACGTCAGTATTCAAAGTGGCATGACACGTTTTTGCACAATCACTTGTTGTATATTGTGTGTTCAGATGAAGGGGGCAGAGCAGGGGGGCAGATATTATTCACTGGGCATCACTCAACACCAGGTGGAGGGTCTGTGCAAGGGGATCTGTCACAGAGGAAGCCTTTAATTGGAAGGATCTGAAAAGTCATGAGGACTAGATGGGGAGCAGTGATAGCAAAGGGCGCACTGATGAATCACAGAACTACTCACCTGTATACATTCAACTGCATTGTACTTGAGCGCCATCTACTGGGTGTGTTTTGGTTTTCCTCTTTGCCATACACAGTAAACATTGCAACTCACTCTAAAATAATTCTGTTATCTAATTCTTTTTCCGTTTTTATTACGTGATAATAAATGAATATATGTTGTAGAAAGATTATCTAAAAATACAAATTATGGTTTGGATCAAGAGTAAAAGGAATTAAACCGAAAAAGGTGAACGTTTAACATTTATGCAAGAAATAAGTACTCATATACAGTTACATTTTAATAGTGTTATGGTCAGTTAAAATAGGCTAACAAATATTCAAAATGAAGCTACAATTTATCAACTCACTGGGAAATTTGTCCCATTCGTCACAAGGAATAGGTCATTGTCTAACCAAATGACTTCCTCTTTTGGCTCTTATATTACGCAAAATTAACTCTTGTGAGCTTTAACCATGTTATAATGCTGTTACCTACTCAAATTTTGTGTCATTCACACATGTTTGAGTAACCTTTTATTATAAGTCTGTCTACATCTTCAAATCTTAAAAGACTCTGTTCCACCTTGTGATGTCATGAAGTAGTAGTTTTCATGTTAATAACTACCTTTCACTTTTAGTTCAATAGAGATTGGCAATTCCAGAAGTGAAATTATCCAGAATGATTCTGGTGAAGGTGTATGTGTTTGTGATGAGGAAACAACATTATAACATACAGTAGATCAGAAAATAGCATAATATGGACTCTTTAGCTATATGTGTATTTTAACACCACAATAGAGTAGATTGGATTGCAGTGAACTTAGCCTAGTGGAGAAGATTTTTTTTTTTTTAAAAGAAAAGAATATTATTTAAATTAGTGCTTTGAGTTTCTTGCAAGATGTTGTAAACTATTTACATAGCTATAACTTTACATAATGGAAATAGTTCAAATCCTTCTTTATTGCGTTCCAAGAAGTCTCTCTCTCTCTGCCTTGTTATCATAGTTAACCCTTTGCAGGCTCATGGGACAAAGAGTAGTGTCCGTGCATTGCTTGGTACAGCTCCAGAGATTTGGAGAAGTCTTGAGGATGTTTCCATGGCTGCTGTTGCCTGGTGCTGATAATCCCGTATACCTGTTAATGAAGTGGAACCAGATGGGACTGCTTGATATCTGCACTGATAATGTATTGAATTGCTACCATAATATGTTATGAAGTAAATTGTTATAAGAGATGGCTGGAAGATGTTGTCTACCCTCTTGTGCATAAAATTCCAACCAAAAATTCCAAAAACACACAAAACCAAAATGTACAAATACACTACATATGACTTTGCAATTAACTGAATTAATTGAATGTTAATCAAGATTGAGATTCAGGCAATTGTCAGTGATATCCTAGGTCTTTTTGAGGTTTATATGAATCTATAAAATCATGTGGTTTGGATCAGAGTTTCAGTTCACTTTGGTGGAGAAAATTTGACAATTTCTCTTAAAGGTCCTATATTGCACAAAATTGATTCTTACGAGCTGTACGTCATGTTATACTGTTATTTCATCAAAAGCATACCTGGAGTTGTGTTTTCTTTCATTCACACATTTGACTAATCCTTTGTTATTAGTCATCAGTCTGTCTACACCTCCAAAGCTCAAAATGCTCTGTTGTGATGTCATGTGATGTGATGTCATGTGATGTTGAGATGTCATGTGATGTTGAGGTGTCATGTGGTTGTTTTCATGTTAACAACTATCTTTAGTTCAGTCAAAATGGGCAATTCCAGGCCTAAAATGGTCCAAATGGGCATTTTTCATTGTGCAGGCCAGAATTTGATGCTACACCCCTGCAAATGATTCTAGTGAAGGTGTGTGGAATTTAAATAGTGGAGCAGTGGAGTAAACAACATTATAACATAAAAAATTTTAAAAAATAAAGAAATATGGGCCCTTTAAATGGCAGTGATTAGAAGTATTGCTTATGTTAAGGGCATAATATTTAAAGACATTTGTTTGCTTAAAAAAAAAGTCAAATTATGGTCTAGAATACAATTAAATTACATTACACATTGACTATTTCAGAACTGCACTCTCTTTCGACTATTATTGTTATAATTTTGTGGAAAGTACTAGACATATTCCAGTGTGTTCCTCACAGTACTGTTAACAAAGGCTCTGAGGCCACAGTGGTAACGTGAGGAGTTGAAAACAGGCCTATCACAAGGTTGAGCTTGAGAAAGAAACGTTGATCCTTGCAGTGGGCTGGCTGCTCCCTGTCTGCTCGCCTGCTGTGCCTCCTTTAGTTTTTAGCTAAACATCAACAGTAGAGGTTGAACGCCTTTTTGTTATTGTTGGACCACATTTTGTCAGGAAAACAGTTTAACTCCTTCACATGGGACTGAATATACTTTGAAATTTTCCTTGAACAATGGAGAGGGCGGGAGAGAGGAGCAGGGGCACAGAGGGGTGGAGTGTGCGCCCCTATGCCAGCTCTGTCCATTATATCAGCACAGGAAACACCTGTAGTGTCAGAGGGTCTGTCATCTCCTACCTGTGCTGTGTTCTATTTATAGACATCCTCCATGAGTACACTTTTGACACTGTTTGTGCAGGCAACATGAGAAAATCAAACAAAGCAAGGGTCAGTTTTTGATTTACCAATGTCTATGTTCGCAACAGGCTTTTTCTAGGGCCTTTGTAGTCACATTTGCTTCAGGAAAGTAAGCATTTCCTCTTATCAACGCTGGCGTGTTTTCATTAGTTATCTGGGGACTCCTAGTCTACTGTAAGAGTGTGGATAGACATGTGAGGATGAGGAAAAAAGATAGGAAATGTCATTTTAACATCATATAATGGAGATGCAATGCAATGTATTGTTTATAGTTAAATTACTAAAATATACAGCATTTTTATTATCATAACGCATACATAATAGTTACACAATTGTTCCTAATTACGTATACTTCCGAAACCAATTTGTTTTAGTGCACCTATCATCTCTAAAGCTCATGAGGTTTACTACAGGACGAGTAATATTTTATAATCCCACTTTTCCACCAATGGGATCTCTTCGCAGAAGAGCGAGTAGCCAATAGCATGTAGTGACCGTGAATTTGTCCAATCGTGCCTCTGGGGGGCGGGAACAGTGCGTTGCGTCCGTGTGCGTCTTCACCATTTGTGCTTCGCCTCCGGGTATAAGTAACGCACGGGATTGGGGCTTCCAACGTCTGTGGGACATGTGCGAGTTTAGCCCAAAAACACTTCCTCCCCTACAAGAACCACCACCCGCCAGAGGAAGGTAATAGGAGACGAGCAGAGGCCCGGGGAAGTGTGGCCTGCCATGGATAAAGTCGGTAAAGATGTTAAGACCAACCCGGCAGCCACGGCTAATATTTTCTCCAAGATATTTTTCTGGTGAGTGGAACGTGAACGCTTTGAGCCACCGAGCGGGCGATTTAAACAGGGGCTAAACTATGCAAGAGCTGTTTTATAATAGTGTAATAACAACTTAACTGTCCTGATAAACTCAGACAAAGTGTTAATAACATCTTGGTTATTAAAGTTACAGTAGTTTGGTTGTGTTTCATTTCTGCTTTTGAAAGTTCTGCGCATGTTTGGTTTCGTGTAGATTACTTCTTCCTGTCACCTGTGTTTATGAACGTGCTTCCTGTTGATTCACTGCTTTTGTTACTTTCACATTTGGAGGATTTACTCGTATGTAAGACTCCAGCTCACTTAACTACTGCAATCTGAACCAGCTGTGTTTAAATACGTGTTAAATACAGCGACTGTTTTGCACGACAACGGCAAGGCCATGCGAGTTTATTTATATGGCACAATTCGTACACAAAGTAATTCAAAGTGCGTTACAGAATAAGAACGACATTAAAACCTCAATACAAACAAATCAAAACGTAAATACTCATCAATTTTAACATAAATAGAAGAGTGCAGAATAAAAACCTACCAGAAAACACATGGCTTTTTCATAACCCATTGTATGAACTAAACCACGTTTAATTTCCTGATAGCCAGGATTAAAATGAGACTTTATCAGGACCAACTAGGAATAAACCAGGTCAAAACTTACCAAAAGCCAATGTAAATCTACTCCTATCCTATATCCACTTAGGCTTAATTGACAAGCCTATAGGTCTCATGTTTTAAAATAAATTAAGTTAACTCCTCTGAGTCTACGGGGCTAAACCTGAATGCCGCATGATTTGAATAACTAGTGTATTGACTGTTATGTAATTGAGTCTTTTGTGTTTTTGCCATAGTTGGCTCAACCCCTTGTTCAGCATTGGATACAAGCGAAACCTGGGGGAAGATGACATGTACGAAGTGCTCCCCGAAGACAGATCCCAAATTCTGGGTCAAGAGCTGCAGAGGTACAAATTATATGAGCACATCTCAATACATAATAAACAGGGTGTCATTATTGATATGGGCCGATATGTAGGATTTTTTCCATGTATTGGTAGTGGGAAAAATATCAACCCTTCTCCTATATTACACAGAATTGTCTCTTATGAGTTTAAACCATGTTATAAAATTGTTACCTTTTCTGAAACATACCTGGAGTTGTGTTTTGTTTTATTAACTCATGTTTGAGTAACACTTTTTTATTTGTCTGTCTACATCTCCAAAGCTCAAAATGCTCTGTTCCACCTTGTGATATCATGTGGTAGTAGTTTTCAAGGTATCTTTTGTTCAGTAGAGATTATTTTCAGTTTGACAGAATTCAGCCTAAGTATGCAGGGGTTGTATGTTAAATAAATGTGAATGAAACAAAACACAACTCCAGGTATAGTTTTGATGAGGAAACAATAGCATATAACATCACTGAGAATATGGTGTGATATGTGCCCTTTAATGATGAGGAATTGTACAATGTTGCCCAGTCAGTATGAGCCATGTGTTCTCAGTGACTCGGGTATATTTTATAACAGTCTAGTGAGTTAATGTGTAAATAGAATTAACAGTGAAGCTAAATAGGTGGCTGTATTGCACTATGTAACCTTTCTGGTGGTCTCCATGGAGATTTTATTCCTTTACCTGAAATGTTCTATTGAATCTTACATTTATTCACCTCGGCAGATCTGACCTGTGGCCATGTTACATTGAATAGGTTGAATGCCATACTGTAGCATTAGGCAAGCATCTCCATGGAGACAAGCAGGAGGTTGACTCTACCAGAAAAGTTCATATTGCATCTTTAAAACACACATGTAAATTTTATTTACAAAAATAAAAAGTTCATTTGTGCACTTGAATTTACAAGCTTTGTCATAGATTTCCTACTATTGATACCAGCAAATATCAGGAAAAATCTATATTGGACCATCCCAACGTATATGTAACTAAACTTTACTATCTTTATAGGCCTTAGTAATAATCTAGTCATAGGCTCGTAACGATATGAAATTTTGAAATGCGATATACTGGTGAAGAAAATATAGACGATATACAATAATATTGAAACAATTTCATGCCACTGACACGCCAATAACCCTAAAACACGACTATACTAAAAACTATTTTAAAAACACAAACTGCAATAAATAAATGGCAGAATTAAACACTTTAGAGTTAGTTTGTATCTGTCATGAAAGTAATAAAAGTTACTTACATAAAAGTTACTTATTCAACTCTCTACAACTCAAACTTAGCAGAGTACAGAACAACACCAAAAAGTTCCCCACTAGTACTAAGAAAAGTACTAATGTTCCATCTAATCTAATGTATAGAATGATAAGTATAATTAGTGATTAATGTGACAGGCTTCTAGATATAAAGCAACCATTCTTAATAGAGCCCGACCGATATATCGGCTGACCGATATTATCGGCCAATATGGGCAACTGGAGACATCGGTTATCGGCCGATATGCTTGCTGATATGGGCCGATATTTCACGTGGGCATGTTATATCTCGTTATAAAGCTTAGACTCTCTACATTATGTTCATTTAATCCAATTTACAGACAGATAAATGTCCTAATATGTGGCTCTGCATCAGTATTTATCTACGGTGTAATTTGTCTGTGTCCGTACTGTCCCTGAACACACCACCAGAGTGACGTCACTTCACTCGCGTGTGTTTGTTTACACCTGCAGACACAGATCCAAACACTGAGATTATATTCTTTTTACGGACAATCGGTTTGAGTCTGGATTAAAAGGACATTTATTAGTGCAGATTTGTGATGTGAGGAGGAGCCTGTGTGAGCGGTGAGTGTTGGAAATATGTCGACTTTGAAGCTAGTTTTTGTCATTTGTTTTCTATTGGTCTGTTCTAAAGTGACTATATTGGCTGTATATTTGCTACTGGACCTGCACTGATATGTAAATGAGCTGTGAACAGACGTGTGAATTATGACATTTGCGCATATAATTAATTACTGCGGCGCGCACGTATTTACGGCTAAAGGCTAATAGCGCTAGTTTCTTTACTAGTTATGGGTCCGTCGCGAACGAAATGACTCTTAGAACCGGCTCTTTAAAGGGAACGACGGGAGCCTGATCCTTACTGGGAGCCGTGTTTTCTCTTTCTCTCACTTTTTTTCTCTTCACGCCGCGTGATTCGTGGTTTGACAGCGGCAGCGGCTCAAAACGAAACTTTGAGAAATTTGCGTGTACGTAGGATTAAAAAAAATAAAAATAAAAAAAACGAGCATATTTGACTGTAGTTTAGCATAAAATAAATAAGTCCCGGTTTAGTCCTTTTTCAGTCCTGGTTTAGACCTGGTTCAGTCCTGATTCAGTCCTGCTTTAGACGTGCTTTAGTCCTGCTTGCAACAAAACAATCTGAAGAGCCACTTGGGAGCCAAAAGAACCAGCAGCTTTTAGTGAGCCGAGCCAAAAGAGCCGGTTCTCTAAAAAGAACTGGAATACCCATCACTAGTGTCTAGAATGTGATGCAAAAATGCCATTAAGCCAACCTACTGTCTGTAAATATGATGTAAAGAGGCAGAATAACAATAAATGTTGCCTAAATAAACCCAATTTAAAATCCACCAGAGCCAAACCTAAGTTTTTTAAACAATTCAACATTTACAGTGAATTTTTACATCACTAAATATATCGGTGATTATATCGGCTATCGGCAGCGCCAACTCCCATTATTATATATATCGGCCACAGCAAAATCCATATCGGTCGGGCTCTAGTTTAAAGGGCCTATATTACATTATTTTCTGATCTTTGTTATAATATTTCCTCATCAAAAGCATGTGTGTTTTGTTTCATTCAGACATGTTTAACACAAAGATCCTGCATATTTAGTCTGAGATCTCCTCTCAAACAGAAAACACTCCACCTTGTGATGTCATGTGGTAATACAGGAAGTGCTCCACTGTGTTTTTAAACTCCACACTAGAATAATTTGGAAAATTTCAGCCCTGGAATTATCTATATTCACTATATAAAAGGTAGCTGTCAACTTGAAAACAAGGTGGAGCAGAGCATTTTGAGCTATAGAGATGTAGACAGGCTCATAATAAAGGATTACTCAAACATGTGTGAATGAAACAAAGCACAACTCCAGGTATTATTATCAGGCATTCTGTCTGATAATAATGACATTGCAATTCACAGAGCACAGTCCTTGATCATTGTGGCCTTCCTGTTACTCAAAACAACATTGATTCTTGTATTGATGAGCTCTGAAGGTTTGCAGACTTGAATCACTGACCATTTCTCATAATTTGGGATAATAAATGACTTTCTATATCGAGAAAGAGAACATATTGTTCTTATTCAGTACAGGTGGACAACAAGAGCAGAACATGAAGTACATGTTGTGATGGGGTATTCTTTACCAAATGTTAATTACATGAGTGACATTTATGAACAGTAATTCACACTGTCTCTTAAGGGCAAGTTTAGTGAGTCCAGATCAGCTACAGCAACTTAGTAGAAGGAAGAGAGACTGGCGTAAAAAACACAAATGAAACAAAGATCCTGCTGTGAATATTTTGAGCTTACCATAGTGACCGGTTTTATAGTATGTAAAATGTACTCTCTTTTTGTTTTGTTTTTTGTTCAGTCTTCTCAGCATGGACCAAGACACTGGCCTGCATTACACAACTCTGTATTTGCACAAAATCACTAATGATACACCAATGATATGGTCTGCTTTAAAAGCACGTTTGTCAAATCCTTTTGTTCACGCTTTTATCCTGAATCAAATGAAGATTTTCTGACTCAAATTAAGATTTTCTAGAGACTTGTCTCGCTCTTGAATTCTTTCTAAGCATTGTGTATTTATCTGCTGCACTATGCTATATAATCTTTAATGTAAACAGCCTTTTAAACCTGTCTGAGAATGTTCTGTTTCTATATGTCAGTGAAAAAAAAGCTAAAACATGAGATATTTGTATACATTGTGAGTTGAGTATTATAAAGTGTTCAGACCACATGACTGTGGTTTGAGCATGTGTACCACAGTTAAAAGGGGAAGCTGCAGGTCATGAAGCTATTTCACTGTACCGTATTATTTGTTATGTATGGGTGCACTGGGTAACTTTTCTCCTGATGGTTATGCTAGCTGCTTGTCTCAATGGACATGCTTTTGCTTTGGTTGGGACATTCTACAGTATGCCAGTAAACATTCATTTTGTAGTTATTTCATTTATTGCTCAAAAGTATCTTGAAAAACACTTCCTCACCTCTTTGTCTCTACTGATATTTTTTTACATACAGAACAAATGTTCGGATTTTTTTTGTGTGTGTGTTTTCTCCCCCTCCCTCTTTTTGTTGCAGAGCTTGAGTGTGGCAGGGGGCGTGGCTGGCTTCTTCCAGAGCAGATGAGACACACCTGCAATCAATTCCTTCATCAGCCTCTGTATTTAGCCCTGGTCTTCTCACCACCACTTTGCCAGATAATTCCATCCTGTTCGGTAGTGCTCTGTCAGGTCAGGCTCTTGGAAATGTATCCATTTTGCTTGCTGCTTTGATGTTCTTCTTGGACTTACCTGCTTTTGTTTTTGCCCAGGTGTCTCCGTGGTCGTTTGCCGTAGCCTCTGGAAAAGCCAGCCAGCTCCCTGCCTCCTCAGCCTGCCTCTCGTTTGGAAAATAAACAGTTTAAAACTTGACTTAGTTCTGGCTCTGCTTTGGGGTCCCTTTTGCTATACCATAACAACAAAAGAGAGTCTAGAAAGTTAGATAGACTGAACAATGACAAAGTCTCTATGTTTTTAAACTGAAGATTTATGAGCATTAACATTTGAAACAAGATTGTTAAATGCTAACACCCCATAGAGACATATTACATAAACTTTAACAATGGCAGTCTTTGCTGTTTGGTTAACATGACCATTCAGCTTGTTTTAATTCAGTTATGATTGATCTTGCAGCAATAGTGTTGCTTTTAATTTCTCACTTGTTTATTACAGGAATAGTACCTTTGTTGCCCATATAACACTGAACTCTGTTTTGTCTCTTAGACATTGGGACCAGAATGTTCAGAAGGCCACCAAAGAAATGCAGTCTCCCAGTCTATCCCGAGCCATCATCTGCTGCTATTGGAAGTCCTATGCAGTGCTGGGCTTCTTCACTCTGGTGGAGGTCAGACTCAAACCAACACTCAAAGATTATATTGCTTTTATTTGGGCTATTGTAATTTTTTGTACTAAGCAAATCATTTAGATATTCCAAATGGGTTGTTCATAGATAATTATGTGTAACATGTGACAGTAAGAGTGTTTTTGAGTTACCGTGAAAAGTGCTATATAAAACCAATGTCTTAAAATCATTGTATTATTATTACGATTATTATTAAGAATCAGGGTTTGGTTCTTTTTCTGATTGTGGAATTGTCAAAAACATAACAAAAAAGCGCACACAAAAAACCCCAGTGTTTCTGTTTACTAGAGGCTCTTTTTTGATGTGGAACTGGAGATGGGTCCCTAGGTGCTTGTCCTGAGATCACCCACTGCTCTTGATAAGATCGGTCAAATGCAGAGGGTCAGTTTCCTTACAGGGACAATGAAGTGTATCATAACTGTCACAGTAATAGACTGTTTAAAGAGGTGGACTAAGGGAGTGTGATGTCATCCACAGCATTCGACTCCATTCAATTGAAGCTCAGAGGCTGGCTAGCAGTTATAGGGACGAATTTGGAGCCAGGTCAATTTTTGGAATCGGAATTTATTTACGTACAAAATTGGTAAATATGGATCATGTAGAGCAGATTAATATGAACATTTTAAGTCAGTGGAGCCGGAAACGCCCCCATGAACACTTCCTATTTGGAATGCAGCGGCTTGTGGGTTAGCTATGTCCATTTACAGTCTATGGTCACAACAGCTGCTCAGAGGGTTTGGTTCTGGTTCGGAGCTGTGCATGCTGTGATTGTGGCCTTGGGCATTTCATCCTTAGACATATCTGGTATAGCCAGATGTTTTGTTAAGTGCATAATATTTTAGGACACAATGCCCAATGATTCAGCTGATAACCTGGTTTGAAATATAAATTGATGTAATAAGACTAATTACTGGTTGTATTTATATGGTTTTTTTTTTTTTCAGTATTTACTTGTGGGATAAATAACAGTTACATAACACATTTGGTCAAATTTGTCTCATTTTATTTTTGTTTTAAGGAAATAAATGCAGTTTTTAGTTGCTTTTGTTGTATCGCTGGTTGATACTGGGTCTTGCAAATACTTGCAAATCCATAATATGGGAACTGAAAAAGCTGACCCCTAACAAGCTCTCTCAAAAATCTTTGGAATTGAATATGTTTGTTTTTCTCTCGTGTCATCAGGAGGTGATCAAAGTGGTGCAGCCAGTTTTCCTGGGCAAGATAATCCAATACTTTGAGAGTTATGACCCAGAGAACACTGCAGCCTTCCACTCAGCTCTGTGCTTCGCCGCAGGGCTGTCTGTCTGCTCCATCGGCCTGGCTCTCATACATCATCTTTACTTCTACTATGTCCAGAGGACAGGCATGAAAATCAGAGTAGCAATGTGTCACATGATCTACAAAAAGGTTGGTCTGATTTATGGTTAATCAATCACTGAGGGTATTGCCGCTCATGTAGTAATCACCTTTAAATCATTCTGATAATAATTTCTCATTTCCTTCAAGGCCCTGTGTCTGAGCAGTGCAGCCATGGGAAAGACCACCACAGGTCAAATTGTCAACCTCCTGTCCAATGACGTCAACAGATTTGATGAAGTAAGAAAGTCATGAATTGTAGTAACTTGGCTACATCATTTCTATGTATTCAATGCTTTGTTTAAAAAGAGTTGCAGATTCAGCAGATTCTAGTATTTGTTTGAACTGGTTTGTGTGTGTGACCTATTTAATGAGATTTGCAAACATTCTGTCACTGGAAAAAACACTTTAAGCCTCACACCCTCTGAAATGACAAAGGTTTAATTGACTTTAAAGGCTGTTATGTAGCCATGTATGCTAAATTCATTTCCAGATTCAACTTTGCCAAACCTGTTTTAGCAGCCAGTGATGTACAAGTGAAAGCTCCACTCATGCAGCATGTGTCCAACAGGTGACCATTTTCCTGCACTTCCTGTGGGTTGGGCCACTGCAGGCGGCTGCTGTGGTAGGGCTGCTGTGGGCAGAGATCGGCCCCTCGTGTCTGATTGGTATGGTGGTCCTTATGTTCCTCATGCCCACACAAACCATGTTCGGGAGACTCTTCTCCAAGTTTAGGTAAACGCGTTTACTAGCAACTTTACCTACCACATGCTTCAAATGTATGAATTCATTATTGTATGCTATGTCTGTGTAGGAGTAAAACTGCAATTTTGACGGACAGCAGAATCCGTACGATGAATGAGGTTGTGTCAGGGATGAGAATCATAAAGATGTACGCCTGGGAGAAACCCTTCGCTGCTTTAGTCTCTGATCTAAGAAGGTAACAATGACTTTATGAGTAAATATTACCAACACAAACAAACGTCATCCACATGAAAGCTTTATAACCCCAAATTACCCTGGTGATTGCAATAACAGAAGTCTCTCTTTTCCATTTCATAATAAGCAAAGAAATGGCCAGACAAATGACCACTGTGTTTTAGTGTTATGATAGTCATATCACAGGGGATGGTTTTGTATCGTGATAAACTGATTCTTCATCATAGAGCCGGGCTAAGATTAGGTAGTGAGCACCACCTTGAGGGCCTCAGATTACTTTATCCTGAAAGAGCTGGCCCCTTGTAAAGTGTTTTTGTCTTTTGCAGAAAGGAGATCGCTATGACTTTGAAGAGCTCGTACTTGCGTGGACTCAACATGGCATCCTTCTTCTGTGCCAGTAAAATCATCTTGTTCTTCACATTCACCGTGTACGTGCTGCTGGGAAACACGCTGACAGCCTCTCGTGTGTTTGTCACTGTGTCTCTGTACTCTTCTGTACGCCTCACCGTCACGCTTTTCTTCCCCAACGCCATCGAGAAACTGTTTGAGAGCCGAGTTAGCGTGCGCAGGATACAGGTGCTCCTCTCTCACTGATGGACACACATTCAATCAAATATGTAATGTTTCAGCATAAGCAAGTTTGAGGAAATGTTTATGAAATCAGTGGCAAAATATCAATTACTGTACTTGCTAACAATATTTTCACCTGGATACCTTAATAGTAAGCTTGTGTAAGTCATATTTATGCTTAAATACTGTCTTTCAGGAGTTCTTACAACTCGATGAGATCCGCCAAGTGAATGCTGTTTTGCACGAAGAGGATGAGAAAAGTGCGTCTGTGGATATTCAAGACCTGACGTGCTACTGGGATAAGGTAGCTTTTAAATGAATCATGCTTAGTAATTGCTTAATATATAGTATAAAGGCAACGCATTTCTAAAATTTTGCTTTTTTTGTACATTACAGTCTCTGGATGCTCCAACTTTACAAAATGTATCTTTGAATTTGAGTTCGAATCAGCTGTTGGCTGTGATTGGACCAGTGGGAGCAGGAAAAGTGAGCTTGTGTAATTAAAATATTTCTTGTGTTCTTAAAAGTCCTGCTAATTTCTTGGTTCATCTTCCTTCAGTCTTCCTTGCTGAGCTCTATTTTGGGGGAACTGCCCAATGAAAAGGGAATGATGAAGGTCACAGGTCAACTGACGTACGCCTCTCAGCAGCCCTGGGTCTTTCCTGGGACCATTCGCAGTAACATTCTGTTTGGGAAAGATCTGAACCCTCAGAAGTATGAGAGAGTCCTGCGAGCATGTGCGCTCAAGAGGGTAAGAGATGAACACAGTAATGCCAGTGTCAGTGCTGTTTATACCCTCTGCTTTCTAAGCATTAAACATGCAGAGGACCTGTGACAGCTCCATAAAACAGACTATAAAAAGAGAGATAAGGCCCCTTATTGTTGAGATGTTCCTCCGTGATGATAAGTCTTGGATTGTATTTGTAAATAAATTACTATTTCCACAGATTGCATCACAGAGGTTTAAGATCTCAGAACCACATAGTCATTCCCACTACAAAAAAGTTGATGCTTGGAAGCGTTTGCTCATTAACCCCATGGTTGAGCCAGTGATTTGTAAATGAGTTACACTGAAGCACAGCAATACGTCAGAAGCATGAACTATAGTCCAAGAAACCTCTGCTCTCCAAATGTGTCAAATCATGCTTCCTGTGCCATGATAAGACAAACTTGAAAAGGAGCCAGTCTCACCGTATTACACTGAGGAAGTGTAACAACTGCTGAATCATTTTATTATAAAGTCAAAGGTCGATTTTTAGCTTTACAAAAGGACTCATCATGGAGGAGACGAGACGCTCTGCATTCTTTCTTTTTACAAGTTCAGACTTGTCCGAGAGGGTGTTAAGTCATGGGATTGCCCTTGTGTGTAGATACAGTGATAATAATAAAAACAGAATTGCTTTGTCAAACATTACAGTGCATTAAAGCACTGAAGGTTTTTAATACTGTATTTTAGGCGTAGGTCAAGAGCCTTAGCCACAAAATCAAAATCAAAGAAGATTTTAGTTCTTCTGGAGAATGAGCCTGTGACTTTTAGAAAATTTGGCACCAATTTGCAAATAATATATGTTGGCTTACCTCAGAGAGCTGAAGATAATGCTTAAAATAATAATAATTTTAAAGTGAAAATTATTCACCTTAAATATGCTATATAAAAAATGCAGCCAATTAAAACAATTATGAACAAAATGTATACTTTAAAAAATATGGCAAAAATGTCAATATCACTTTTTTATTGTCTCGTGGAATTTATGTCTTGTTGTTGCTACAAACAGGTTTAAATACTGTTATAAAGTTAATACTGGATAACATTTCCATCTTCTGCTTCTGATTTTGTGTAACCTGTTGTGTCTAGCATTGAGCAAAACAATATCAATGATTAGAGTCCACATACGCTACACTGATCTTTGTGCAGGACCTGGAGCTGCTGCCTGATGGAGACCTGACTGTCATCGGGGACAAAGGAGCAACTCTTAGTGGGGGTCAGAAGGCTCGCGTCAATTTGGCCAGGTACGATCAAAGTGCTATGTTATCTATAAAGAATTAGCATTTCAGTTGTGTTAACTAGCTTACACAATTTGTTCACTGCATTTTGTTTCAGAGCCGTGTATCAGGAAGCAGACATCTACCTCTTGGATGATCCTTTAAGTGCTGTAGACGCTGAGGTCGGGAGGCACCTGTTTGAGCAGTAAGTTTGGATTGTACAAAAAAGCATATTTACCCCTTGTAGTTTATACTAAGAGAAAGGGATGGAACAAGATCTCATGCAACAGGATCTATGTGTACATTTGTCTTGAACAAAAGAGGGTGAAGGGCTGGTGCTGGTGATACAAAAAGCCAAAATACAATGGCAAGGCAAGTTTTGTATAGCACAATTCATACACAAAGTAATTCAAAGTGCTTTAAAAAATAAGAAAGACATTAAAATTACAATACAAACATATCAAAATATAGATAGATAAATAATCATCATAAAATTAACATTGAAAGGGAAGACTGCAGAATAAAAACCTTTCAGTCATGCGCAGCAAAACAGCCCCGCTTTGAGTCCGCCTTGTCGCAGCAGAGGCCTGTTTCACATCTTCTATGACAGCAAAAATATGAAAATTAATCAAAAGTTGTAAGGCTAAAATTGTGAACTGAACCAAAACTTCGTATCTATTACAAATTATGTAAAAATCTCATCTTGTCTCGTTTTTCTGCACTCAATCTTGTGTCTTGTCTCATCCTGTTGGGAGTGTGTCTAGTCCACTTCACCGAGCAGCCGTAATTTGTGTGGGAATTTGTGCTAAATGAAACATACACTACCAGTCAAACGTTTGGACTCACTGTTATTTTCCATGTGTTTACTACTTACTTCATACATAAAGGAGACATATATAATTTTATGAAGCAAGATATATGGAATTATCTCGCAAAGAAAAAAAGTTAAATATTAAGTTAAAAAATATTTAGTATTTCACTTTTTTTGCAACATAATTCTACACATCTTGCTTCCTATGTTTGATGTCTTCAGTATCTATAACAAATGTTATCTGTAACAAATGTTGAAAGTAGTAAACATATAGAGAAAAATATTGAATGAGAGGGTGTGTCCAAACTTTTGACTGGTAGTGATTTGTATACACTGCATCTATTTCACAGGTGTATTTGTGGGCTGCTGAAGAAGAAACTTCGTATTCTGGTCACTCACCAGCTCCAGTATCTGAAAGCTGCCGACCAGATCGTTGTCCTTAAAGAGGTGTGACATCTAACAGTTACTATATGCTATGTTTGTAATTTACTGGGCCTGTTCACACGAAACTAAACTCATGCAAAGTTCCACAAGTTCTCTGTCAGCTCAGATGAATTAAGAATTAAGATAAAAATATTTTAAGCCTAAGAAAAATATGGCATGTTTGTGGACTCAAATCCTATCAAAGATAAAGTCCTGTAAAGTAATTCTCAAAGGCAGTTACTTTTAAAGGTTGTTTCATTTACTTTTCATTTTGGTGATTTAAAGGGCCCTATCTTGCCACCAGTCTTTGCCCAAATGCAAGTGTTTTTCAAGGGAACAGGTCCAGTTCAGGCTGTACTTAACTGCTGGGGGCTGGAGTGGGACAGTACATATATGGTGATGGCATCTGAACCAATCTTTGACGGCTGTGGCATTTTAACTCACGACCAACGGGGGTAATGTATACAGTATTTACCTCATTACCAGGCAGCAAAGGGGTTGTGGAAAATTTTTTTTAAAAAGTAAGAACATATGTATGGGTACAAAAAACAGCTCTGGAGCCCCACGCACCAGTAGAGGCATCAGGATTATAGAATTATGGATGGGGCATCACAAAACGGGCTGGGCTTGTGTTCCGTGCGCACAGGCACCCCTCTCACGTACATGTGTCCCTGTTGGTCCATGTACACTCACGTTAACTATAATTTACTCTGTGTTCCTCCGTTCTTTTGCCTCCCATTATGCAGCAGATGTGTCTTTCTTGTGTGCTCCCCATCCTACATCAGACCTGCTGATCTCTCTTTCTGGTCGCACCTATTCCCGCCTGCTACTGCTGACCGCTCGCATTCTTGTCTCACAGGTGTCCATTGCATTTGATCCCAAACACGTCCGCGAATTATGGAATATGTTTACTGTTATATAAATGTTTGTGCACGGACATGGATTAAACCATGAACACACGGGGAGGGGTGCTCATATAAGGAGGTGCCGTGCCATGAGCAGTACCCTGCAGTCAGGGTACAAAAACACACTTTAAGATAGTGCTGTAAACAGCTTCATGTGAATGAGCAGCTTTTGTACAGATCGCGATCAAACAAAACTGTAGAGCAGCGCTGCGGGAGGGACAACGCATAAACATCCCGGACAGCACACATGTGAATGTTATGCATTTGTCATTAGGGGTGTGCAAAAATATTACTCAATTATTTTGTTACAGCGCTACAGTTTTGTTGCGTGTTTAGTGAAAGGAAACTCGTTTATGCAACACATTTGACATTTTCACTGTTTTAAGTAAAATTTTAGTAAAATGGGTGTGTTTCTATAAACTTTGCACAAGAAGTGGTTTAACAAAGACTTTTAGTATCATATTCATTATTTAGTCATTATTTTTATTGAACTGTATCGAATGGATTTGAAATGTATCATACTGAATCGAAAGTGCACTGTATCGAGATATGTATCGTATTGTGGCCTATGTATCGAGGTATGTATCGTACCAGCAACTTCGTATTGATACCCAGCCCTATTTGTTATATATTTAAAAATGCAAGAAGGTTTTTATGCCTTGAATATGTTAAGTTTTTTTCAGAGAAATGTCAAAATAGCTGTAAATAAAAGAAATAAACTTGCTACATAATCTCTCAAACAAAAAAAAAACCCAAACCATCCATACCTAGTGTTGTTTTGTTTTATTCACACATGTTACACTCAAACCCTACATATTTAGGCTGAGTTCTTCTCTCAGACAGAAAACAATGTTCCACTGTGTTTTAAACTCCATAGAATTTCACTAGAATCATTTGGAGAATTTCAGTCCTGGGCTTGACTATCTGTTAATCTAAAAGTAAAAAGTACCTGCAACTCACTTCATGACATCACAAGGTGGAAAAGAGCATTTTGAGCTTTGGATATATAGACCGACTAATAATAAAGGGTTACTCAAACGTGTGTGAATGAAACAAAACACAACTGCAGGTAAGTTCTTGAGGAAGTAACATTTTAACATGGCTTAAAGTTCTTTACTAGCAATATGTTTAAGTTGCATTGGTCTTTTCCTGTGCAGGGTCACATGGTTGCCAAGGGGACTTATACTGAGCTGCAGCACTCGGGGCTGGACTTCACGTCTCTACTGCAGGTGGAGGACGAGGAGGAGCCTCAGACACCTGCTCCAGAGACACCGTCCCGGAGCAGAACCCTGTCCCAGAACTCTGTGATGTCCCAGGCCTCCGATGTGCACTCGGTCAAAGATGGAGACCAGCTACCGGTGCGTACATAATATTTATAGTAGATGGACTAGTATCAATAAATAAATGTACTTTGTCCTAGAAAAGCTGCTGATCAATGGTGTTGACTGTTTACATGTCATCAGTGTAACTTTCCAAATTGTTCAAAATTGCACTATGGAACTTTTCAGATAGAGGGAACGCCACTTTCTTGTGTCTATGGAGATGTTAAATTCTACCTTTGTGTCTCTGTGGAGATGTTATTACTTTGCCTAAAATGTTCCACAGTATGGCCTCAAACTTATCTCTTACATGAATTCATTTGCAGGTGTTTATGTTACTTAAAATATCTTTAAAAAAATTAAATAAAAATAAGAACTTCGCATGGAGGTGTCTCCTGCTTGTCTCCATGGAGATAGAGCAGTTTAATGTCACACTGGAACATTTCGGGCATAGCAATAAATAAGGTACACTTTTATACATACATAGTACAACTTTATAACAGTAAAATAGTTTTCTCTACGTTGGCTGCTTTGAAATGAAGCAAAGGATTACGGTCTATGTAGGTGTCTGCTTTTTTATTATGCTGCTGTAACTAATCATTTTATTTTAAACCTGTAATAATAATGTGCTATGTTGTAAAAGCTGATTTGACACTTGATATTGTTCCACCCATAATTATAATAAATAACTCTTATAAGGCTCAAACTCACACATGTTCAAACTGGTTGTAGGTGGAGCCCGTTCAGACTGTGGTGGAGGAGAGCCGTGCCCAGGGGACCATCAAAATTAGCCTCTATGTGAAATATCTCAAAGCTGGAGCCAGCTTTCTGGTCCTAGTGTTCATGCTTTTCATCAACCTGCTGGCACAGGTATATAACTCTCATGTTTACACAGGATTATGGGAAAACTCTCTCATCCTATAGTCTAAACCATGTCCAAACTACCTGGGGGGACTCATTCTAGCCTGTTTTGAATACACATTGTTGAATTTTTCACTGTATTGACCACCACCTCACCCCAAATTATTCCACTTAGAAGGTGTTTGTTCAGCTGTGTCTTTTGGCAAAATTGATAGACATTGTTCCACAATTTTAAAATGCACTTTAACTTTTTTGTTGGGGATCTTTCACCTGCACCTTTTATACCCTACATTTATTCATTACAAATGTATCAAATCTATAATTATAATTCTATTTATCTATTAAATTTCAAAAAATGTTGTCAGAAATGGCTTCGATTCAGAATATGTGCACTTGGTCGGCCTCTCAAAGTCTAGCTTAAAGCTGCTTTTCTAATCTACGTAGTCTTTTAAATAAGTGTCTCAAAACATTACTAGCACAGTGTATTAGATCTATACTTTCTGTACAGGTGATTTTGGACAGTATGGAAGTCTTGTCTGAAATAACTGATTTCAATTGATTCAATGAGTGAAAATTGAGTTCAATGAGTGAAATCATAACTATTATTTATGCCATAATGAAGCAGCTCTATTTTATGTACTTTTAATTTTTTTCCCAACAAAGTAGTCACCCACCAGCATTGACACACGTGTTGCTTTTTTGACTAGCAAAAAATGCATTCCAAAATTGTACTGACCCCTGCCCACGTGTTCCCAGGTGTCCTACATCATGAATGACTGGTGGCTGGCTTACTGGTAGGACAGATAGTTTGTGCACATTCAAAGCCTCTAACTGCATCTACTGTTACTGACCTCTTTGACCTGTTGAACGCTCAGGGCTAAAAAACAGGACGAAGTGACCAATCAGAATGTGACTGTGACGAACAGGACCCAAGAGCTGGACAGAGACTTCTACCTGGGGATTTATGGAGGTAAGACATCTGTGCTGTACTTCTCAGGTTTTAGATCAGAGTTTTGTTCAATATTGATACTTTGCAGTGAGATCACGCTGGGGGGTTCTACATGTATCTGTATGGTATTCATCAGTTACCATGGAGACACAAGGCACACACGAGCAAACGCAGCCAAAATAGTTTTAAGATAGTCTGAAAACTCAAGAAAAAAATACAAACTGGATTTAAACAACACATTTTCAGGAGTGTTTGATCGATGCAAATGTTCTTGGTTCTGTTTAAGTGTTTGATTTTGAACAAAAATTGAGAGTGACTAACTCCCACTGCTGGCAAATGCTACCAAGGTTGTGACTGTAGTTTTATGTGTGATAGACAAACATAAACCCTCTCACCTGCTGTAGTTCCAGCTAAGTGAGTTCTTTATGGTCACATTGTGTTAAAACAAAACTGGGATTAAAGTCTAAATTGAATAACAGTGCTTCTGACAGAGCAGAGCAGAGCCTACAGTTAGCATCACACCCCCAGAGAATGTTCATGACATCAGCTGTAAAAGTGTCAAACTCATCCAGAGGCATAATTATCTTTCATAACATGTTTGGAGAGGTCCAAAGTTTGTTTTTATTTTTTCCAATCAAAAGGCAAACTATTTCATTGCTTACAGAAGAATCACAGCATTTGCATTTTGATTATTTTGCGACCATTTCAGTCCCAATTTTGATTTGATGGTAATGAATGGTGCTCCTAGTGTTTCCTGTTTGTATGCTCTTAAAACTCCTATATCATGCTTGACTTTTGTGAGCTTTTAGCCATATTATAATGCTGTTTCCTCCTCAAAAATATACCTGGAGTTTTTTGTTTCATTCACACATGTTTGAGTAACTCTCTATTATTAATTGATCTACATCTCCAAAGCTCAAAATTGGTGCCAGCTGGTGTATAATAGGCAATGGGGCACCGTCCTCCCTATCAATCATGCAAATTTAATTTACAAATTGGCATGACTGTTCATGTTAAAGACAGGTTTTTTTTTCAGTCTTTAAATATTACATAAATAAAATAAATCACAACAAAATATATCCTAATCTGTTAGTTTCTTAATTTTCTGCCTTTCAAAAGTCAAGGTTTATTTGTATAGACATTTAAAAAGACAATCCTGCTCCAAAAAAACCCAATAGTGACCACCAGCTGCCACTACTCAAAATGCTCTGTTCCACCTTATGATGTCATAAATCAGCTGTTTTCACGTTAATAGCTCCCTGTTACCTTTAGATAGGTAGAGGTGGGCAATTCTAAGGCTGAAATTTTCCAAGTGAGTGTTTTTGATGAGGAAACATAATATAGATCAGAAAATAGCATCATATGTGGCCTTTAAATGAACTGTTATTTGCTGTTGCTTGTGTCCAGGTCTGACGGCTGCCACCATCCTCCTGGGCTTCTTTAGAAACATCCTCATGTTTTACATGTTTGTGAGCAGTGCTCAGAATCTGCACAACCACATGTTTAAGGCCATCCTCAGGACTCCAGTGCGCTTTTTCGACATCAACCCCATTGGTAAGTGCCATCTGATCTGACTGTATTGTACACAGAGACTGTATAAATGGACATGGCTAACCCGCTAGCCATTGTGTTGCAAATAGGAAGTAAGCAAGGGGGAGCTTTCAGCTCCATTAAAGGTTTCCAATTGACTTTACATTGGAGAACTGTCACCCCTCTCTCTGTAACTGCTGCCATGAGCTTTGTCATTTTGATCTTAAAATGTTTGTATTAACCTGCTCTACAGGATTCTGGTGTTTTTATTTCGATATTGGACTAGCTCCAAATTCACTCCTATAACTACTAGGCTCATGAACTTCATTTGACTGGAGCTATGGATCAGGTCACACTCCTTTAGGCCACTTCTTTATACAGACTATGATCTTACCCTACTAATAATAAACAAATCTTATATCCTTTTCATGTAATACGTTGTAACGTTTCTTTCAGGGAGGGTTCTGAACAGGTTTTCTAAAGACATCGGCCTGCTGGATACTAATTTACCATGGACCTTCATAGACTTTCTCCAGGTAACTTAGTTTAGTTTGTGCAGTTACACCAATAATAATCCATTCTGACCCATACACACAATATCACTCATGTGCAATGCAACCACACACATCTCAGCAATGAGGATTAAAGGTTTTATATTCCGCAAAACTGACTCTTGTAAGCTTTAAACCATGTTAGAATGTTACCACTTCAAAAACATCCCTGGAGTTTTGTTTCATTCACACATGTTTGAGTAACTCTTTACTATTAGTCTGTTAACATCTACTTTTTACTTTTAGTTCAGTAGAGATTGGCAATTCCAGGTTATCTAAGTGAATATGTGCAGGCCTGGCGCCTCATACTAGCAGATTAGGCACTCCCCTAGAGTGACATGTGTCTGGGGCACCATCTAGTGGTGGCCATCACCATATTTTACATGTGAAAAATTTGTGGAAACGGGTTCGCTCACATTTCATCTTTATTTAGCACTACTCAAAAAAAACAAACGGTGCAGGGTCATGTCTTGAACACGTCTGCCTCACTCATAGTCCAAACACACCTACTGAAAATGACTCCTGTTAGTAGCTAGTCCCACAGAACACCTTCCCATAAAGCATTGTGGCCAAATTTATAGGTCGATACAGTATTTTAAATTTTGTCAATTATTATTAAAAATCTGAAAATAATCACATAATTTGTCCTAAAATAGTTGTTGACAGAGAAATAATCTGTCTATTTTATATAGTGAGTCTATGGTCCTCTGGCTAATATACCAGTAGTAATATTTGCAAAGGTGCGTTTTACACACCCCTGGCCTAGAGAGCCCATTCTGTTCACAAGGCGCGTTAGCCGCCGCATTTGGTACATTTAGACATGCGGCCAGAAGAGGCAGGTGAGGTAGTTTAGATCACTGTGTTAAGTCGTTGGTTTCTAATCAGGGCGCTTTGGGCTCAAGACCCCAACATGTCATTTACATTTTTATTTTGTTCTTTTTTCCATTTTGTGTGTAAACAATATAATTTATTAAAACTCAGTGTTTTTATTAGCTAATGTGGTTTTTGTTTGTAAAGAAAAGCAACTTAGAATGCACATTTTTGAGCATTTGTTGCTCCCCAGCCCGCGGCAGTAGCTCAGTTGGTAGAGCATTCGCCCACTGATCTGAAGGTTGGCGGTTCGAAACATCACCGGTTGAGCGGTCAGATCCACTGACCCACAGGTTGGCTGGTGTGATTCCAGCTCCCACAGATGAATGCTGTCGTCGTGTCCTTGGGCAAGACACTTAACCCACCTTGCCCACAGTGTCTGCGTACATATGTGTGTGTGAATGGGTGAGTGGTTCCTTGTTGTAAAGCGCTTTGAGTGCTATAGAAAAATGTGACCATTGACCCTGTGACCATGGTGCACTACACGCTGTGCATAGTGTGCGTAATGGGGAGCTACCATACTGAATGCTTGACCAGGAATTTAGTTCCCAGTCCAACCCTGAACCAAACGAAAGAAAACGGCGGACCAGTCAGTGCGTAATATAGCGACAGTCTGTAGTAACGCACTTGCTTCACAAATTAATAGTAATCAATCGTAAGTGAGGACTGGCAAGGTAACTGTGATGGAGGGGCACCAATATCAAACTTGCCTAGGGCAGCCAATGGGCTAGAACTGGCCCTGTTTGTGTGAATGAAACAAAACACAGGTATGTTTTTGATGAGGAAACGAGATAACATAGATCAGAAAACAGGGTAATATTAAGTATTTACAGAATCTTGAGTTACACAACCTTACTACCTTTTCTACATTCAATACCGTATCAGTCCATAGATTAAAAAAACAAATATACAATTGCTAGACTTCCTGGTGTTTGGTATTGCATCTCAATCTCAATGCTGGCAGGTGTGATTATTTAACTCTTGCCATCACTACTAAGACCATGTTGGGCTGATAATGTGGTCTGTTTGTGCAGTTGTTTCTCATGATTCTTGGGGTTGTTGCCGTGGCAGCCTCTGTCATACCCCTGATCCTCGTCCCAGTGGCAGTTCTGTTCGGGGTATTCATCTACGTCCGACGCTACTTCCTACGAACATCCAGGAACATCAAGCGCCTCGAAGCAACAAGTGAGAGCTTTGTATAACCTAAAATCATGTGACTCTACTAAGATACAAAATGTTTTGATAATTACTACCAGGTACAAAAAAGTAACTAGGTCTAATACTCTAAACATGTAGATGGGCACACATTTCCTCAGATCTGGCTAGTAACTTGTTCTGATGGCTTCACACGCTTGTGTCCATGGAGATATAGGTTTAAAGTCATACTGTGAAACATTGTAAACAAAGTAATAAACACCAGAAGACCTGGTGCCTGATCATCCACCAGAAAAGTCACAAAAGTCTCCTTTTTCAGAAATGTGGTGCGGGTTTAAATTAGAGCCCGACCGATATATCAGTTGACCGATATTATCGGCCAATATGGGCACCTGGAGACATATCGGCTATCGGCCGATATGCTTGCTGATATGGGCCGATATTTCACGTGGGCATGTTATACCTCGTTATAAAGCTTAGACTCTCTACATTATGTTCATTTAATCCAATTTACAGACAGATAAATGTCCTCATATGTGGCTCCGCATCAGTATTTATCTGCGGTGTAATTTGTCTGTGTCCGTACTGTCCCTGAACACACCAGAGTCACCGTCACTTCACTCACGTGTGTTTATTTACACCCACAGCCGTGCGCAACACTGAGATTATATTCTTTTTACGGACAATCGGTTTGAGTCTGGATTAAAAGAACTTTTATTAGTGCAGACTTGTGATGTGAGGAGGAGCCTGTGTGAGCGGTGAGTATTGGAAATACATCGGCTTTGAAGCTAGTTTAGGTTTTGTTAGCGATTAGCTGCTGTAGCTCCCACACATAAACAGGCTGTTTTCTATTGGTCTGTTGTAAAGTGACTATTGTCCGTATATTTGTTACTGGACCAGCATTGATAAGTAAATGAGCTGTGAATAGACGTGTGAATGATCCACATTTATGCAAATAATTAATTACCGCGGCGCGCACCTTTTTACGGCTAAAGGCTAATAGCGGTAGTTTCTTTACTATTTAGGAGTTATGGGACATGGTTGTTAGGTAACAGTTACGTACTTCCCTAGCGTGGAAGTCAAATTTGAAATCTATAAATAGCCAAACTGGCCAAAATCTTAAATGTAATAACTGTTTTATTAAAATGAGTAGCCTAATCTGTCATAGGTACTTTAATATCATATCATGTTATTGTTCCTTTCAGCTCGCAGTCCTGTCTTCTCTCATCTTTCCTCCTCTCTTCACGGGCTGTGGACAATCCGAGCTTTTGGAGCCACAGAGAAGTTTCAGAATATTTTTGATGCTCACCAGGACTTACACTCAGGTACTTAAGATGTCTGTTACATTTATTGTGTTTATGGTTACACATCTGAGTTATGCTGACTTATGTTCCTCTCGCCCTGAGCAGCTTCCTGGTTCCTGTTTCTCACCACATCTCGCTGGTTTGCTGTCCGCCTTGACGGCCTCTGCGCCATCTTTGTGACTGCCACCACTTTTGGATGTCTGCTACTTGGAGACCGTAAGCTATTCTGGGTTCCATTTTTATGTTAATGCTTTATTTCTATTTTTAGTGATAAACTATAACACATGTAGATTATGATTTAGTTCATTCATCGGTGTTAATATTGATCTTAAATAGCTTAATAATAGAAATGGGTCCACTGAGCTGAGCACTCTCTACATAATGCCATGTTCCCATAATAACCAGCAGCAGAATTTGATTTACGTTTCTTTATAGAAAAATAGCTGCAGATTTTTTAACCTGTATGTATCACCCGGAGTCTGTTTTTCCAAATATAAATAGGAAGTACAGGAATGTGGGCAGGGATAAGGGGGAGATGAAAAAGATTTTCTGAACACTCAAATGAAGTTACTACAACATTACTGTTAAAACCTTACATAGGCTATATTTGTTAGAAAAGACAATCCTCCTTTGAACAGAAATGGAGGGCTCAGACATCATCTATGTCCTATTTACAACTTCATCCTCAAACCTAAATCAAAACAAAGAAAACAATAGTGAGAGTATGCTCAGAGGTGTGAAAGCTCCCATCAAGGGCTGAATGATGCCAGTATGACTCAGACACACTCCCCACTGAGCTAGTTCTATTGAACTGCACTAACAAACACAAACTGTAAACAAGTAGGTGTGCTAGTTTCAGTGTAGTTAGCTCCTCCTTTCAGGTAGATATAAGGCACTGTCCACCAACAACCTGACCAGAACTGAAGCAGCAGCCTGGATGAGCTGTGAAACATAGTCGATCAGAAACCATTTGTCCAGTTGACAAATTGAATTTTTCCTTTGCTATGACTCCTACCTGCACTCCTACACAAACATCTTTATCCTGTTTTCAACCTAAACGCCACTAGATGGTACTAGAGCTGTTGTTAGGCTGCAGTGTTGTATAATTGATAAAGTAATCACTGTCAAATAATTGCACTCGCATAACACACTGACTCACTGCTAACTTGATCTCATTGTTTCAGGGCTGGATGCCGGTTCAGTTGGTTTAGCCCTGAGCTACGCTGTCACTCTGATGGGCATGTTCCAGTGGGGTGTCAGGCAGAGCGCAGAAGTGGAAAACATGGTAACGTAATGAGTCGTATAATTGCACTTTAATTAACAGCCACTAGCAATGATCAGGAGTGAAAATAATGATTTGTGGATACACTTGAGATATCGATGTATATTAAAGGAGCACTGCGCAACTTTTCTGGTGGAGGGTTCGCTACCTACTTGTCTCAATGGCAATGTTATTGCTTTGCCTGAAATGTTAGATGGATATGTTTAATGTCATACCATGAAACATTTATTACAGGTGCTTCTAGTGCTCAAAAATATCTGATCTGAACTGTAATGTCGTGTAGTGCTGCTTATCACCCTTATGTTGGGCAGTTTTAATCTACACTGTGGAACATTCTAGACAAAGCAATAACATTTCCATGGAGACAAGCAGGTGGCAGACCATCCACTAGAAATGTTATGTAGTGGATACAGAAAATAATGCATGTTTAATAATAAAATAGTTTTCAACATAATTTTAATTTAATTTAAAGAAACAGTATGGACTTTTTCAGCCAAAAAATAGACAACCTGCCATCACCTGTATGATTCTCTTTCCATGTCTTTGCTATCTGATCATTTCTTAATATTCAACCATCTGTCTTATTTCGGTTCAGATGACCTCAGTGGAGAGAGTGGTGGAGTACACAGAGCTGACAAGTGAAGCACCATGGGAAACTAAGAAGAAGCCTCCTCCCGATTGGCCGAGCAAAGGCCTGGTGACCTTTGATGGGGTTAGCTTTTCCTACAGCCCTGAAGGCCCCGTGGTGCTACACAAACTCAAAGCCATGTTCAGACCTCGAGAGAAGGTTGGTGTGTTCTGAACAAGTCATGACAATCCAAAATGGCCTCCGGGGAGAGTTGTAACGCTTTCTGTTTATCAGGTTGGGATCGTGGGCAGGACGGGGGCTGGGAAAAGCTCTCTGGTGTCTGCTCTGTTTCGTCTTTCGGAGCCAGAGGGAAAGATTTACATTGATGGAGTCCTTACGTCAGAGCTCGGTCTCCACGACTTGCGCCAGAAGATGTCCATCATTCCTCAGGTAACAGGAGGACGTCATAAAGCAAAGCACCAACCCAAAGAAAAGGGCCGTCTTTTAAAAGGGACTCTTTTCTCATCTGTGCTATAATGTTGTGTCCTCTTCAAAAACATACCTGGAGTTGTCTTTTGTTTCATTAACACACAAACCCTGCATATTTAAGCTGAGTTCTTCTCTCAAATTCGAAACACCCTGTTCCACCTTGTGATGTCATGTGATAATACAGGAAATCCCCCCCACGGTGTTTTTAAACACCACAAAACTTTACTAAAATTGCAAATCTGTATTGAACAAAGGATAAAAGGGAGCCGAGTTGATTTGAAAACTACCACTACATGACATCACAAGGTGGAACATAGCATTTGAGATTTGGAGATGTAAATTATGTGTAGACTAATTATAAAATGGTTAAATAAAATGGTAAAATTTTCAAAATATAGGACCTTTTTAAATAATGTTTATATATGATCTCAGGACCCTGTACTGTTCACTGGCACCATGAGGAAAAATCTGGACCCCTTTAACCAACACACAGATGAACAACTGTGGACTGCACTCGAGGAGGCAAGTCTTTTAACCCTGTGTCTTTTATACGTGAGGTTTATCTATTACAATGAACTGTGTTTTTACCACTTTTTTTTACTTCATTTAACATGAACTACAACCTACACAGACATGACTTGAAAATGTATTATAGCATTCCTGGTGTCTTGGCTCATGCAGCTGATCCAAGGATTTCGGTGTATAGTCTACCTGACCTGCATTGACCTGCATTAAGCTCACCATTCTAAGCCTGTAGAAGTTTTCATTGTCGTCATCAATCTACTTTATCATATTTTAGCAGCAAAACTTCTCTCAACTTCATGCTTAACCAGAAGGGCAACCGCAAAGAATTACCATAGCGTTTCAGAGGCAAAAACAGGTTGGGCAGAGTAAGTTCAATACAAAAACAAAACTGTCTAATGGTCTCTTACAACTTAAGGAAAACTTGATAATAGTTATCTGAAAACATTTTCCTGGGAAATTGATTGCTCGAGTGTACTGCTCAGCCGTTACGTTGGCAGATGTTGTAGATTCTGCTGAACTTGCGTCAGACAAACCTGTTCACCCTTCACACCCTAGTGCCTCCTCAGGCTCAGAGCTGCTCACTCAACAATGCAATTAACCAGTGCCAGACTATAGAAAGTGAGCAGGGTGGGTCACCTCACATTCCCTTAGGGCCTGTTTACACAAGAGCACTTGCGGGTAAAAACAACAAAATATTTGATCAGAAGTGCCTTTCATTTAGATGGTAACGGTGTTTTGGGGGCTTAAAAACGCAAAAATCTGAAACTACCCCCCAGAGTGGAAAAGTTGAATATGCTTTCCGTCTACACTGTCCAAGAAACTAAACTCTGCTCACGTCACATACACCACCCCCTAGCCACCTTCCATGCATACCCAATCGAATTCCACACACTTTGGCGTCACCGTACGCAGATTTCCTCCCGATAACGAGGCGCCACTTTGGGTCTTCTGTTCAGACCGTTGTCATATAAACGTAGCCTTAGTCCACTTCTTTTTACAGTCTATAGGTTTACCTCACCAGTGCTTCTGTATTCTCATGTGGTCCTGTGTGGTGTGCAGGTGCAGTTGAAGAGTGTGGTGGAGGATCTGCCCGGGCGTCTGGAGACTGTCCTGGCTGAGTCTGGCTCGAACTTCAGTGTGGGCCAGAGGCAGCTCGTGTGTTTGGCTAGAGCTGTTCTCAGGAAGAACCGCATCCTGGTCATCGACGAGGCCACAGCCAACGTGGACCCCAGGTACCAGCTCACTACCACACCTGAATATTTTTTTGCAGGAAACTGATCCAAGGCACTGACTGATATGCAGAAGATGGGTAAAAATACAAAAAAAAAATGACTATAGATTGCGGTTTGAATATAAGTTGTAGGAACTTAAACAAGACACTTTTATTCAGTGACACAAAAGATTATCCGAACTCCAAACCACACTGTTTGACTTGACGGATTAACTGTAGATTTAGATCTTAAAGGCCCCAAGCTTTAATCATTTGTAACAATTGAAAGAGATTTTGTGAATCTGCATACGTGCTAGTGTTTGTTATACTGTAACCATGAAACCTTTATGATGGAAAATACCAGATCTCATAAAGAATGTTTGTTTTGTAGGACGGATGAGCTCATCCAGCAGACCATCAGAGAAAAGTTTAAAGAATGCACTGTCCTCACCATCGCACATCGCCTCAACACCATCATAGACAGTGATCGCATCCTGGTAGGTCCTTGTCTTTCTGTCTCCAGTCAAGGGAATATCATCCTCTGATGGCCAAAAAAATTAAAAGTGACTTCACAGTTGGGTTCATTAAGGATTTGACACACTTTGAACATTTTATTTGGCCTTTATACAGGACAGATTACATTCTGGACCCCCTTGAAATGCATCATTTATGTTATATTGAATAATTTCTGTCGAACGTTACGTGTAGAATTAACAATGTCTAATATGAGACTGGAGTGCATTTTTTGCTAAAGACACAAACTTACTTTGTAAAATCACATGTTTTTTTCTAAACACTTAAAAGTAAAAAAAATACACTGGCAGCATCTCAGTGGCTTCTTAATTGCTTTAAAAATGGGAGCTTTTCACTGTATTTGTCAGAATAGCAGATCGTGAGTGGCCTGCAGAGGGCGCCTGTGTTTGTCTCCGTCCATGGCTCAGTTGCAGTTAATCACCTGAAACAAAACCAGGATGTTGTAATGATTCTGTTCATATTTTCTTGCAGGTTCTTGAAGCAGGACGAATCAGTGCCTATGATGAGCCCTACACTCTGCTACAGGACCATGAGGGCATATTCTACAAAATGGTACAGCAGACGGGCAAACAGGAGGCGCTGGCTCTACTAGAAGCAGCTCAACAGGTGAGTTTGAATTACTTTATGGGGTTAGAGGTTGTAGAACAAAAGGTCCTGAAGTGAAGATAATAATGTAACTTAAGTTACTTGAGTTACTGTCTTATGTGTAATAGTTTAAGTTTCATTATCTTCATCTGGCTATAAAATCGAATGCGAGGTTTGTACATTAGCTGCTTCTGTAGTGAGTGTCTGAAAATATGGAGGGACTGGACAAGTTTACATTTCTATTGCTCCATACAAGACAAGCATTCAGAGTGGCAAAACGGGACTATACGTTGAGGGAAAGGGTCAACACAATTCCCTTTTGCAGGAAATTAAGACTCCACAATATTCATTATCCTCATGTCCAGGTATTTTGTACAAAATAGAGATATGTATGCATGCTTGTGTCACTTGTTTACACACCTTATACTGTAGTCAACTGAAATCTTAAGTTTAATTCCCTTTATCATAACTGAATGCACATGGGTTGTTTTGGGCAGTTTTCCTCCTGGAGCAAAATCCAGACCTCATTATCTCAAAGGAGTGGGTTGTGGCTTTATAGTGGAAGTGTAGCCCTGCTGTTCCATCTTAATTGTTACTTCATTGATTTGAAAATAGGATAATTTAGTTTTACATTCAATATAATGTGAGGACAGTGAGATGTGGAGTTCTGCCCCTGGAGGAAAACTTCCCAAAAACAACTCATGCCTATTCAGTTATGCTAAAAGGAATTAAACGTCAGAAGATTTCAGTCCACTACGTACCTAATACAATAAAAAAGCAAAGTATGACATGAGGATAATGAAGATTGTAGAGTCTTGATTTCCTGCAAAAGGGAATCCAGCAGAGGCTTCAGGGCCACTGACATCATTTAACTATAAATAACGACAATCAGGTTTAATTACTTCATTTTGGTTTCAGGCCTACAACAAACGGAGTCGTCCAAGCATTTCAAATGGACATGCGATGACAGAAGACGGGAGCCTGGTCATCTTTGAAACAGCACTATAAAGAGACTGTGTGCAGAGACTGGTGCTACTGTCTACAGAGGCGAAGCTAGCCTGTGGGCCTGTTCAGTCTGCAATACTACTGCTGCTGTTGTTTAGGACACTATTTATTTTTCTGTACATATAAAATTGTATTGCATATTATCCAAACGCTACCTGCCAGTGCCTTTGAATCAGTTTATAATGTAGACAGACTTAAGGTCTTTTAAGTGCTAAAAACTTCAAGTGCAATTGTTCTTGTATACACTATTTTTGCAATTACAGTAGGACTTGTTAAATAAGCAGTGTTGTCTTATTACAAAAGGAAAGCAGTACTTACAGAGAAAAGCAAATGAATGTCATGCCACTCAGCCAACAGCCTGGGGGCGCTGTGGGTGTGCAGCCTGTTAAAGAGCAGTGTCTTAACTTAAAGTACTACCAGGTCAAAGTTCAAGTTACCTTAAGCTCACCTGTCTGGCTGATTCCATGAGAGCAGTGGTTTCAGCCTGACCCAGCTGCTGTACCATCTTAAAGAAAGCTCCCTCTGTGTTCTGAAGAAGTGCAAAGGGGCTGTCTAATTCCTGGATCACTCCGTTGTCCAGCACCTTAAAGGGTTCAAGAGCCATATTTAGACACACAATGTAATCTCTATGGCATTATGTTTAAAATAAAAGTACTTTGAATGTAATGTAAGACCCTTGACTTTTTTTTTAAACAAAGACATTCAGAATTCCATAATGGAGGGTCAAGTGAAACAATGTGATTTCAATGAGAAAACCTGGTAAATGAAAACTCCTCTGAAATCAACAAATGGTCATTTTTTTTAAAGAAGAGATGATAGACCCTGATTTTGCGGGTTTACTGGACAAATCGTTAGAGGAAAGTTAAGCCCACTACAGTTTGTCACTTCATTTACAGATTTATCACACATTACCACAATACATTTTTTTTTTATGCACCTCAAATATAATTTTGATGTAAAAAAAAAAGTTATGTTATAAAACCATCAGCATTTACATCTGTTTATCAGTTAATAATTAAAAATATATTATGTTGCCTTCAGTTGCGTCCATTCATGAATTTTGAACATTCTGATGATGTAGGATTTTAAAGGGTCTATAAATTACTCACCAATATTCGGTCACTGTCAATGATCGTGTTCAGGCGGTGGGCAATGGTAACTACTGTACAATCTTTAAACTTCTTTCTTATTGTTTTTTGGATCAGCTCATCTGTCCTGAAAGCAAACAAAAAAATGAAATCGGGATGGAAATATACAAATTATAATATTTATAATTTTAGACCATATTTAGTTCAAAGGTGCATTGTGTAACTTTACTTGTGGAGGGCCCATCAAACAAGTTATTTCTTTGTCTGAAATGTTTCACAGTATGGCATTAAACCTTTATCTTTGTGGAGGGGCAAATCTGTTCATAGTGTGATTGCCTGTTTTTCTAGCTATTAAACTACAAGTGGGTTTATTGCTCAAAAATAAATATAATGTGGAGCTGTTAAATATCATACTGTGGAACATTTTAAGCAGAGCAATTTAACGTATCCATAGAAACAAGTAGAAAAGTTGTCATTAGTAAATAAAACAACAGATTATTAAAAGGCTACAAACACTTAGGCGTGTGCAGAGCTGCCTGTTTACCAATGCTCCACCTTTCACTGTTATTCAATGATTGAAATATTGTACCCTTGATTAAAGGTGCATTATGCAACTTTTTGGATGGGGGTCTGTCACCTGCTTGTGTCTATGGATATGTAACTTCTCTGCCTGGAATGTTCCATCTTACATTTATTTAATTGGAGCTTTCTATAGCTCAAAAATATCTAGAGAAACAGGCATTCTGACTGTGAGCGGGGTGGCCTCTCCACAGATGGGACCTGTAACTTGGTCTGGTTGGTCTCCATGCAGATAGAAAGTTTTAATTTCATACTGTGAAACATTAGAGACAAAGCAAAAACATCTCCATAGAGAAAATCATGTGACTGCTCCTCCAGAAAGCCAAAAAGCAAGCAACAGAGGAAAAACGTTAAGCATTTAGAAACCAACTGCCTTATTATTTTTATTACATAATATATAATATTACAGGATCATGTGTTTTTTTAGTCTGCAGTGCTCACAATAAATGTCTATATAGTGCACAAGCTGTTTGTCTGCATGGAGAGTTCAAATGTCAAAAGTTCAAGTGTTCAAATCAAAACTATAACATCTCAAAGGACACAAACACTTGGCAGACCCTCCACTAGAAAAGTTACATAGTGCATCTTTAATATTCATCTGCTCCACTGGCACTAAACCCATATCATGTGCTGGTACCTGGGGTCCACGTTGGCTGTGGCCTCGTCGATGACCAGGATGCGGTTCTTCCTGAGAACAGCTCTGGCCAAACACACGAGCTGCCTCTGGCCCACACTGAAGTTCGAGCCAGACTCAGCCAGGACAGTCTCCAGACGCCCGGGCAGATCCTCCACCACACTCTTCAACTGCACCTGCACAAGGGACACCAAATAACCATGTGGTAAGTCATGTCCTTAATTAATTTGGTTTAAAACTGATTTTTTTTTATAGATATTTTGCAGATTCTGGATTTAAGTTTCAGAAATAAATTATAAATTTGCCTTAAAATGTATAACCATTAAATGGCTCAAACCAGATCACTTTTGTAATAATATGGCTAAAGAAAGTATGGGCTATACATCAAATGGAGCAGATAACATTCTTTAAAGATACAAAAATCCACAGTTCTTAAGGGTTGGAAACACGTTTTCGCTTTATTTATACAGTAGGTGTGACTTTGGGTCACTGATATTTAAAGACCGGACCGTTTAATTCTGTCATTTTCATGTTGTTGCATATTTTTTGTTGCAAACTTCAATTACAGAAAAATATGAACTGTTTGTGTATTGATTTAAACTGTATTCCCCCCAAAAAATATAAATATAGATATCACAAACTTAAATGTCTTTAATGTTCATTCAAAATGTGAGAAAAATTATGAGAAATTTTACTTCTTTTTCAAGGCAGAGCTGCATGATTACATGTAGTGACTTATTTATTAATCATTTAAAAATGAAAAAACGTTCCTATTTATAACTTATTTCTTAGTAATTTTAGTTTTGTGTGTTTTACTTTTTTTTTTTAAAAAGCCACTGTACATTAGAACAGCGACTTAGCTCCTGGCAGAGTGGGGAAGACATATTATTCTAAATGTGAGTTTGTACTAATTGTTTTTGTAATTTTATGAAGCACCAACTGGAATAAAAAACAAAAGAAATTCCACAGTTGTATTTCATAACACTTGGATTCACATTTGAGCCACCACCATTCATCCTGATGTTGACTTTTTAATGTTGACGTTCTATGAACACACATTTCACTTATAAATACCGGTTTTAGGCGTTAGGCTTTGACCACTGAGATGTGCGCGTAGGAAGTGGTAAAACCTGAACAGGTGGTTTGTAACTGGCAAATGTTCTTGGACAATAAGGTCACAGAGTGTGTCATAAATTAAGCATCTTACCAAACACTGCCAACACCAACCACTGACAACAGACGCCCAAATACAGGTAAACTCACCTCCTCCAAAGCATTCCACAGCTCTCCGTCTGTGTGCTGACAGAACGGGTCCAGGTTCTTCCTCACAGTGTCACTGAACAACACTGGATCCTGGAAACAAGTTATAACAGTTAATTTCAAGGTCCCATGTTACACAACATTGATTCTTGTGAGCTTTAAGCCATGTTAGAATATTGTTACCTCATCAAAAACATACCTGGAGTAGTTTTGTTTTTGTTCACACAAGTAACTATTTATTATTAGTCTGTCTACATCTCCAAAGCTCAAAATGCTCTGTTCTACTATGTGATGTTATGAAGTGGTAGTTTAAGTTAACAGCTTCTGTCTACCTTTTGTTCAGTGAAATTTCCAGGGCTTCCCATATTACCACATGACATCACAAGGTGGAACAGTGTTTCTGTTTGAGAGAAGAATTAAATATGCCTAAATATGCAGGGTTTGTATGTTAAATGTGTGTGAATGAAATAAAATACAACTCCAGGTATGTTTTTGATGATGTAAAAACATCTAATATGGGCCCTTTAACCACACAAATAACATAAGTTTGTATTTAGATTTACTGAGCAGCGTTCAAACCTGAGGAATGATGGACATCTTCTGACGCAGGTCGTGGAGGCCAAGCTCTGACGTCAGGACTCCATCGATATAAATCTTTCCCTCTGGCTCCGAAAGACGAAACAGAGCAGACACCAGAGAGCTCTTCCCAGCTCCTGTTCTGCCCACTACACCAACCTAATGAACACAACATTTTTAAGGTAAGCAAGTGTCAACTGTGAATATTTTAAAAGCTAGAAATGGTTATATTTAGTTGATACTACAAAAAAGTAAAATGAATACTTGGTTACAATGAGTTTAGGAATTGTGTTATACAGCTGATCATATCAGTTGGTTTCAAAGTGATGAAAACCTAGCACCACTGCCATATAAGCCTGTCATAGTAACACATTTTCAAGTACGATATATTGTTAAAGAAAATATACACTATAAACGATTATATTTATGTCACTGACACAATACCTTTAAATTGGAAATATCCCCCAAAATAATTTTAAATGTATAAAACGGTAAAAAAAACCCAAAAAACGCAAACTTAAATAAATAGCAGAATAAAATACTTTAGTACGCTGTAATTTGTATTTAATGAGTCATGAGTAATTTATTCCACATTCTACATGTTAAATCTTCTTGTAGTACAGAAAAATAACAAAAGGTTCTCCACTAGTATAAAGAAAAAGTACCTACAGTAAATGTTGACCCCCAAAAAATATTGTTCCATCTTACATGCAGTATATGGAAGTAATTATCATGACAGTCCTGTTATCACATCAGAAAGCTGAAACGCATAAATAGGCTACTAGAGAAAAAATGTCCAATGTAACAACTATTTCTATTTTTCTCTTTTCTGATCATTCAAACACATAGATTACTTATAGTTACTAAAGCTTTACCTTTTCACTGGGCTGCAAGCTGAAGCTGAGATCATTCAACACAAGGGGCCCATCCTCACTGTAGCAGAAGTTTACTCTGTTGAAAGTCACAGTGCCATGTTTCGGCCAATCAGGAGGTGGTTTCTTGTCGGTTTCCCATGGTGCCTCGCTCTCCAGCTCTGTGTACTCCACCACTCTCTCCACTGAGGTCATCTGGGAGCACAAAGGGTAATTTTTGTAAGTTTCTGCTGAAATGCGTTTCTTAAAATAAACGTTAAATGAGGGTTGAGGTCCGACCATGTTTTCCACTTCGGCGCTTTGTCTGACCGTCCACTGGAAGTTGCCCACCAGAGTCACAGCGTACGTCAGCACCAGGCCCACCTCTCCAGCGTGCAAACCTGACAACAGCAACAACAGAGACATTCTTAAAAGGTCACTATTTTTCAGCTTTTTTTCCACTAAGATGTTATTGCTGGAATATAGTATAGCATTAAACCCAACCATCTCCAGTAGACAAGCAGGTGATGCCAGTGGACCAGGCTACATTAGAGTGCTGAGTCTAGTCAATAGACCGTATATAAAAATGGACATAGCTAACTCACCAACCGCCGCATTCCAAATAAGGAGTCAACATGGGGAGGAACGCTATGGGAGATGCCACACGACCTTAGTCTACTTCTTTATACAAACTATGGTCTAATCACAGTCAAATGTTTTTTCAGGTATTTTGAGTTTAATGCCATACTGGGGAACATTCCAGACGATGCAACAAGCAAGAAAGTGGCAGACCCTTGCGTTGTGCATATTTTCAAAGAATAATATATTGTTCTCACCATTTCTAAGTAAAATACAGCCAAATGCCGTTAGGGTGATGAAGACTGAGCAAATTCCATCGAGTCTTAGTGCAAACCAACGGGACGTCATCAAGAACAAAAACCAGGTCGCTAAAAAATAAAAAATAAAAAAATATTTCTAGTTTTTTTAGATTGGATTTTGAGCTGCAGTTAAAGGACCCATATTACACTGTTTTTTGATCTTTATTATAATGCCGTTTCCTCACAAACATCGCTGGAGTAGTATTTTGTTTCATTCACACATAACACATAAACCCTACATATACAGGCTGAGTTCTTCTCTTAAATATTAACCACTGTTCCACCTTGTGATATCATGTGACAATACAAGAAGTGCCCCATTGTGTTTTTAAAATCTATACAACTTCACCCGACTAAGTTGGATAATTTTAGCTCTGGAATTACAAATCTCGACTGAACAAAAGGTAAAACGCAGCTGTACCACTGCATGATATCACAAAGTGGAACAGAGCATTTTGAGGTTTGGAGATGTGAGCTTTAAGCCATGTTATAATGTTGTTACCTCGTCAAAAACATACCTGGAGTTCTCTGTCTACAAGAGTCAATTTTGTGTAATATAGGTTCTTTAATGAAAAAGGAATGATGCTAACATGAGTGGACATCCTGATATGAATCAAACTGCGTCTGTAACCCGTCGGCAGCTCGGAACGCTCGGATTGTCCACAAACCCTGAAGAGACGAGGACAGGTGGGAGAACACAGGGCTACGGGCTGCAAGGAAATCAAGAAACTCAAGTTATTCAATGTTATTCAAGGTAAAGTTAATTGCTCCAAATTTTGAGGCATCCACGAATGAGCTATTATGAGAGAGTTAAAGGTGTAATGTGTAAATTATCTGATCAATCACCAGCTTGTTTCTATGGAGATGCCATTGCTCTGCCTGGAATGTTCCACAGTATGACATTAAACAGCTCTACCTTACATTTATTCAGTTGCTTTTAGTTTTATAGCTCAATAATTCTTAGAAAAACAAGCTTTCTGAGTGTGAGTGGGGTTGCCTCTCCACAGATCTGACCTGTAACTTAGTCTGGTTTGGTCATCATGAAGACAGACAAGTTTAATACCATAGTGTGAAACAATCCAGACAATGCAACAACATCTCCATGTAGAAAAGTCTTTGAAAAAAGTTACACAATGCACCTTTAAAACGAAAACGACTGGACTTGTTTTCATTTTAACTCCCTTAAAATATTCAATTATTTTTTTAGACAGGAAGTTACAATGGTGCAAAGGAAATGGACTCACTGGTAGCCTCAAGACGTTTAATATCCCGAGAGGTCTGGAGGTAGAAACGCCTCAAATATAAAAACAGTATAAGAAGAAATGTGACAGGAATAAGGATGAGCGGGATTACGGAGGCAGCCACAGCAATTACACCAAGATTCTGCAAAAATAACTAAGACAGAAAGACACAAGTTAACACAAATATTACAACATCGGACCAAAATTAAGAGATTAACAACACTGGGGATCTTAATATTTCATGTAAATCTTATAAGCACAAGTGAAGGACTTTTTGTAGAATTATTTCATATTTTTAGACAATTTTCAAGCAAATAGCAAGCTGTTCATATTTAATTTCAAATAATTAACTTATGTATGAATTTATGACTAGATAGAAATAAAACTGTAATGAAGCTAATAAGCGTCACTTTTCCCCCACATTGTTTAAAAACAAGCTGGAAAAAATAAAATAAAAAAGGCATTTTCATAAAGTTTTCCATGTACCTGATAAAAATCCACAAAGGTTATAGGTAACATAGAGTCCATTTGGCCAATGTCTTTGGAAAATCTATTCAAAATTCTTCCTACAAGAGAAAAAAAAAGATCTTACTTTTGAATCTGTTGCTATTAAAGATGCAATATTACATAAAACTGAATGCGGGCTGTAATTCATGTTATAATGCTGTTACCTCCTGAAAGAGATAAAGATACCTGGAGTTGTTTTGTTTCATTCACACGTGACTGAGTAAACCTTTATTAGTCTGTGTACATCTCAAAAGCTCAAAATGCTCTGTTCCACCTTGTGATGTCATGAAGTAGTCTTTTTCAAGTAGAGATTGACAATTCCAGGGCTAAAATGATCCAAATGATAGTGAAGGTTTTATACAGCTTAAAAATACAGCACTTGGCAGCACGAGGAGGAACAGGGTGTTTTCCGTCTGAGAAAAGAACTCTAAATATGCAGGGTTTGTGTGTTAAACATGTGTGAATGAAACAAAACAACTCCAAGTATGTTTGTGATGAGAAAACAACAGATCAGAAAATAGTGTAATATGGGCTCTTTATAATAATAAACGAACAAACCAATGGGGTTGATGTCAAAAAAGCGGACGGGTGAGCGAAGGACAGCACTGAACATGTTGTTATGGAGACACTGGGAGGATCGGACGAGGCCATGGAAGATCACTAAACTCCTCGCGTATCCAAAGACAACAGCAGCTATGGTCAAACCTGTAAGGGAAGTACAAGGCTTTCTTCGTCTATGGTACACTTAATATCTTGTCTTTATAAAGTACATAAGGGCAGCTATAACCTGAGTACACGCTGAGGTAGAAATTCAGATCGGTGTGTTCAAGTAAGGAGGTTTCATTGTGGAGAGTTCGAATACTTTCAGTAGTGTTGTTTGCAACCTTTCCATTTGACCTGCAGATACATGAACCCACTCATTTTATTGTATAAAAGGTGCACCATATAACTTTTCTGGTGACCTGCTCGTCTCCATGGAGATGCTATTGCTTTGCTTAAAATGCTTCATAGTTTGGCAGTAAGGTAATGTATCTAGTGATTATGACAGCCTTGTTTGTTCATTGGAAAAACACGCATTATTACATCAAAACAAATGTAAATTAATGATCTGCATGTTATAATTAAATACAAAATACCCAAAACAGAATCATGTGCTCTTTAATGCCATACAGTGGAAGATTTCAGGCAAACATCTCCACGGAGAGAAGCAAACGGGATATGCTCCAACAGAAAAATTACATATTGCACTTTTAAAATTGCAAGTAGAATATTTATATAACATAGGAAGTACAGTGTTCTCACCAGTAGACCAGCCACCAGTCCTGTAGGATGTATGCAGCCTATGGAAACACAACAGAAACTATGCACTCTTACTCAACACACATACGGCTGTTGTGCAATAACAGAGCCTCACCTCGGCTACGATACTGAGCAAGACTATAGAGAGAAGAGCGAGGTAACTACAGCCTGCAGTGAAGTATCGTGCATAAATCTCATGACTAACATTTCCTTCGATGCGCGTTTCCTCTGTGATGGTATGAACTGTTTCAATCTGGAGAGAAGCACAAACATCTGGTCTTAATGTAGGACTAGAAACATGGAGCAGATTAGGGCTGCGTTTTGTGTGTGTACAATTATTGCGTCTAATGTTTAGTTCACATTGCATTATTCTAAACATGTACAGGAGCAGTTATGAAACAATTACTGTATAAGAATCCAATATGTCCAAGAATCCAAGATCTTGTGCCACAAGATCTTGTGAGACAAAATTGCAAGAAGATTGTGCACACATGGTGAAAATTATTTTCTATTATATCTGAGATTTTATTCCATGTTTTTATGGATTTAAGTACTGCCAAATTACACTTCTTGAGAAGCTGTAGTCCCAAAAAGCAGTGCAACAATGTCAACAACAATTGTAACAAATATCAAAATCTCGTCTTGTCTCGTTCTCGTTTCAAATCTTGTGTCTCGTCTTGTCTCGTGGAAATTGTCTCTTGTCCAACCCCTAGTAAACTATGCAGAGGACATTGCCATGATTAATTTCACCAGGGATACACCCTGGTGTACCCTCATGCAGTTTGTGTTTAAAAGGAATAAAGTACATTTTCAGTCTCTACCCTAGTATCGGTTGATATCAGGTATCAGCAGATATGTAAGGCCCAAGTATCAAAGCGGTATCAGAAGAGAAAAACCTGGAATAGAGCATCCCTAAATTTCACCAGTCTATGAAATATCTTAAATCGAACTAAGTAAACAACAGTGACTATATGTTGTTGTATAAGCTTGTATGTTAAAACAACATTACTTAAATGACTGCAAACTTTGCCATTTAAGCTTTGACATTTTAGTTACTACTGCAATTAGGACTAATGTGACCAAAAATAACTGGAAGCATCTTTTAAAACACAACTAAGCTGGAAGAGAGCGTGAACTGTCTTGCTGCAGGAGCGGTGCGCTGTGGGATTTGTGTTTGTAGGTTCTAGTCTGGTTTGTGGTTCTAGCTCCTGAAGCAGGTTTGTCTGAAGCTCCTCAACAGTACGAGGCCACAACTCCTCGTCACTGTTCAGTAAAGACACCATGTCAAATCCAGACCCGGTCAGCCCTTGGTATGTTCCCTGAGCCACAATGTGACCCTGAAACACAAAAATACAGTTAACTTGATATAAAGTTAACTTGTATGTACACCACTATGATTATCAAATGTAATGTTGGACCGAGGATTCTCGATTTTCTTGGAATATAGCGGCTGAAAATTTCATAGATTATAATTGATTTCCATCTTTTAAAAGTACGCATTACAGTCCTATAATGTTCGAATGCAACACTTTAGTCAAATTCGATGACATTTGCATTGTAGAAACATTCATTGTTGAGTGACCATATTATGTTTTGGTACACAACTATAAGGTTAGTAAGAAGTTAGGTTCGTAATTTGTCAATTTGTGCGGTTGTTTGTACAGCTTAGTCAATTTAGTTCCTTTACTCAATTATTTGGTTGACGGTGCCTTAGTCAACATTTTGATTGAGCGGATGAAGTTTTGATAGTATATTTATGAAAACTCCAGCAAAAAGAGAATACTGTTACTGAGTGCTAACTATTTACATTTCCAGGTTTTTTAATTTATATGTAAAAGCCAATGAAACATCAGATTGAAAAGTTTCACTATGTCTTTTTATAATATATGACGAAAATTTGGTACACTTCGTCTGCATTGAGTAAGATACAGTCATTGGTTTAGATACAATCATTTTCAGAAACATGATCTTTCAGAGCACGCACCTCTTTTTAGTCGACAATTTGAACAGACAATTGTGATTATCAATAGAGGAATGTCAAGTATTCAACCAGGAATTTCTTAAAAGTAGCAGATTACTGAGGTCCTGATCCATTGTAATGTAACAGTCAGTCGCTTTAGTCGCAGTAGATTTAATAAGATATTTAATTTAACAACAACTCAAATACCAAATCTCCATTTAGAACGATGATGTGGTCGGCCCCTTTCAGGTACTGCAGCTGGTGAGTGACCGAACTTGGCATTAAATTATAGATTTGAGAACCTCTGGATACAGCATTAATAAGGCATTACAACTGCTTGAGCAAGCATTAGATCGGCATTACGACATTATCAGAAGACTGAAGATTCAAAACAAATGGAGGAACTCACTGATCAAACAGAAACTTTCCGACCTCAGCGTCCACAGCACTTAAAGGGTCATCCAGGAGGTAGATGTCTGCATCCTGATACACGGCTCTTAAACACACAACCAGTGAACAAATCATAAATATTAATAAATCATTTAAATAAATATCATTATTCCAATAACCTGAAATCCTTTTTTAACAATTGTTTAAAAGGGATAATGTTTTAAAATTGGAACCCTTGGAAGATTGAAAGTATTATGTGTGATCATTACCTTTAGCCCATTGGCCTTAAAAATTAATTATAAGGGCATCTTTATGAATGAGATAAAGAAAACTATTACATTAAACATGTAGCCCCATTTAATTGAAACTTTAATTTTTTTGACTTAAAATTCAAAAGAATTTAAAACTCTCCCTTTGGCTCCACTGTAACATGCAGTGAAGCATTTTTGCAAATCGTTCAAGTGAGCATATTTTTGCCAATTGCATTTCAATGCAAAGTGGGAAAAATAAAAATCTATTTTCTTCTAAACAAATCGATTTGAACAAATTTGATTAATTAGTTAATCAGTTTTTTGCTCAGCCCTAATTCATGCCTGAAAATCCTTCCATTAAATGACAGCATAGTACGAGCCTGAGTCCTCTTTAGGAAATATGACATGCAATAATGAAGAGAAGAAAACCTGCCTCGCCAGAGTGACCCCTTGTCTGCCCTCCGAAGATGGTCCACCTCTGTTTCCTAATGTAAACATTGGCTAACAAGGCCTCCATGTTCAAACAAAGTAAGTGAAAGTCTGCGTCTTAAACACCCTTGCTTTCATACTCACACAAAACAAATACTTGTGAGAAATGTTAAGTGCTCGATTTGTCAATGTTTTAACAGGATCTTTAAGAGTTCCAAACAGCTGTAGGTTAGAACCATTAGATACCATTCAGATGGAAGACAACGTGTAATTACTGAGCGGTGTCACAGAGGCTTAGAAAATTCAACAGTCAAAGGAAGCTGCAAGATCCACTCCAACTTAGAAACAAAGAACAAGAGCGAACCATAGAATTTGTGAAATTACATTACACAACATGAAACAGTAAATGTCCATAGGAGATCCATTAACAAAAACTGTGGAACAACCCAATAATCTGCTGGATCATCATTTGTAAATACAATACATGCCAAATTACTTTTGAATGAACACAACAACTGGTCATCTTAATTTCATATTTTTTTTCTTAACAAAGCATCTTAAAAATTAAATTGTTTCTATTCTATGTAAGGCGTGATTGAAAGATGAAATTTAATATGATTGTCCACTTTAGGAAAATTGTCTCTTGCACCTGTAAAATTAAAGTATGACATATTGGATTAGCATGCAGTTCTCTATTAAATAAATTCTACCATTAAACAGATGTATATGCATGTACCTTCCCTGCTCCCACAGGCCCAATGACGGCCAACAGCTGCTGTGGTTTCACTGTGATGGAAACGCTCTGCAGTGAAGGCGCGTCCAGACTCTAGACACAAATATTGAAGCGAGACCAGAGTAATTTTTAATCCATAACATCACAAGACATACAAGTTAAAAATTTGCCTCCTGACCTTGTCCCAGTACCATGTCATGAAGCTCCACAGGGATCTCTTTGTCTTCTAGAGCGAGAACGACATCATTTCTCTCAACCTCATCCAGCAGCAGGTAATTCTGAAAGAGAAAAACACTTGTCTCATACTGTGAAACATCTAAAAGAGCAGTTCCAGTAGTAAAATTTACTGCATGAGGACATGGTAATAGAAGCTTTTTGGTGGAGCTTGCCTCCTTTTCTTTGCCTAGAATATTGCACAGTATGGCAATAAACTGATCTATGTCCCTGGAGACAAGCAGGTGACACCAAGCTGCCAAGTTACAAATCAGATATGTGGAGAGGGTAATAAAAATATCTGTAATTAATCTGTAACTCACTTGCAACTAAATAATTTTATTACATACTGTACTGCGTGCATGAGTGTATGTGACAAATAAACTAAAGCAGGCGATGCACCCTGCAATGAAGAAGTTACACAGCCTACCTTTAAAAGTTTTTTTTTTTTTTTTTTAAGTACAATGACAATCATACTTTGTTTGAATCTTCTGAAGTAAGAAGATGAAACAACAAATATCTTTCTCCCTAGCACTAGTCAAACATTATTCAACTTAGTCTCAAAACAAATAATTCAAGTAAGAAAGTTCTTGTGTGCCTCAGGGGTCCCCTTACAGCAGGTGGGAATTTGATCTAAGATACCAAATATCAAAACAAACCTGCACCTACCCTAATCCTGAATATGCTGACTCGAGTCTCTGAGACTTTCTCTACGGCCAGGGGGAAGAAGAGGGTCACAGTGAGTTTGATGGTCCCGTACAGAGACACAGTGACAAACACACTGCTGGCTGTTATGGCATTCCCCAGAAGAGCGTAAACAGTGAATGTGAAGAAAACAATGATCTTGCTGCTGGCAAAGAAAGACGCCATGTTGAGACCCCGGAGGTAGGAGCTCTTCATGATTTGATGAATTTCTTTTCTGCAAAAATGTCACAGAATACATAATAGACTTTTTGTAACAAAGTGGTATTAAGGGCTGCAATGATTAATCAGAATAATCATGACTTAAAAAAATAAATAAATAAAAAATAAAGATACATTTATTTTATCATTACCTGGGCTATACAGACTCCTGCCCAAAGTTGGTTTATAAAGATGACAGTGGCATTACATGGTTTTCTGATTTATGTTATGTTGTTTCCTTATCACAGACATACCTGGAGTTGTGCTTTGTTTCATTCACACATGTTAATTTTAAAACTACTGCTCCATGAGATCACAAGGTAGAATAGAGCACTTTGATCTTTGGAGATGTAATAAATGGATTACTCAAACATCTCATAGAACAAGTATGTTTTTGATAAGTAAACAATGGTCTAAAATGGCTAAAAGCTCACAAGAGTCAATTTTGCATAATATGGGACCTTTAAATATCCAAAAAAGACACAGTATTTCAAACCTTCATTCTTAAATTTGGTTAAAACATTTTAAAAATCACAATGTACAATAGAAATAATCCCTAACTAGTATTATAGTACATGCCTGTGTCTGAATACACGTATCCATAAGACTTTTAGATAATGGTCAGCTTGAAGACATCACAGCATGTATGTTTAGTTTTTAAGTGACTAATTTCATGTCTAAAGAACAACAAATGCAAAAAGCAAAATGAGTCCCTAACAATGTGTGCAGACATGCATGCTGTAACATGTTGTGTTAAACATAAACTACAGAGAACTATAACAACTTTATAATTTACTGAACTAGCCTTTTAACAAATACTAAAAATACTAAACCTTCAGATTTTAGCAGTTGCCTGCAATGAGTTAACACTTGTTGAGGAAGAAAGGTCAAATGGGCTTTTACAAATATTAAACTGGTTAAGAGGAAGGGTGTACGTTAGAGCAAGATCCTTCCGTTCAGAAAATTCCTGTCTTTGGTTTAACTAATGGCAGTGATGGAATATAACAAAAGTAGTAGTAAAGTACTGGACTTAAGTATACATTTTAGTCATCTGCAATTTACTGAATTTTAAAGTGGGTACTTTTTAGTTTTACTTCATTACATTTGAGAGCAGGTATCTCTCTACTCCACTTCATTTTTTTTTTAACAGGACTGAAAAGTAAAAGCCTTTTTCATTATTGTTTGAGACCTGCTGAAAGGCTGAAGTTTATTTTTAACATAATTTGAGCAAATAAAAATATCCAAAAAACAAACAGATAGGAAAAAACACAGATTCAGTTGTGTCTGTTGAACAAAACTTGGCACAAATTTTTATCAAAATCAATAAATGTGAAGCCTTAAAAGACCTTAAAGTACACTCTAAGTAGATTTTTCATGTGATGCTTTTACTTGAGTATTTCTTTGCTTTGGTATCTGTACTTTTACTTAAGTAACAAAACTGAGTACTTCTTCCACCACTGGCTAATGAAATGTAACTGCAAGCCAAATTGAAAAAATGACAGAGAAGATACGTGGCTTACTTTCTAACACCAGTGAGGAGAGCCGAAAATGGCTTTTCCCAGGCGTACATCTTAATGATCCTGATGCCTGATACGACCTCATTCATGATGCGGATCCTGTTGTCTGTAAAGATAACTGATTTACTCCTGAAATGACAAAGATAACATCATTAACATTTGGATGACGACAACACAAGCCCCGAGGCAGAGGTGGAAAGTTACAAGTACAAAAGAAAATGTAAGAAAAAATGGCATGTGTACTTTAAAGGGCCCATATTAGGCCATTTTCAGATTTATGTATGTTATGATGTTTCCTCATCACAAACAGACATCGAGTTGTGTTTTATTTCATTCAAAAATGTTTAACACACAAACTTATGTCACGTGGTAATACAGGAATTGCTCCACTATGTTTTTAAACTCTATATACACCTTCACTAGAATCATGGGAGTAGTTTCAGCCCAGGAATAGCCAATTCCAATTAAACAAAAGGTTAAAGGTAACTGTTAGCTTGAAAACTACCATTACATGACATCACAACATATGAATGAAACAAAACAACTCCAGGTATGTTTTTGACGAGGTAACGTTCCAACATGCCTTAGAGCTCACAAGAGTCAATATAGCGTAATATATGGCCTATAAGCACATTTTGCAAATGAAACGCATTACTTTAACTTGATTACATTTGAGAGCAGTTCTCCACCAGATTTCTGAAATGGACTGTAAAGTAATTTTTATTAGGGGCCTTAAGGTTTGAGTGAGGCTGGGTTTAGAACATACAGAACTGTGTAGATAAAAATGACCAGATAAATTGATCAATTCAGTCCTTTTGGTTGATTAGTAAATATCAGCACAAGTTTTTCACAAGATCACAGCATTTGACAATGTTACAGTTGTCAGAATTATCAACTGATACAACAATACTTTTACTTAAAAGGTGCATGTAACTTCAAAAGGTGGAGGGTCAGCTACTTGCTTGTCTCCATGGAGATGTTATTTCTTTGCATGGAATGTTCCACAGTATGGCATTCAGCGTATCTGCCTTGCATGTATTCAATTACAAGTTCTTTCTAGCTCAACAATACCTTGAAAAAACATGAATTTTACTATGTGCAGGCTTGCTTCCCCATAGGTATGTCCAGTACTTTGCCTCCATTGTGATAACAAAGTTTAATTCCATACTGCATAACATTCAAGTCAAAGCAATTACATCTCCATGAAGCCAAGCAGGTGGCATATCCTCTACCAGAAAGGATACACAGTGCATCATTAAGTAGATTTTTACAATTATTTTATTGCCAGATCTACTTTTGAGTAAATCTGCTGTATCTGTACTTTTTTAGAATTGAGTCCTGCTTCCACCATTGACAAGAGGGTTTTAGTGTAATTTACCTGAATAGCCCAAATAACTTCCCAAACCAGGTCTGTAGAGGCAACATGAGAGCCACTATGGTCACTCCAGCCAGACAGGAGAGGCCGATCTCATACCACAACAACGCAAGGATAACTGCAGCCTGCAGGGGGCCTATCCACAGGTAGTGCAGGTTTAAAGTGATCTATGAACAAAGGGGGGCAGTGTGAGTACAAGATGCAAAAACTGAATTAAGAGTTCACTGAATACGAGTGTGTGGACCTCATCGAATCTGTTCACGTCATTGGAGAGAAGGTTCACTATTTGGCCAGTGGTGGTTCGTCCAACAGATTCAGTGCTGAGTTGAAGGGCCTGAACATAAGGAATATGTTAAGCTGAGTTAAATGTGGTTTCAAAAAGTAGTATAGGTTTAGAAGTACAAGTGCTTGGACCAAGTAAGCAAAATAAGTTATTCATAGTAGTAGCTGAACTAGTAGTAGTAGCAGTGGTGGACAAGTAGTAGCTGTAGCCTGTAGTGCTAGAAAAGGATACTAACTGGCAAACCCTACTCTCAATACTTTTTTGATTCATTATTACTGACTTGAGTTATATTTCAATGTCAGTACTTAGGCTAGAAATTATAATATTGAAACAAATTTAAGCAACCAACACAATAAAACAAGATTTAAACTACAAAAGCTATTCTAAAGCTACTATATCTTATAAAAAAACAAACCTAGTAAAATAAAATAAAAAATCAGGAGCTGCATTAAAGAAACAGCACAATAAAACACTGTTGTGCTTTGCAGTTTGCATGAGTAATGAGTGATAGAAGTTATTAATTCTCCCTTTTATGGCAAAAATGTCATCATATAGCCAAAAAATGACAAATTTCCCAATAGTGCTAAGAAAATGTACATATGATAAATACTGACCCCTAAAAATATTATTACAGCATTCATATATTCAACAATATAGTAAGAGTCAATATAGTAAATATAGTAACAGGCCTATAAATTGCATATGACAGGTTTATAATATTTTTTTATTATTATGATGGGATGGTATTTGTGGTCAATATTGGTCATTGTGTTTCATCTGTCAAGTGGCATTCGGTTATGAAAAGAAATTGGCACAAAGTTCAAAAAAGAAAATCGCCCAGTCTGGCATTAATACACAAAGCTCCATCCAAAATGCAGGAACAATAATAACTTTTGTGCAAATCAGACAAAATTTGGCTCTTGGTTACAGCTGTGGTGGAAGGTAACAAAGTACAGAAGTAAAGTACAATTCTTATGTACAATTTTTAGGTGTATGTACTGTGGTGGAAATTTTAGTATTGGATGTTGTTCTTTCTGTTGTCTACGTAAGAAGTATTAAAAGCCACACTATTCTTTGTCTAATCCTTTCTGTCACAGGAAGGCTATAGTTATCCTTTTGGGTTTGCATGTCCATTGTTTATTTCACATGCTAAGTGTTTATCATCTGAGTACAGGTCAGGTTGATCAATGTAAAGGCATTACATTTCTGAGATAAGAAAGCCAAATGGCCAGCCAGACTAACCTAAATGCAAAGTGTTCTTGGGGAAGGGCTTGGACCTCAGTGAGTATTTAAGTGTTGTTACCCCACTGCTCTGGGCTCACTGGTGGCAGTAACTAATGGAATACCAGTGCAAACGTAATAAACCAACCTAGGCAGTCTTCTTGTACATTTTGGTATTTTACAGATAATTTCCATGACAGTACTTAAGTATGTTTAACAGAGGATACATTTTTACTTTTACTTCTCTCCATTTGAAAGCAGGTATCTAGACTACATTTTAGATCTGAATTTAATTTGAACTGATGTAAACAGTACTTTTCTTGACTAAGATGTATTTTTAGCACATTTTGGGTTAACGTCCCAACTTTGAGCAAACCATATACCCAAAACAGCTAGAAAATTTAAGAAATTACTGAATCATTTAAAATACACTAAATTCTTTATCAAAAGCTTTAATTTTCCAAAAGTCTCTGCAAAATACTTTTAACTTACAATGTATTTTAAAACAGGTAGCTTTATCTTAAATATTTTTTTTTCATGTGATACTTTTACTTGAATTATCTTTTGCCCCTGTATCTCTATTTTACTTAACAAATTTAAGTACTTCATCCACCACTGGGCTACAGTATGGTTGCTAAGGAAGTTATACAATTACCTCTACATAGCTACTGCACATGTCCAACCAGGAAGTAAAACTAAAAACTTAATAAAAAGTGAAAAACTAGGGTAAAACTAAATGTAGATGTTCAGCAAATTATTAAACATAGGCCTACTTACTTTAACAACGTTTTGAGGACATTGGCCTTCCAAACTGTCATCATCCTGACCTGTACTCAAATGCATTCATGTACAGGTGTTACGTGTCTGAGCTAAAGACTGACCTAAATGCTCTAAAAACTACTCTTGGGAAAGGGCTTGGATCTCAAACAGTATTTAAGTGTTGTTACCCTATTGCTCTGGGCTCCCTGCTGACAGAAACTCTTGTCAGTAGTGGGACCATTTGTTACTGACGCAAATGTAATAAACCAACATAGACAGTCTTCTTATATGTTTTGGTATTATTTTACAGATCATTTCCACAACACCTGTGTATATGTAACACCTGTCTCTGTGTAAAAAGAACTAGGCCATGGTACCTTCTTGAAGATCATGTGACACACAGCGACCCTCATCTTCATGCCAATCCTCTGGGAGTTGTAGTAGTACAGATGCTGCAGAAACGTTAGACCAAACGTGGACAGGGAAATGGCTGCTGCATATGTGCATGCCAACCAGAGACTTTGATCATCATTGGGGTCATAATTCTCAAAAAATAAAATTATTTTCCCTAACAAAAGAGGTTGGATGACTTTGATAGCTTCCTGAATGGAAAAGATACAACATATACATTTGTAAATATTCTAGGATTGGTTCGAACACTGCACAGGTGACAAGTAGAATGTAGTAGAACTGTTATGAAACATACCAAAGAAAAGGCAAAGAGTCCAGCCTTTGCATATGAGGCTCCATAGCATTGGAAAAGGACCTTTGTTAGACTGGGCTCAGAAAGCTGTTTTTTAGATTTTCTTACTTCACGGTCCCAAAAACTAAAAAAGATGAATGACTGGTGTATATTTTTAAAACTCTAATACTGCATGTTGCAATGTGGAGTACCTTTGTAGCTCTTTGCCGAGAGTTTCAGAGCGATCCTCTTCTAGAACATTATACATGTCACTCTCCTCTAGACGCTGTTTTTTCCCCAGTTGTAGTAGAGGGGACAGCCAGCTGCAACAGTTAATGATACACTGATTAAGCTCGTGTTTTGGTTGTACTATGAACATTAAAGAGACACCACCCTTTTATTACTCTATGTAGATAAATAACGGCATAGAGAGTGATCGTCTTCTGTGACTGAGATAACACCGGCATTGACTTAAACACCACCATACCACACATTTTTGGAGCACGTTCGTCCCATGCGTGTTTTAAACAGTTTGAGGAATGGTTTCAGACAAACAAGTGCAGCAAAAGCCTTGAATCCCATGTGTTTATCACAGAGCATATGACTAGTCTATAGTCACCATGGCTCACATAAAGGACATCGATCGGACATACAGCATAGTGCAGAATATCCTACAGTGGGATCACTATGTTCCAAACTGAATTCATTTAAAGCCGCGCGCCTGAAGACTACAACTAAAGTGGAAAACTTACCAGAGGAACAGTCTGGAGAGGCAACCGGCGTGCGCCAGTGGGCTGCTTTTGCTGGTCATTGCGCAGTGTCCTCGGAGCGAGTGGAGCGCAGCCCGAGCCCCTGCAGACAGCGGACCGTGGTCAACTGACTGAAGACTTCATTAAAGTACAGTTAGCGCACATCGTGACAACACGAGAGACGACAAGACTCCGCCGTCTCCCACTGCGCAGCTGTTCAGGACAGCGGTGTGACGGCTTCACGGACTCATCCGGTAACTCGTTAACAAAACACGGAACTAACGCGCGCATTTGGCAAATCCACGAATTGACGCAATAAATAAAAGCGAAAGCATGTAGTTGAATAACCATTTAGACGTGAAGGTTCAAGAAGATTATTAAAAATGTATTAAGTAACGTAAATACGAATTAACGCAAAGTCATCTGGTGTAAGAATTTTATAGTATCAGCCGAAACATTTCTTGTGTTTGAGACGGTCTTCAACAGATGCAACCTATCAAACACGCAAAAATGCGCTTTTCAAGCAGCGGTTTACAAGGCGCACTTGAATGCAGCACGTCTGCAATAAAAGTCAGAGGAGCAGCTCACGAGGAGCGATAACAGTGTACTTTCTTCGCGTGAAAGCCCAGAGGGTTTAATATAGACAAACCCAAACAGTCCTGCGTTTATTATTAACCTGCATGAGTCGTGCCTGTTGCGGAGCGCTGCAGAGATTAATTCTTATTTTGCACAAAGTGTTATGAAATAACAACAAATCATAGTCACCTGCCTGTTGCTTAAGCAAATCGCCTCAGTTCGACTGTGAGGTGCTTAGCACTGCAACTTCTTTAAACTAAAATAGAAAGGCAAAAGTAAGAGCCCATTATGAACAGCAACAACTCAACAACATAGCCAAATATTAAGAGTAGGTGAATTGTAAACAAGTCTGAGTAAGCATATGAAGAGTTTAAAAGCATCTTAAGGGTGCTTTCAATTAAATGAATTAACCAACGTATTTAGGACATTTAGGCTACGTATATTTGTCAGATATAGGCTACACTATATTACACCGCTATAATAGTCAATGAACATGAAACAAAAAAAAAAAAAAAAAAAAAAAAAACAAAACAAACACACACAATTTGATTTATTTTCCAACCTGTAGGTGGCAGTATTGGTCTCATCATGTTTAGTGTAGAAAATATTATAGATTTTCAGATAAAATAACTAGTAATCACATTCAAGATTTTAATAATTTTATAAGGTCGTTAGCCATCTTCTCCACTAGATGTCAGTCCAGCTCTTGTCAGGAGGGCACAAAGCATGACAACTATTAGGTAATGGTAAAAGATGCACAATGTAACTTTGTGGTGAAAGGTCTGCCCTAGCTCGTCTCCATGGATACAGTTCAGCAATGCCTGGTATGTCTATAGTAATAAACATATACATCTTTGACTTATTCAATTACATATGTCATATCTAATACTACTGCCTGGTGTCTCAAACTACGAAATGTTATCAGTCATATCTGCGGAGAGGCGAGCTTACTCACAGTAACTATGCATGTTTTTTAATCCAATGAAAGAATGAAATGATTTTATTTTAGTGTATTTTTTGGCTGAAAAGCTTTATTGATTGACTTATTTCCATAGGCACCTGATTATTGATTGTCTGGCATTGTTGTGGCGCTCGTCATCACCATGGTTGCGTCCCAGGCAACAGCTGCTGCTCTGTCACATCTTGTTTACACCAGGGGCCACAGCCATGACTGACCTAGTTGTTGAAAAGCCCAAGAGGCAAAGTCACAACAGAAAAAGCAACACGTTCAGTGCTTTGAAATTTAACTACTTATTAGCAACATATGGTTAAAAATGAGGTGTACCGTCAGCTACTATAGTCAACTGTCAAACATTGAATTTATTTCACAACTCAAAATATCCAGAGCGAGAGTTCTTTAACCACCACAATGAAGATGTAGTATTTGACATTAAGGTTTTGTTTGATTTAAAAGTGGATGGAGTTTGACAATGATCACATCAGATGGGGTTCCCGTTGCGTCCACAAGGTGCACACTCACACCTTAAAAGGTCTGTGTTCCATTAGTCCAGTGAAACCTGTGAAACATGTTGGTCCTCTCAGCTGTGTGGAGTCTGATTATCCAACACACCGGTTTGGTTGCTGGATGTGGTTTTATTTGGTGGTGAACTGAGCAACTCCTCGATCCTTTGCAGGTCTTTGGTGGCTTCATCCGTGTTTGAGCTTACATTAAGATCTCCAATCAGATCATCAGTCAGCTGCAGCCGGGCCTCCCTACGAAAATACACAAACATAAACGTTTTGTCATTTAGCAATAATCTACAAAATAAAATTAAAGACAATCTACCCTTACCATTCTGCTAGTTTTAGCTCATATAGCTCTCTGCGCTCCCTTTGTCTCCTCTCACGAACAGTTTCTCCGGACAGAGACTGCATGCTGATGATCATCAAACCAGCAGGGGCTCTGAAAACAAAGTTTGAGTCTGATTAAAGTTGGGAAATGTAGATGTAGAAAAGCTGGCACCCCTCTGGCTTTTTCTGTGTAAAAAGTGGAAGTTGATTACTGTATTAAATTAACCCCCTGCAGTCCTCCTCCACAGCCCCAACCCTCCCATTGTACCACGACTCATGCCCAGACGAGGGAACGATTCTGGGCTGAGATTTGGAGCATGATGTGCTTTCCGATTAGCTGCCCACTTTGATTCTCCTCCCTTCTGCCCCCTGACTGCACCTGGCAGAGCGGGGCAGTTTGCACACATCAAACGCTCCAGGTGGCTGGTCAGTCAGGCAGACACAAGAGGAAGAGGAGTGGGCCTAATATGAGAATGAGGCCAACACGAGGAGAGGACTCAGGCTAAGCCAACAACAAGCTGATGATCACAAAGACCATCCAAACCAGGCCCTGGAGTCTCTTACACTCTCCACATGCATTATGGGAGCAAGTACGTGTGCGTGCACTCAGCTGGAAGAGACCACAGGGACAGGGGGATGAGAGGAGGGGATTGAGGGCTGAGAGGGGACAGAGGGGGGGACAAAAGAGGGGACAGAGAGGTACAGAGGGCTGACAGTAGGGGACATGGGGCCAAGGAGAGAGGACAGAGAGCTGAGAGGAAGACAGAGGAGAAGACAGAGGAGGGGACACAGGTGGGCCATGTCCGGGGACAAGGGGAGAGGACAGAGAGCTGAGAGGGGACACAGGTGGGCCATGTCCAGACTCAAGTCTGAGACTCAAGTCTGAGACTCAAGTCTGAGACTCAAGTCTGAGACTCAAGTCTGAGACTCAAGTCTGAGACTCAAGTCTGAGACTCAAGTCTGAGACTCAAGTCTGAGACTCAAGTCTGAGACTCAAGTCTGAGACTCAAGTCTGAGACTCAAGTCTGAGTCTGGACATGGCCCTCAACAGAGAGGGACGGGACATGGGTGAAACACAGCTGCTGCTGCTGCTGCCGCATTGGCAGCTCCTTCTCCCTCATATCCACAACAGCCTTCTGTGCTGCACATGAGCCCTCTGGCTCCCCCTCCTCCGCTGGAGGTGGAGGGCGGAAGGGGTTCAGCTGGCCCACAGAGGGGCGCTGGGAGGGCCGCAGCTGGCTACCAGAGGCATACAGGCAAAACGCACAAGCATGAGCAAACAAGCCTCAAATATGTATCTGTGCATGTTGATAATTGCTTAAAATACAAAACACATCAAAACGATGTACCATATATGTGGCTACACACACTGATGTTCAAGTGAAACTTTTTCAATTGTTCAATAGTGTTTCGTGTAGTTTTGTTACTTCAGTGAAAGAAGCCAGCCGTACCCCAGGACAGCGCCAATGATTGATCCTGCCACCAGTCCCCCCAGACCCAGGTTCAGTCTGAACAGGCCTCCAGTCACAGCTGTGAGGGACAAAACAACTCTTCAAATAAGTCTATAATAATGAGTTTCTAATCTGTCAATATCATTTTAGTTTAAATATACAGTATCTACAAGGTGGCACTGTAGCACTACACAAGTTGATAATAATCTCATAAAACTCTGGTGCATCATTTACAGCTTCACACACTCACCTCCAGCTGCTGCGTAGTGGCTGAGTTTAGACTTGTCTCTGTACACAGACAGGCCGGTGCTCACAGTGCTAAGTATTAAAACATAACATCAAAATTGGTACATTATTTCAGCAATAGTCAGTTTGCTTCTCAGAGTGCACAGCTACTGTATTTCTCAAACTCCAAAGTCAAATGTACCACATAAAAAAAACTCACTTAAACAAAGTAACAAAAGCAGCCACCCTCCAGCTCCATCTCCAGCCGTACCTCACAAAGCCTCGGATGGCAGCATTATGAGCCGAGCGCTGAACAGGATAAACAGAATAAAACTGTCTCTAAACAAAACAATGTCATGCTATAGACAGCAGTCCGGCTCCACTCACCACTGCATCGACTCGGCCTGTGTAGATCTCAGCCTGACTCATTTGGATGTAGCGTTTTCTGGCTTCTCGGGCCGCAGGCAGACCACCATAGAAAAGACCAGCAACTGCCGCAACCAACCCACTTTTAAGCACATTGGTGAGCTCTTCTGAATACTTCTGTGTGGGACTGTGGAGATATATACAAGGAAAATATTATTACTATCTCCATATTCTAGTACAGTACCTTCTCTCTGCTAGTATAACGCCGTTGTACTGAGGCTTCTGAATTAGGACTAAACTCAACTAAACAGGGAGGGACTGGGTCACCTAGCCTGAGCTTCAGAAGGGTTCTGTCTTTTTAATATGCCTTTGTATAGTAGAGGAAAAGTCATATGTAGCTATAGGAAAATTGGCAACCTATGAAAAACTATAGGCTACCAGTGTTAATTGTATTGTCTGGAAAAGGAGGCAGAAAAGATTACTCTTCTTTATGCTCTTTTTCATTAATTTCCTGTATGTATATGTTTTTTTTATATTTCATGTTTTATTGTGTGTGAGTGGTCTAAACTGTCATATGCACCTTAACTTATTTTACAATACAATGTGAACTCAAGAAATAATGCAGAATTCACAGTTATATTTTTGGTGAATTTTTCAAAGTAAGTTATAGTAGAAATAATTTTAAATACAGTATTCTTAAAAACAATGTGATAGGGATTATACACTGACTGTCTTTCAAAAAGGTCCTTTATACGGTCCCATCCAGTGTCAGGAAACTCTGGCTTCCCCAGGACGGCTGGCAAGGTCCCATTCACAGATGCAGAGCTATGGGAGGGCATCTGTGCAAACTGTGCAGACTGTGCAGCCTCTCCATCAGCTGCATGGACCCTAGGGAGGGGGAGGCAGAAGGAAACCGGCCTCTCTCTGTGGAAGAAGCCCCTTATCATGTCCAGTATTAAACCGGTGTGTAGTGTATCCTCGGGGTGTGAGTCTGCCCGCTGTCTCCAGGGGGCATGGCGCATTAGGGGCAGTTCTGGGGGCATCACGCCTCAGCTGGCGTCAGCCTGTGGTACAGAGGCAGAACACATGGCTGTAGGTTTGCACTTTCCAAACTCTATCCCTAAAACTAATTGCCAGAAGATGGAGTAATATGGCGTGGTCCTCCTCCTAAACAGCAGATGTTTGATTGGGATGCCCTACCATAACATATGGAACTTACAAGTTTACAACAAGTTTGACTGTATAAAAGTGATACAATATTTACAGTACCCATTTCACATTATTTGTGCTAAATATAATGTTATGAGTTGGAAATAAGAAAAAGCACATTAAAAATAATTCTATAAAGAAAATATTACAATACATTTCAAAGTATATAATGCTGAAAAAGAGTACATGTGAAAGGTGTCCCAGTAGCTCCAAAACACAGCGACACACGTGACTGTGTTGATTGAAAACTGCAGAACACCTGGCTCAAGTGCACCAAGTATTAGCCAATGTAAAAATGCAAAATAACACGAATTTTGCATTGTAAAACGCAACCTAAACCACATAAACAATGCGTCACTGTGCTTGTAAATAGCCATTTTAAGAAAATGTGAGAAACACAACAGAGATTTATCATTGGCTTTGAACCGATGTTGTAGTGCTTAGGCTTATTCATAGCTAACCGTGAAAACATGTCTTACCGCCGAACGTAGCGTGTTCATCCAAGGTCCAATAGATACAGGAAATTTAACAGTTTGGCAAGAACAGCACGTAACTAAAGTATAACTTCAGTTTTTGCACAAGTGTCCTCTCACTGACACACCGGCGTCTCTCAACCCCTGACCCCGCAGCACGAGCACAGCGGAATCGCGCCCCCTGCGGCCGGAGGACTACTGCAGCAAGTACCAGAAGTATCAGAAATTATTTTTGACTTTAACCCTAAAAATAAAAAACATACAGGAAAAAAACATTATTAAAAGAAAGTCATACAAAGATTACATTTAATATTTTTAACATATTTATTTAACACACAAATTGTCTTTGTACAAAAATCACAGTGTTTTGGTCAGATGTACATTATTGTAGCAAAGCGTGGATTGCCATTTTTTAATCATTGACAGAAATCTGACCCTAGGTGTTGGTACAATGTGAATATTACAACATATTCACTGTAGCCACGGCAACACATTCAGTGTGTAATTATTTTGCGAAAACTACACTGAGAAACATGAGATGTGCTCGCTCATAATAAATTATATAACAGAAGGCATCATTTAGACTTTTTTAACTGACTGCATTGTCAATTTAATGGTTTTGATTGACTGCACTGGTATAAAAGATGTATTTTTTTTATCTATTTAAACAAGGACAAGGACTAAAGAGACTATTTACATTAAACCACCACATTTCATCAATAGCAATGCCTCCTTAAATAACCACTATCCACTTCATCATTACACATTTAAAACTCAAGAACACTAATTCCCATAAATATAAAGTTTCAAATTCATTTATCTTCTAAAAATACAAAAAAATCCAAATCATTGTTCTCGATATCCTCTAAATTGTAGTTACCAAATTCATGAGTATTACAACATTACCATCAAGACAAAAGTCATTAATCAAACACAATACATCTACATACGCACAAGCAGTCAGAATGTTGTGTTGTGTTTCTTTGTGTTTTGTTTCATTCACACATGTTTGAGACACAAGCCCTGCAGATTTAGGCAACTCAGCCTCTCAAATGGAAAACACCACCTTGTGATGTCATGTCCAATCTCTATTGAATTAAAAGGTAAAGGTAGCTGTCATCTTGAAAATTATCGCTTTGTGATATCACAAGGTTGAACAGAGCATTTTGAGCTTTGGAGATGTAGATAGACTAATAATTACTCAGATATGTGTCAATGAAACAAAATACAACTCTGGATGGCTTTGAGGCAGTAACAACATTATAACATAGTTAAAGCTCAGAAGAATCTATTTTGTGTTCAATTTTTGTGTTCTTTAAATGTTCAAAGAAACCTAAAGCTGACACAGTTTTAGCCCATGAGAGCTCGAAGCGTGCTTCAGTTTTTTGTTTCTGTGTATGAGATAGCAGATAAAACTATTCCCATACTGGTCAGTAGAGGGCACTGTAGTTCAAAAGATGTCATCTGAATTTGAGACATAACAAATGATGAAGGCCTTATCATCACAGTAAAAAGGCACTGAAACTACTGCAGGGAGTTGTGGCACTGTGAAACATAAAACATACACCTAATATTTGAGCTTGTATTGGCACACTGAGCACTTTTGTTTCAGTTGGTTGTTCCCTTTTCCATACTGCAGTTTTTATACTACTACTGTTCATCTAAGGCACTGTACCATCCTCAGAGTTCTGTTTTTCTAAATTTGCTAATAACCTGATTGTAGCCATTTCTTCGTTTTGGTTTGTAGGTCAGAAGTTTGCTGTACTCGGTGAGAAGTTTTTCCCAGTAACATGAAATGTCCTCCATTTTAAGGTGGTCAAGGATGAACTGCCGCCCTCTGAGTAAACAAAAAACACAACCCCAGTCTTAATTAAAATACCAAGATTACAACTTACCACTTTGTAGATATTATTCTTACCTTGAAGCAATCTCTTGTGCAATTGCATCGTTGTCTTTAGCAAATTCAAGAAGTTCCCTGGAAACAGACATAAGTTAAAGGTGTATTCTGTATCCTTTTTGGTGGAGGGTCCATCAAATGCTTTTCTTCATTTTACTGCTTTGTCTGGAATGTTTCAAAGTATGTTATTAAACCTTTCTATCTCTATATTTAAATAAAACCAGACCAAATAAGGTCAGATCTGTGGAGAGGCAACCTAGCTCACAGTCAGAATGCCTGTTTTTTAGGTATTTTTGAGCGATAAAACCAACTGCACTTTTTTGTAAGGTAGAACAGTTTAATGTCATACTGTGGAGCCTTCAAGGCAAAGCAATGGCCTATTCATAGAAACAAGCAGGTGGCAGACTTCCAACCAAAAATTTACATAGTGCATCTATAACAACAACATTCAATAGCCCATTTCTAAATAGTTAAATTATATTGTTTATTACCTGACATCTGATAGGTCTTGTTTGACTGGTATGTAGTGAACCCATGGTTTGAGTTGAGGATAGAAAAACTCCAGCCACACATCACCGACATGAAAAACCAGGGAGCCACAGAGAAAGAGGTGTTTGAATCGGAAACTGGCGGCTACTCCCCTGAAGTTAAATAAATACCTAAAAGGTGTACAACAACATTTTAACACAATATAAAAGTGAAATAAAGAGTTATAGTTGAAACTAGTGATTCTTACTTGTATTTGCAGTGATCAACAAGTGGGATTTCTTTGGCTGGAGGTTTACCCAATGTGTCCTAAAACAAGAAAAATGCACAGCAGTAATAAATACTGTATGGAGGAGTAATAGGTGATAATAAATAAAGCTATTGAGTTTTACCTTTTCTGACTTCCAGGCCTGATTTTTGGTATACTCTGCGTTTACTAGTTCTGGTGACTCCCTTGATAGCAGGATAAGAGGATCACGCTCAGGGCTAGTTCTGAGAAAATGGCGACAATACCATCAACGTAAGTACATTGTAGATGCTTTAAAAAAAATAAAATTAAATTAAATACTGACCTAGAGCCTCTAAAGAAACCCTTGGATTCCTTTTTCTCCCATGGCCATTGTGATGCAGACCTAAAAAAGATAATACAAAGTTACCATACTGTTTAGTGTAATAAATCCATGCATCCATTAACCAATATAATTAAAAGCCCATAAATCTCAAGCACAGGCCAATATTTTGGTTGATTTGCTGTTTAAAAATACACATAAAGCTTTATTTTAACACTTTAACATGATGAGATATCTGCACTAAATTTGATACACAGCCTCACAACCTCTTAAAGGTTTGTGGTACAAAAAGGGCTGTGGGTGAGTTTGTAGAATATTTACATAAGATATATATATTATAACTTGGATAAAAATATCGGTAGATCTTATCAGCCATCGGTTGCTCTTGTTCGTATCAACACTGACCATTAAAGAAACCATATGAGTCAATCTAAAATTTTTAACCTTACTTTTTGAGGTCATCTCTCATCAAATCCCATCGTCCCAATCCAGTGGGGTATATTGGCCACACAGCGGGTCCACCTTCCCAAAAGGTCCAGGCAGGATACATGATGTCCTGATAGTCACTGGTCTGCACACATAAAACAATATTAATTTATTACAGTTATATATTTTAGATCAGCTCTTGTTGGTAAAAACCTAACCTTACTGAAAGAGAAGACAGGCAGAATTGGTTGGACCCAGTTTGGAACCTGAGGGTAGTCCCGAACATTCACAACCATCTCTAAATCTGGGAGCCGGTCAATCACCTCCAAGATAAAATGCTCCACCCCACTGCACCTAAACATAACAAACATTTCCACTCCACAATTAAGATCAATTCAGTGTAACAAAATTCAAGAAAATTACAATAGTTTGCTTACCTGGCAGGAAACATACAGTTGTGTTCCCTGTATAATTTATGATCAATGATCTGGTAATGTGTGCCCACTCCTCTTTTGATGGTAGAAGCCATGAAATCTTCAGAAATACCACCTTCAAATTGCCGCAGGTCATCATGGAGGACACTGAATGTACACAAAGTTAATAAATGTCACAATATTATACAGAAGTGTCACAGTAATAGTATTTTAAAATTCCCTCACCTTATATGGCAACCACAATTGTCAGGGTTGCAGGGTGTGTAGGCTTTGATGGCGTTTGCAATGTTATCCTTAATTATCTTCCAGTTTTTGTCTGATGTAAAATGTGCAATACGTTTTACATATTAAGTAACACAATTCATACAATCATAACACAGATATTAGGAATAAACAATCTCTGTACATGTTGCAACAAGAATTAATGGTAACACACTCTTGCAACTTGCCAGACCTGTTTGATGATGCCTAAACACATCTAGAGCAATTTCTGAAGTTTGTAAATTGTAAAGCAAAACTCCCTATGTTACGAATAAAAACATAAGTGCAAAAATCTCATCTTATAACTCGTAGTGTTGCTAAGTTAGCAGGCAAACACGTTAGCTAGCTTGTTAAGTGATGAATGAATGCTCCAACAAAAAGTTCGCAGACTCAAGCTACAACACGTACAACACAAGTTTGTTTTAGCATCATAACATTGAATATTCTAGATTTATGAGGCTTACCTGAGGCACTAACGGATCCAAAACAATGGATATGCAGTTGTAGCAAAACCAAAAACAGCCAAAAGCGCTCCATTTTTCTTTAAATCCGCGAGTTTGGTCTGAAAGAATTAAAACAAAGATGCGCTCCGCGGTCTACTACTTCTGCCTGAAAAAATTACCGTAATATCCCTTGTAATGTCCATCACGAATTGTTTTACCGTAAATCTTATATTAATAGAGCAAAATGCTATTAAACTAACCTGATTGCTTTATAAGTAGTTTCTGGTATTTGTTGAATTTCTGTGCATTTCAATAAAGTCTGCTATAAGGCATGTTAATATGGCTAATGTCACTCATGATTAGATGTGTGAGGAAATCCCTGAAGGTTTTACATTTATTTCAGAATACATTTCAGGCTTGAATGACCGCAGGAACGCATGTCCTATATTATTCTATTACAGAGATTGTCACAGCTAGGAAGTGAAATGGAGGAGCAAAATGGACCCCTAGAGACAAGCTGCCCGGGAGAGAGAAAGTGAGAAGCAGAGATTGAAGGCAGGTGGCAAGGGCGACACAGCAGGGGTGCAAGACATGATGCTGTGAAGGCTACAAGGAAAGAAAGATATTGATTTTATAAGATCTGGAATCATAAAGTGGATGAATTCTGTTTCATCTCTTGTACTTGAATACCTTATTTGATTTTTCCTTCTCACTCCAATTAAGGAACAATGGTGCAGTGGTGGTTTTCCATTCTATCGGGGCTCCTCTTCACACAGGTTTTCTTTTGCAGCACTGAAGAGGGCCTGGAGTTCCCAAACTTTGATGGTAAAGACAGAGTGCTGGACATCAATGAGCGCAACTACAAGAAGGCTCTGAGGAGATTTGATCTCCTGTGCCTCTTCTACCACGAGCCCGTACCCAGCCACAAGGGCCTGCAGAAGCGTTTTCAGATGACAGAGCTGGTGCTGGAGGTAAGTGTACAGGGCACTGAACAAATTAAACATGTACACATTGGTAGACTGCTAAAATAAAGCAATCATTTTAGGTATCTGAACATAGAAGTAGATATTTTAAAGTGGATACTATTTATTTATTTATTTTTTATTTATTTATTTATTTATTTTTTATTCCATGACTAAAAACTAAAAGTATTTTTTATTATTGTTTAAGACTTGCTGAAAAGGCCGAGGCTTTGATCAAACAAAAATATAACATCAACAATAACAACAACAACAACAAAACTGCTCTGGAAAGCTATCAATTAAATTTCTTCTGTTGAACAAAATTCACCACAAATCTTTATCAAAATCACTACATTTGAAGATTTATTAGATCCCAAAATCTGCATGCAATACTTTTACTTTTTACTCTTTAAGTACATTTTTAAACAGGAACTTTAATACTTTTACTTTTAAGTAAATTTCACTTGAGTGTTTTTTTTTCTTTTTTGCTCCAGTATCTGTACTTTCACTTAAATAACAAAACTGAGTACTTCTTCCACCATTGGTCATATGACATAACATTGAGTATAAATGGCAAATTTAATTGCAAGCCTAGAACTGAAGTTAGCTTCTCCAAATCCTTCAGCCCTACTACACATTTAGTCATATTGAGTCACTTCCTACTTTTTAAAATAGATCTAATAGCACACACTGCGTTCTCATAACCCTGATGTCATAAAAATCATTTAAAAAAATCTAAAATAAAAAGGTAAGATAAGGTTCAACTCCATCAACCCCCCCTCAGGATTAACTGCAGCCTGCACAGTCCACCATGAACAGGATTCTCCTTCTGAATCTATCTGGTTTAAACGTAAGGTGAGAGGAGCCAGTGTGTCTATAGTCGTCCCACTCTCACAGGGTCAAAGCAGCGTTGTCAGGCTCTTCACGTCTACTCCTTTGTGGTTCAAGTATCCTGGGATTGTTTCTAGGTCATTCTATTAATTAGCTGATCCAAAAAAGTATGCCAGGATTGGAATGAGCTTTAACTCTAAAAATATTTGCAATATAATGGAAACAGCCTTGTGTGTTTTCGTAGAAGTGCACTTTCGAAAAAGTAGAAAAAAAACTTTATTTTTTCTCTAAACCGCTCACTCTAACAAGATAAATCCAAGTTGGGCCTATATATTCTTCTATAATGAAAAAAACATATGAGAAAGACAAAAGCAGAGCCAGATGAAATAGAAACATACAAGCTCTGAACACACTACAGTGCAGTGAACGGGGTCAAGTGTTGTTAAAGCTGCACTGTGTAATTTTTCTGGTTGAGTTTATACTACTGGATGTTATTACTGTGGGTTAGGGTTGTCAGGAATGTTCCACACAATGGCATTAAACTTATCTATCAAATATATATTAAATTACATCGCTTTTATTGCTCAAAAATACATAGAAAAAGAGTGAGCTTGCTTCTTCACAGATCTAACCCAGAACTTGGCCTGGTGGCATTCTTGTCTCCATGGAGATAGAAAAGTTGAATGCTGTGTGCAATAAAATACTTATTAGGAACACAAGCAGGTAGCGGATCCTCCACCAGAAAAGTTACACAATGCATCTTTAAAATGAATGACGAACAGTTGAAAAGGCAGACATAGATCATTTCCTGTGTGTAATGTTACTGTACAATGTGTCTGCAGCTCACAGCTCAGGTCCTGGAAAATAAAGACATTGGTTTTGGGATGGTGGATGCTCAAAGGGATTTCAAAGTGGCGCAAAAACTAGGTACGACCATACGCTGTTTAAATGACCATAGCTAATCACTGTGTTCTAATGTGTTTACATGTTTCTTATTACAAGAAAACTTAACTTTTAGAAATTTTTGAAACACAAATTCAAATAACTACATAAATATTTAATAATGGATTTTGTTTGTAACAGAGTAAGTACAAAATGTAGCAGATCATTGTAAAACTCACATATCAAAGGATTCTGCTGTTTAAATTTAAACAGTAGATGACCAGAAGAAAAGCTAATATTTGTACTTTTATCTAACAGGGCTGGTAGAAGTGGGCAGCCTGTATGTTTTCAAAGACGATCGAATAATTGAGTTTGATGGTGAGCTCTCCGCAGACACCTTAGTGGAGTTTTTGTTAGATGTGAGTCTCATTATAGAAAAACAAATGTGCTATAGTTTTAATAAATGACTTTGTTGTACAGTATGTTTACAAGATTAATGAATGGCTTGATGTGGTCCTCTAGGTGCTGGAGGACCCCGTAGAAATGATCAATAACGCCATGGAGATAAGAGCCTTTGAGAGAATGGAAGAAGATATCCGTCTAATCGGCTATTTCAAAGGAGAAGATTCATGTATTTTCACTTAAGATTTTAGCACTGGACATTAGGGTTATGCAATACTTTGTCAATTTTTAATTCAGGTTTCAAATATGCCAGTTACATCATTAAATGTCCTATATTATGCAAAAATGTACTTAAAACATGTCAGAATGGTGTTATCTCATCAAAAACATACCCGAAGTTGTGTTTTGTTTCATTCACACACGCTGAAATTATCCATATGATTCTAGTTAAGGTGTTTGTTGTTTAAAAACACAGTGAAGCACTTCTTGTATTACCCCATGAGTGTTTTCTGAGTATTTTCTGAGAGAAGAACTCAGCCTAAATATGCAGGATTTGTGTGTTAAACATGGGCAAATGAAACAAAATATAACTCCAGATATGTTTTTGATAAGGAAACAACATTATAACATACAGTAGATTAGAAAATAGACCAGTATGGGCCCTTTAACCTTTAATAATAGAGTTGATATAAAATTAGTGTTTGAAAATAGTCAGTATTTCAGTTCAGGTCATTTTTGCCATAATCAAGTATTCCTATTACCCATAAAAACAAAGATTTCCTCTGGTAGTATAGAATAGGATTACAGCAGGCTTATCCATAAGGCACAGATGTGTTTGGGGTCTCGGTCTAATGCAGTTTAAAAGCCCTGTCCGGCCCTTTTCTGGTTCTTATCGCCTCTGAAGTCCCCTCTACGCTAATGGGATCTGGTGGCTAATGGTCCCACATCACAGTCTGCTGAAGGAAACCCGAGTCCCCAAAATGGTCGCTACAGTCAGTCTCTGGAGAGCCTTCAAATAGCTCCTACTTCTGTAATAGGTCAAACTGCAATTATGGTCCCACTTCACACAAAAAGAGACAGTAAAGGTGAGACAGGAAAGATGCGATTGTGGAGGAAAATGACAGTGGAGTTTCATTACTGAGCTCGTCATCGGATGGTCCTTGAACCTGACCCCGGACAGATGAGTGGTACCAGCGTAAAACGGTATTACGGGGACTTGGTTACACGGGTGAAGGAGGAAATTTAATAAAGCAAGATGAGAGAAATAAGAATCTGGGAGTGCACAGTGAGCCCATGAGCAAAAAAAAGAGGTTGCAGGTTTGATTCTGGCAACAGCAAACTAGTGATCGTGTCTAGATAATTTAGTTTCTTATCTTCTCAAACACATGTATTCAACCTGTAATATGCAGAAAACTGAAATCTATCAGGCCTTGTTTGTAATAATATAAATATATAAATCTTTTTTTTTTCTTGAAACACAACTTGCCTGGAGACATTCACGCTAAGTTAAAGGCCAGATCTGTGGAGAGGCCAGCCCACTCACAGTAAGAATGTTTGGTGTTCAAGTGTTTTTCAGTAGACTCGATGAAAGTAGTAGTATACAGATCACTTTAACGCCATACTGTGGAGCAATTCTGAAAAATCTATTAATATCTCTATTGACAGATAGTGACAGATGGTGATAGATGCCTTACCAGAAAAGTTACATAGCACATCTTTAAGTTGTATTATTGTAAGATCAAAATAGTTTATATTGATTTTGTTTATATTTGATGTTATTTTCTCAGCACAAACATACCTGGATGTGTGTTTTGTTTCATTCACACGTTTAACACACAAATTATGCCCATTTATTTAGGCTGAGTTCTTCTCTCAAACAGAAAACACACTTGTGATGTCATGTGGTAATACAGGAAGTGCTCCACTGTGTTTTAAAATCCATACACCTTCACTAGAATCTAGAAGAATTTGAATGATTTCAACCCTGGAATTGCCAAACTCTACTGAACAAAAGGTAAAAGGTAGCTGAAAACTACTGCTTCGTGACATCACAAGGTAGAATTGAGCATTTTTGAGCTTTGGAGATGTAGAAATAATAATGCAGGGTCACTCAAACATGTGAATGAAACAAAACACAACTCCAGGTATGTTTTTTGAGGAGGTAACAACATTGTAACATGACTTAAACCTCACAAGAGTCAATTTTGCATAATATAGGACCTGATTCTGTTATTACAAAGTCATAGGTCCAAAATAAACAAGTGCAAGAATTGTGCATTACATTATAATCAAATTGAAAATACATTTTAATTCTTTCTTTTTTGTTTCCAGATTTCAAAGCATTCAAAGAAGCCTCTGAGCATTTCCAACCGTACATCAAGTTCTTCGCAACATTTGACAAATCTGTAAGTCCAGTTGTGAACCTCTCTTTAATTATCCCTAGCTCATTAAAACGGCCTAATTTCTTCAGTCCCGTCTGTTAACATAATGAAGAGCTGGCATGTCCTCTGCGGTAGGTGGCCAAACATCTCTCCCTCAAGATGAACGAGGTGAATTTCTATGAGCCCTTCATGGAGGAGCCCGCCATTCTGCCTGGACGACCGCTCACGGAAATGGACATAGTGGAGTTTGTCACCCAACACAGAAGGTCAGTGAGGGGTCTAAATGTTGAGTTTGAATTTCAGAATTTCATGTTGAAATTTCAGATGGAGAGAAAACAAATCTCTAAAACAAATAATCTATTAACTGAATATTTTTGTTAAGGATTGGGTCCACAAACACACATCTTTAAAATCGTCAAAAGTCCTCTAAATGGTGTCTGTACTATAGGCTGTCTAAAGAAGTGGACTAAGGGAGTGTGATCAGTGTTCAGTTTTAGTCAAATGAAGCTCACAAGGCTAGCATTTGTAGGTGCAAATTTCGAGCTGAGTTCCATATTCGGAAAAGGAATTTATTTACGGACAAAAATAAAAACACAAGGATCATGTAGAGGGAGTTAATATGATCATCTTAAGACCAAAATGACAAGTTGATCGAGCCGTAACTGCCCTCATGCTCTCCATTTATTATACAATCTATGATCTATACCAGTAAAAATGTTATGTCATCACATGAGCAAAACTTATAGCATGTTATAAGTAAACTAAATCTTTCTTTTCTATTTTCTGTAGGGCTACCTTGAGGAAACTGCGGGCTGAGAATATGTTTGAGACTTGGGTATGTTCATTTTGTTGACTGATCTAAATACATTATTACTTTACAAAATTAAGTTCCTTATTGCCCCCAGGAGGATGACATGGACGGAGTACATATAGTTGCCTTTGCAGAAGAGGAAGATCCAGGTTAGCTTTTTAAATTTAAATTGAAAAAAATCTAAACATTACAACAACTAACTTCATCTTGGAACCAACAAATGACAATTTTGACTGCAAGTGAATACCAAATATTAAGCCAACTTACTGTTAAAAAATGCAAACTGAACTTTTTTACTTGTTTTGGTCAATTATCTATTGCCAAATCATATATTTAAAGTATTAAACAGTGGGTTTTCTATTGCTGTAGATGGTTATGAGTTTTTGGAGATTTTGAAGGACGTGGCCAGAGACAACACAAACAACCTTGAGCTGAGCATCGTTTGGATTGACCCTGATGACTTTCCGCTGGTCAGATTTCACTAGATTAGTTTTCCCCAATGAAATGTAAACCTGCGTTAACTATACTATTTTCTGTTGCCAGTTGACTACTTACTGGGAGAAAACCTTCAATTTAGACCTCTTCAGACCACAGATTGGAGTGGTCAACGTCACAGATGTTAGTAAGATTAAAAATACATTAGACTGAAAATGTGATACTTCAGTTACGTTCCATATGTTAACAATACTTAAAGGTGCATTGTGTAACTTTTTTGATGGAAGGCCTGCCACCTGCTTGAGCATTACTACATGGAGATACTACTGTTTTGCCTTGATTATTCCACAGTATGAAAATAAACTTGGTAATCACAATGAAAGCAGGTTAGAAGTTACATAGTGCACCTTTTAATTAATTTTGACCCAAATGCAAGCTCAAAAGTCAAAGCAGTTGAACCAGTACAGAATATAAATTTTATTAAGAATATTATGCCAGACTGACCTGATATCTGGCTTTTTATTTTTACAGATGCATTACCACATTTACAAAAAGTTCATGTTATTGTAAATTATTGTGCAGTCCTATTTTCTGCTATTGAAAAACGTCTTACCTTTTCTACCAGGCGGACAGTGTGTGGTTAGACATGTCCAATGATGAGGACCTCCCCACGGCGGAGGAGCTGGAGGATTGGATCGAGGATGTCCTGAGTGGGAGGGTGAACACTGAGGCTGATGATGGCGGTTTTGGAGATGATGAAGAGGAGGAAGAACATCAGGGCTACGACACAGAGGAGGACAGTGAGGAGGGGCAGGATCAATATGAAGAAGATTCAGATTAAACAGAATGGGATAGGAGCAGTAGTATAGATGGTAAAAGAAGTCAAGTTTAAAGGCAAGAGTGGTATTTTTTTTTATGGGTCAAATAGCAATCAGCCAAAAGCAATAAGACACAGAGGGTCCTTAAATCAGTACTGGATGGCCTGTAAGTTAATATGGATTACAATAGAAATGTTTGGAGAGTCAAAGGGCCCATATTATGCAAACCATATTATGCAAACATACCTGGAGCTGTGTTTTGTTTCCTTCACAAATATTTAACATACACACCCTGCATATTTAGGCTTTAGGAGCTCTTCTCTCAAACTGAAAACACTCTGTTCCACCTTGTGATGTCATGTGGTAAAGCAAGAAGTTGTTCATTGTGTTATTAAACTCCATACACCTTTTTTAAAGAGTCATCTGGATATTTTCAACCCTGGAACTGTTTATCTCTATCTGAATAAAAGATAAAAAGTAGATGTTAACTTAACTACTTCATGACATCACAAGGTGGAACAGAACATGTTAAGTTTTAGCAATGTACACTAATAATAAATGGTTACAAGTGAATGTGTGTGTATGAATGAAATCGCGTTATACATTGCAAAAATAACCTATATTCGTGAATATGCAAGACTGTTTTCATTGTGAAACCAAAATTTAAAAGTGCACTATGTAACTTTTCCGATCTAGGGTCCACTACCTTTTTGTCTCCATGGAAATGTTATAGCTGCACGTGCATGCATGTTCCTCTGTACTGCATTAAATGTATCTATCTTGCATTACTTTCTATGATGTGTTTTTATGGCTCAACAATAGCTTGTATCTTGAACTTGGCCTTGTGGTGTCACCTGCTAGTCTTTCCAGGAAAAGCATAACATCGCTATGGAAATATGGCAGATCCTTAAACAAAAAAAGTTGCATTGTGCACTTTTGATTGAAATTCAAATTGACAATCGCTAATTAATAAAGTTCACAGTTCAAGAAATATTAATCTTTGTTGTAATACAATAAAATAAAATTGTGAGTACAAATGAGTAAATATATGTTCGCAGTTTGTTCCAGGGTTGTTAAGCTGGTCCAGACAGTCTTTCGGGGTGACAGATTGCCATGTTTTCTCCCCGAGTCAATGAGCTATTTACCTTGAATTATTCAGACTCTGGTGAATAATTGAGCACGGTTATCCTTGCTAATGGGAGGCAGGACCTGGTCTGAGAGGCTTGGGGGGAGGTCACGGGCAACAGAGGCCGTCCACTGGGGCCCCAACCAAAAAAAACCTACAATGGAGTGGAGAGCTGAAGTCTAGACATAAATAAATAAATAAGGGTCAAAAGAAAATACGATGCTTGTAACGGACAGTTCAGAAATTAAGTGAGTGTAAAATGAACACAAAGCATGAAGTATATTGGGTTACACATGGAGAGACAAGATGGACTCGTATATACACTGTAATTAACAGGCTATAAGAAGAACAGATCCCTATAGGAAATATTTATTTAAAGTTTTCTGATAGAGATTCCGCCATCTGCTTGTTTCCATGATAATGTTATTACTTTGACAGGGATGTTCCACAGTATGGCATTCAACAAATATACAGTATCTTGTATTTATTCAATTATGGGTGTTTTTATTTCTCAAAATGACAGCAAAAGTATGAATTATTACTGTGAGTGCATCCACTTCTCCACAGATCTGACCTGTAACTTCAGTTTTTGTGGTCTGGTTGTCTCCATGGAGTAAATGCCATACTGTACAATATTCCAAAAAAAAAAAAAAAAAACAACAACAAAAAAACATGGAGTCAATCAGGTGACGGACAATCTACCAAAAAAGTTACGCAGTGCATCTTTAATTTAGAAGGATTTAATTTTAACAATTGTTCCAACATGTTGTCCCTCTGTTCCTGTGGGTTGCTGCTTTATTGAAAAGAGGTACATTAAGTGACTTGGGAAATGAAATGTTCTTAATCAAATAATTAGATTGAGAGTTTACAGATTGTCATTATGTAAGTATTTTCTGTTTTGATTTCACAGCATTTTCATATTATAATAAAAATGAAAATATATATTATAGTATTATATTCTTTTAATCAACTAAAAAGTCCACAATCATACAGAAGGGCTTTTAAATTAATTTTATTGTAAATGTCTGTTTATTGCTCTCTGGTTGTTTTAATAATTACGTTTTCTTTGTAATGTTAATGATTTTTTTTTTCTCTAACTGCAAAAGAACTTTGTAATGATAATTTTGAAAAGTGCTATGCAAATAAATGTATTATTATTATTATTATTATTATTATTATTATATAGGCAGGGTCTGTAAAATGTTGTGATGCCATTTACAGGCAGGAATTAGTCATTAATGAAATGGTAGGAATGATTTGAGATTTATATTCTTATTGTTAATAGGTAATTTTGATTGGTGATTGCGTCTGAATGAGGATAATGATTCAGTATGACATAATAGAATATAGCACAATACTGAATACACGTTAGACTATGGATCATACAACACTTTAGATTCAGAACAAAAGCAACAAGACACAGATAGAAGAGTACAGCAGCAGGTATGGTGTCTCCTCATGTCCACATCCGCCCATAACCAAGTCATTACACACAAATAGACAGGAAGGGGCGATAGCAAGAAAAACTTCCATTTAGATGCAAATTCTGCTCATTTTCCCCCTTACGCCCCCCGCCTCGTCCCCTTCTCCACCCGAGCTCTCGTGGATTAAGCCTGGGACAGATGAGTTCCGACAGGCCGTACCACGACACGGGATGAGGTTGTTCGTATCCAGCGCCGGACATTGACATTTATTTACCCACGAGCCCCGGCGGCGCGACGGTGACAGAAGCCGGCGGTGGAGCCAATTACCCCACGTCTGTGACAACAAAAAGCCCCCGAAATAGGGTCTGGTCTGGAGCGGGAGAGAGGATGTGGAGAGGAGAGGGTGGGACATAGCAGAGTAATGGACAGAGCAGAGAGGGGATGGAGAGCTGTAGAGAGACACATGAAATAAACATGATAAAATGTAATGAACAAGGCGTAATCAACTTATAATGTACTCACAATTAAAGTAAAAATGTCAATATTTTGAAGTGACATCATTCTGGAGGTGTTCTGCATGTATCTCTAATGATGGAATGTTTAGGAGTTACCATGACAAAAAACAAACAAGCAACAAAAAAAAAAGTTAAACAACACATTTTCAGGAGCCTGGGATCAATACGAGCATTCATGGTCCCATTTAGGTGTTTGAGTTTCAATAAAAATTGTGATGAAGAAGAAGAAGAAGAAGCAAGAGTAAATTAAAAACTGCAAAGTATCAATGGCAGTGTGACAAATGCAGAGAGTTGAGTCAGCAGAAACAGTTAAGCGGCTAAAAGGAGCTGAAGATATATTGAGATTAAACATATAGCCTGCCCTACTGTAAATTTCTGTAGAGACAAGCAGGTGTTGCCACAAGTCCAATTTACAGGTCAGATTTGTGGAGAGGTGAGCCCACTAATAGTAAGAATTCATGTTTTCAAGGTAATTTTTTGCAATAAAACGCCTGTAACTAAATAAATGCAAAGTAGATTAGTTAGATGACATACTGTGAAACATTTCAGGCAAAGCAATAACATCTCCATGCACAACCCTAACCAAAAAGTTACCTGTTATGAAATCATCATAAACCACATAGTATTACTTGTATGTGATTTACTCTCTTAACTGACTGTAATTAGACAACCCTATTTACATAAAAGCAAAAGAATTGATACTTTGCACTGATATCACTACATGTATCTCTATTGGCAGAATGTTCAGGAGTTACCATGGTGACACAATACGTAAATTAGCAAATACAGCCATAAAAGTTTTAAGAAAGTTTGAAAACTCAAGAAAACAAAACAAAACATATCTTTAAACAACACATTTTCAGGAGCCTGTGTTAAATAATTTCAAACATAATGGATGATTTTCAAACATAATGGCGAGTGTGAATAAATATGGAACATTTCAGACAAAGCAATAACATCTCCATGGTAACAAAGTGGAAGTGGAAGTTCCCTAGTGCGCACTGCTAAGAAATCATAATACATATTGACATAGTATTGCTTTTATGTAAATTACTATCTTAACTTCAAATTAGAAAATCGTGTTTATATGCAAAACATAATTGTAATAAGGTACAATTAAGATACTACTCAGACGTCAGATTTACAAATGTTCATAAAAAATGGTTTATTCAGATTTTTGTTTACAAATTCTTTACTTGCGCTGTGAAAACCATATGAGTGAGATTGCAATGTCATGTCCACACCCAGGCCCGACTGACGAAACAGAGATGAAAAGTGAGAGTCGATGGGGAATGGCATCTGAACGCACCACGCATACTCCCATACGCACATGCATGTTTACATAAATAGATACAGTGTCAAAACAGGAGGCACGGTCACATTGGGAGCTGCTGAAGTTCATTCAAAGTTCAAGTGACGGTAAGTACAAAATCTGTCTGATTGGTAACAGGCATTTTGAGAGATCTGTGCTGTCCCTGCCATTGCAAATACATCACAAAAGTGTTGGATATACCGAATATGTGTAAGAGTAAAGGTATCTAAGTGAAAGCCATATAAATTGTGCTGTGAATTGAGGCAGTCGAGTAATACCGAATCCACCAGCCAGAGGGCACTATGGGACAGTTCAGCTCATGACCATACATTACAAAATTCTATTCTTTTCTTATCTTAAAAGTGCACTATGTAACTATGTAACTGGTAAGAGTCCAGCACCTGGTTGTGTCCATAGAGATATGCTAGAGATTTTTTTTCCTGAAATGTACCACAGTTATATTGTTTTTTTTTTTGTTTTTTTTTTTACAATAAAACAATGCCTTGAACTTTTTTAACAGGCCAATTTCTCCATAAATCTGACCTGTACACTGGCTTGGCGCTTATCTCCATGAAAATAGATAAGATACTGTGAAAAATTCCAGGCAAAGCAACAACATCTCCCTAGTAACAGACCCTCATCCCCGAAACTTACACAGTGCACCTTTAAACATTACAGAAACTGTTAAAATAAATCAGCCAATGGAATAGGTGTGATGTTTATATGTGCTTTGTCAACATGGCCGACTTTACAATGGTTTGCAAAGGATAAAAAATGACTTGAGTGAGTAGATGGATTGACCTGCAGGAATTTGCTGTTTGCAGAAGGTGAGCCCTGGATTTTAAAGGGGAAACCAGATGGTGCAGTTCTTTGCACTAGCTTTGTTTGTGCTCATGACCACACAGCCTTGTTAACAGTGACTTTTGGAGCTGTTAGGGACAGGTGTAGTAATCAGTAGTATTTTTATTTAACGGTCCTATATTCTCCTGTGAACTTTTAGCCATGTAATAATGCTCATCAAAAGCATACCTGGAGTTGACTTTTGTTTCATTCACACGTTTGAGTCCCTAATTAGTCTGTTTTCTGTTTAAGAAAAGAACTCAGCCTAAATATGCAGTTTTGTGTGTTAAACATGTGAATGAAACAAAACACAAATCCAGGTATGTTTGTAATGAGGAAACAACATTATAACATACTACAGAACAGAAAATATCGGCCCTTTAAGTTGGTAGAGTCTCATAGATTCCCAGTAGTCTTCTCTTTATCATTTCAGCGGAGCAGTCCACATGAAAGCTGGGGGTGTATTTTGCTGTGCTTGTCCTGGTATGTAACTGTCTCTTATCATATGGTTCATTGGGAGTTCATTCAGCTGTTTAACAAATGACTCGATATGCTTCATTGCACCTGAACGAAGATTGTGCAGCAATAAAGAGTCTGACTTTGGCCTTGGAGAAAAGCACAAGGTGGTGCTACATTTGAAGCTGGACAGTGAAGAGAAGTTTTACCTGTGGAGTCTGTAGTCATTTGGTTTGAAAAGTGAAAAACATCCAAAAGATACAGTCAAATCTGCAGCAAATCTGGTGGTTAAGTCTGTAAAGTTATCCATGGTTTAAAATCCTAAGTGGTTTTGAGCCAGGATAAATAGAAGTCTTCATGAAATGTCTTGTTCCCCCTTCAAATATCAGCTTTGACAACAAAATGGCACCCTTGCACATACATTCACACACGCATACACGCCTAAATACAAGTCCGTGGAGTCAAATTCCTTAATGGTCTTTTTTAAGATCAATATATTCAAATGTGTGATAAAGAGTCATACATAAAATATAAAAAAATCCAAAAAGAAATGGTCAAAACGAGACAGTGTGACATAGAAAGTGTTAAATCCTACACAGAGGTCTCAGACTGTAGCCTCAGGACAAACTTGTGAGACTTGGGATCAATGTACTCCTCGGACATTTGGATGTATGGGATTTTCTTTGTGGTCACTACGAGGCTGAAGTCCACACACTTGAGCAGAAACACAGACCCGTCCTTCAGGCCGCTGGTCACAGAGGCTTCACTGATGAGTGTCCACTGCCGGGACAGCCAGTGGTCCTTACTGTACTGCAGAGTGGGACCAGGGCTCAGGTAGCTCTCCAAAAACGCCTGCACACAACAGAAAATGTAATTAATTATTGTAACAAGTTTGTACATATAGTCAGTGCATATTATTTAATACAGATGATCCAGTTCTTAAGCCCAGTCGCCTTTAAATGGCATCAATAAAAATCAACAAATAGAGTAGAAATATTCAGTTAAAAATGTAACACTACTTCTCTATTTATGCTGTTATTCTCATCCAATTCACCTAATTTACCCAGCAAGTAACTACAACTACATGACTTAAATAATAAGTATGCATTAATATTATATTGCTTTCTGGTGCCCCAAAATAAATTAGCATTGCATCATTCATCACTCCCAGTTAGGTGGTCAGTTACTTGTGTAGCCAAAGAGAGCCACAGATGGCCTGGGGCTGGTGGACAGAAATGTGGCTGCCAATCCCCTATAGTGACTGTTAAACACACGTGGGTACCTTGGGAGTCATGTTGTTGGTGATACAGAAGGCCAGGTGCTGCTGGATGCTCTCCATGCTGTGACAGTGCTGCTGTTTGGTGGTCCTCAGGTACTTCTGCAGAGCTCGGGCCATGGAGGGGAAAATGGCCTGTGCCGCCTCTCGAGGGTCCATCACGTCACCTGGGGACTTCTTCTGTTCCTCCTCCTGCAGACGCTTGATGTGGGTGAAGGCCTCCTCTACTGCCACCACCAGGCTGGGATGATGATCAGATGCATTTTATCAGTATTAAATAAAGTAAAAGTATTACTATTTCTTGTAACTGAAATCACATGTTATGAATAATATAATAGCTATGAAGCAATATAACAATTGATAACTTGGAGTGATGTTAGGCTTGGGATGTTTTCATTTACTGCTATGGTGAAATGTTCAGCTCAGCGGTTACACAATGCACACATTAGGAAACACTGTCAAGTTTAGATTGTCTAAAAACTCAAGAAAACAATTGCAAAATGCATTTAAATAGGACATTTTCAGGAGTTAGTGATTAAATTAAAAAGTGATGAACTTAGTGGATGGTCCTGTTTAGATGTTTTTGATTGATCAATAACATACTTAACAACTGCATGTGAAGCTGGGACTCCAAAACAAATGAGCATTGTATACACAAAGTAGCCTTAATGAATCCCAGTTGTACTTATGCTAAACTACATTCTTCAAACTTCTGAGAAAAACACTCACATAATAATATTACCAACAATTTGGAAATGTTCCTTCAATGTAGTGTTTTAATAGTCCCAGAGCCTAGTACATTTGTCAAGCTGCCTGTTCGTACCGTGCTCTGCGTTTTCGGACTCTCCTCTCGTGCTCCGCCTCCTCGTAGTACAGCTCGTTGTGGCTAGTGTCACGGCGCCGGGCGGCCGCAGCGATCATGGCTCTGGACTGAGACTGGGCCAAACCAGCTGCAGCAGCCGCATTGTTTCCTGGACCTGTACACACAAATACAAGAGAAGGTTAAGGGTTTACTGAAGGTGACACTGGTTTATGGGCTTTTTTTTTTACAGGTGAATGAAGCTTTGGTCATTCAATGCACTGTGAGGGATAAAAGAAAGCATGAAAATTATTATTATATTTTAGGAATGGGGTGAGATCTCATGCCACAAGATCTCGCGAGACAAAATCGCCACAAGAAAAGTATTTTGTGACATTTTTTTCAGTTTGTTTGAATTTAGATTGGAAAATAAGGATTACGAGCTCCCAAGTTTTGAGAAGCCATAGGTCCAAAAAGCTGTTTTACAATGACAGCAAAATATTAAATAAAGTAAATAAAAATGGTGAGGCCAAAATTGTGACTTGAATTACAGAATAACTTTTTTTTTTGTAAATTATGTTAAAATCTTGTCCTATCTTGTGCTTGTGAACCTAATCTTGTGTCTCATCTTGTCTCGTGGAAATTGTGTCTTCTCCCAGCCCTCTTATTTTTATTATAAACTTCTTTCATCCTATATCATAAAAAAGAACATAGTAAACAGACCACAGCTGATGGACTAGCACGAAATGGCCATCGGATGCTAAAAACTGTAGTAAATTGAGTAGGCGATTGAAAATATTGGCTTTTTGTACGCTGCAAAAGTTAAACTTTTTTTTTTACTTACTTATGCTACAAGTGGACTTAACATTTGAGTCCTAATTCACTGATTTTTCATGCCCAAAAGCTACAAGCATATTCACAACTTTCCATGTGAATATTAGGATGGGGTTAACACGAAAAAATGTGAGTGCATGTGAGCAAGCAGTATGAATAATGCATAAACAGAATATTTTACATGTTAGGGTTTAAATTTTGTTTCTTAAGTAAAAGTAGATACAGGGGCAAGATATTGCATCAGAAAAAGAATAATATGAGAAATTATTCTTAACCTGTTTAAAAATGTACTATTTTTAATGATAAGTGCAGTTTTGTATTGGAGAAAGAGCTGCTGCAGACCTAGAAACACACAAACCACATACACTTTTCATCCAGTGAGATTAATTTACTACCTGGACTATCTACAGCAGAGGAAATATTATCAGAGCCAAATTGCCTGTCAAGTATCATACAATCGCCCGGGTCCATTTGTTATTGAGTGTTATAGCTGCAGCGTGCCCAGGGATTTACTTCAGTTTAATCAAGCAGAGATTATTGTCTGTCCCTGAGTTAGACATATTTATTATAACTGTAATGTGAATGTGAGAGAGAGAGTAAAAAGGAGGGACTCAGACAGGTTAGACTCCCCTGAGCATTTTGACAGATGATAGATGCCTTTGAAATAATGATTTTATTTTATTTTAACTGATGTGTTTCACTGTAAAAATATCAACTTATATTTAGGGCATCCATGAATCATTTGAGTCTTTCATATATAAAATAAGTAAGAAGAGAATGTAGTGTGTTGAAATATTGCACTATTATGAGGTATACATCGATGCTAAGAGTGAAATTCAAAGTACATTTTTAAGTTCATTACATTTCAGAACTGTAGTATAGGACATTACCCAGTACAAGCAACTAATATAAATGAAAAGACTATTAAACTGTTAATGTGTTTATGTAATGTTAAACCTACTCAAAATGACAGACCTTAGGTTGGGATTTTCATATAAAATATATATCAGATTTTCTGCATTCAGAGATAATGAAATATGTCCACGACAATGATACGAACTCCAGAGTAGTGTTGTTACAATACAACAATAACAATTTTTATACTAAGGAAAAGATTCAATACTAATTTAAAAACTATAGCTAGCACAGGATACACATTTCTCCCTAAAATAGTAGTTGTTTAACACTACCACGTGGTCTTAGACTAGTTCTGATAGATAAAGAGCATTCAAAAACTTTTCAGGAAACCTACCAATTTTATAGTATAACTGTTGAAATGATGAAATGAAATATTTAGTTTTAAAACTACTGCAGTTTTTTGAATCAAATAAAGTGTCAGGGTAGTGATTTTATTGACAAGCCAACTCTAGAGCACTCATTTGTACTACATATACACTTACACTATAAAACAGAAGCACTATAGGACACTAGCTTAACAACTTGAAGCCCAGTGACTGAAAACAGCTAGCTCTCATGTCAAGAGGCTATCCTTGTCACAACAGAGTGTAGAATTAATAGGACATCATACTCCCTGCAGTGCCTCTGTATTGTCCTGCACACAATGTAATGGCTATTGATTTGTGTGACTAGTGGAAGAGGGGGAGAACAGAGTAAAGGAAAGGAGGAGAGATAAATGAATTCTAGTGAAGGGAGTGAGTCAAGTTAGTGCGCATACGAGGGAGCTGGAGGACACTTAAGGGAGACCACTAATTCAATAGAAGCTTTGTGTTACATTGTACCAGATGTGTGAAGGGCCGCAGTGAACTTTTCATCAAGTTGTTGCATGCGAACAAGAGTGTCGGAGCTGTGAAATGCTTAAAGGGCCTATATTATACAAAAATGACTCTTGCAAGCTTTAAGCCATGTTACAATGTTGTTACCTCTTCAAAAAAAATACTTGAGTTGTGTTTTGTTTCATTCACACGTTTGAATTATCCAATGATTCTAGTGAAGTTGAATAGACTTCAAAAACACAATAGAGCACTTCTTGCATGTGGTGTTTTAGGTCTGAAGGAGGAACTCAGCCTAAATATGCAACATGTGTGAGTGAAACAAAACAGAACTCCAGGCATGTTTTTGATGAGGAAACAACATTATAACATACAACAGAAAATAGCACAATATAGGCCCTTAAATAAAGAAATGTAAACAGTAGCAAGTGCGTTTCATTAGCATGTACTTACTGTCCAAGAGATAGGCTTTTAGTTTAGCTTTAAAGAGGTCTTGAGAGAAAATTGAGAGACAATAATCAGAAAAGGCTTGAAATATGAGTAGATTTATCACAGGAGGTATCAAGTGCACTTTACAACAACTACAAATCACACATGGTTTTGCTATTTGAAGACAATTTGGAAATTATACTAGATGTAGATCGATTTCCTCCTCCCAGGCGCTTTTCAGTGCATTCCAGGGCTACCTGTAGAGGCTTGACACTAGATAATAATAAAAATGTCATAAGGTTACATTTTACAAGGAGGAACTTAAAGGTGCACAATGTAACTTTTTGGATGGTGGCAGGGCCTAGAAAGTTCCACAGTATTGCAATAAATCCTATGATACCACTAGGCCAAGTTTTTTCCACTGTATTTTTTAAAGGTCCTATATTATACAAAATGAATTGTTGTGAGCTTTTAACCATGTTATAATGTCGTTACCTCCTCAAAAACATGTCTAGAGTTGTGTTTTGTTTCATTCACCCATGCTTGAGTAATCCTTCATCATTACTTAGCCTGTCTACATCTCAAAAGCTCTGTCCCACCTTGTGATGTCATGAAGCTGTAGTTTCCAAGTTAACAGCTACCTTTTATCTTTAGTTCAGTAGAAATTGGCTAAAACTATTCAAATCATTCTAATTAAGGTGTGTGGAGTTTAAAAACATAGTGGAGCACTTCCTGTACTACAGACATGGTGACACAGTGTTTTCTTTTTCATCTGAGAAAATAACTCATCCTACATATGTAGGATTTGTGTGTTTAACATGAGTGAATAAAACAAAACACAACTTTAGGAATGTTTTTGATGAGGAAACAACATTATAACAAAGTCCAGAAAATAGCACAGTATGGGCTCTTTAATGTATTCAGCATTCAAATTTCCATGGAGATGAGCATACGGTGACCTTCAACCAGAAAAGTTACATTGTGCATCTTTAAACTGAGGTATGGGAGAAAGCTGTAAAAGATGTCCCACTCACCCTCTCCTTGGGCTGCAGGGAACTCACCATCCACGTTGTAGACCTTGAGGCCAGCTAGATGTTTGGCTGCTCTGGACTTAGAGGCGGAGAGCAGCGCTGGGTTGTGGACAGGGAAATCGCAGTAGTAGTGTTCGATGATGGCCAGAGCTGCCCGCTGGATACTGGACAAAGAAACACATGCAGGAATAATATGTAAAAGTCTGTGAAATTGAAACTAGAAGAAAAATTCAAAGAGAGCTACAACAAAGGAAAGGCAAAAACATGTTACACTGTACTTACACTGGGGGAAGCAGAGTTAAAGCATTTAATTCTGTCAACTGGACATAATTCAACCTTCTATGACTGTTTTTCTAGGTATTTTTGAGCAGTAAAACCATCTGTAATTTAATAAAATAAGGTAGGGCTGTTTAATGTCATACTGTGGAAGGACATAGTGCAACTTTAAGAAAATGTAAATGACACTGTTGAAACTAATTTATGCCAATTACACAATAACCCTAAAGCAGGATTATCCCCCAAACACTATTCTAAATGTACAATATTGTTTAAAATGCAAGTAGTGAGATAGTTTGCATCAAAGCTGAGTCATAAAAAGAATTTATTCAACCCTATACAGCTCAAAGGTACACGATGGTGGAGGGTCCGCCACCATCTTATCTTCACTGAAATGTTACTGCTCTGTCTAGAACGTCCCACAGCATGGCATTAAACGTATCTTTCCATGGAAACAGGTTTTTCTTCCCTCCAGGTTAAGTTACAGTTCAGCTCTGTGGAGAGATGAGCTCACTCAGTGTAGGAACACATGTATTTCTGAACAGTAAACACCTCTATTTGAATAGTAATTATCATGACAGGTCTATATAGATGTCCATGTACTTAATACCCTTCCATTTACTTCATTTTAAAACTTCAAAATCATCTTTGAAATCCTCGATCTTCATTTAATACTATAAAAGACACAATTAAGTCAATAATTGTATGGCATCAACTAAATCAAATAAAATTACATGTTGTCTTCAATGCTAACAGGACAACACATGTTTTGCTATAACACTATAATTTCACAGGGAATTTCCCATTTGTTTGAAACCAAATGGAGAAACCAATTAGGGGCACTCCTCGTCACGCAAAAGGCACAAAAACATACGTAGAAAGGGTTCAAGAGTTCAGTGGCAATGAACAACACTGTCAACTATAAACACAGGCAACTAAATCTCTAGAGTTATAGTTAGTATAATGATTTCTGTTGTCATGATACTAACATTTCAAACATGATTTCAATAATAAGGAACTTCTTTTATATTACATGTGGTCTGTGTAATCCCTCAGTCTTCCAGGTAGGTTCCACAGTCATCCATGGGCGTATACTAGTCTGTGTGGTCTTATACTTGTTCTGATACAGCTGAAGATTATTCTAAAGCTATTCAGCAAAGGTTCATTTCTCTCCTGTAAATGTGACTTTTTAATATCGATACTTGCTCAAATGAGAATCTAGTTTCAAAACAAATTTAAGTATTGATACTTTTGACAACCCTATATAAGGCAAATATAATACGATGAGGTGCTATGTGAGTCTATGGTTAACTGATGGACAATAAATATCCCACAGGAAGAACAGAACATGGAAGAAATAATAATAGCTTTGCCCATATCAAGTAGCGTGTTTGGTCTTGTCCTACAAAACACTATCATTATATTGTCCATAAGATAGCTTCCTTTTCATGCCAACTGCATTTAGTATGTAATAATAATGTCTAAGTGTAGATACATACAAAGTGAAAGGATCGCAATATAAAGTGATTGTCTCTCTCTACACTTCACCCTCATTCACAGCCCAATAAAACCTAGGTGAATTAATTATAATGGTAGGTAGATATTAGTTTGATTGCATTGTTTAGCTTAGCCCACAGTAAATACGGTTCATCACCAGTCTAATTCAATTCACAACAAGCAGAACAGCTAGCTTAATGTGCGTCTTTTATTCTCTTAGTCATAACCTTTGACCCCCCTCTAATATGCCTACACAAAATTTGGCACTCTAACCGCTAAGTGATATCCAATGAAAAGAAAGCTAATGCACTATTAATTATTTAACAAAGCCTACACAAGATTACTGAACATTTACAACTCAATTCCTACATAAGAAACGAGATTTGTATTCAATAACACTATGTAACTCTAACCAAAAATGAGAAACTACAGTCAAAAACAGATTTAGATGTTCCTACCTGAGATGTAATTGGATATTGATTGCTGTTGCACATATCCAGCAGTGTTTTAAATCAACTTTTACAACTTTAATTTAAATAGGTAATTATGTCAACGCTACAAAATCCTTCTGTCTTTTTACCTTTGCAAAGAAGCACATGACAGTGACTATTTTTTGAAGAACAGGCAAGTAATTGTTCTGAGTACGTGTAAAGCCTTAACATAATGAGAAGAAACCACCCAAGATCTCTGTATAGATAAAATGAGACAGGAAAACACACAGGCGCAGATGGGTCATTTCCGAAAGATGCTCCCTGAACTTAATTACATTAGACTAGCCCTGAATACCATTAAGAGATATTATCATTCTGCAACTTTAATTAGTGTGGCTATTTTCTTGTTTTGCTGAGTCAAAGTTAGTGTTGCCATAAAGCTAAAATTTTAAACTCTATCGCAGAAAAATGCTTCCCAAATGATTCCCAATACATATTTTGCAACAATAATAATAAAAAATCACAATAGCAGTAGTTTGTTTAATGTTACCATAAGGTCTTATTTAGTACAAGATCGGATGATACAAATTATAACCTTGAAAACAGGACAAATCCAGTTCTGTCCTATTTATGTAATGTATCAACACTTTTCAAAGTTGTCTGATTAAATTTTATTATTGATTGGTATCTGGGAATCGGGATTTTTTTTGGCAAACCTTGTCACATTGCGGTGCCCTTTCAAAATTTTTTTCTATCAATTTACTCCCTATTTATCTATCAATAATTAAACCAAGCACTAAAAAATAAAGAAAATGAAGCTAGCTGATACACTAGCCTTCAAATGAATGAACAACTCACCAATAATGTAAACTAAAAGGAGAGGAAGAATAACAGTCCACCAAAACAAAATATTTGGAAACAGCTCACCATCTCATAAGAAGCTCTGGAATGTAACAACTAAAACAAATCACCCTGTTAAACCTTGCTCTGAGTCTGCAGTGAGGAATGCATTGATATTAACTGGTCTGGTGTGATGAGTGGACTCAGATTGGCATCAAAGAACAGACAGAGACGTGGCTTCAGGACAGGAGGACAAAAAGGAGCAGGGTTCATGATAACAGCAGGGCCGATGCCATGACAACTGGACTGTCAGAGGCTGGGAGCAGATTCAGTCCTGGTTCAGATTTAGTCTCAAACCTTGCAATAAAGAGCAGGTTTGTGAGCCTGTTTGGGTAACTCAGTGGACATCACAGCATTCATTATTTAATCCAGATGGGGGACCGCTAAAATTAATATTGATGAACTGATGGTTCAACATTTGCGTGTTTACCTTTTGGGTATTTAATTGCAAGGTACAAGGCAATCAATAAGGGAAACAGTCTTTTGCCCCCATCTGGCAGTATGACATAATCACAGAATTGGTCAATATGTAAATGTAAAGAGCGAGTTCTGGACTTTCCATGTTTGGATTGTGCAAAATATCAAAAATCGATACCCAGATACTAATCGATACCAAGCTAGCATCAAAACTAGATTTGAACAAGAAAAACATCAAATAATTAGGGCAAAACTGGATTTTTTCCAGTATTTAGTAAGGTCTTGGTTCTGTCAAAGTCTATTCTGGTGACAAGCGTAGCATAATATAACCATGCATGTGTGTCTATAAGTGCGTGTGTGCTCGTGCATGGTTCAGACCAGATGCTGTGCTGTGGCCTATAGGGAGCTTTAATTAGCCGTGTGTTTACAGTCACAGACGGAGTGCAGAGAGAGGCCATGGAGGCTATCGGCCAAGAGCTCGTCAATGGCACAATTTACAAAGGACAACACCCCCAAGGCAGTGGGTACGTACCAAGCAGACGCACGCATGTCTGACCTGCTCTGAACAATCAACTATCAAAGTGGACAAAACATGGGCGATTCTGGGAGAGGTCGATCAAGGGACACAGCAAAGGTTTCACATTTTTAAGCAAATTTCAATTATGTAAGAGGCCTTAAAGGTGCCCTGGGTGACTTTTCTGCTGGAGAATCCGTCACCTGCTATATCTATCTCCATTGAGGCAAGCAGGTGACATGACCAGGCCAATTACTGGTCAGATCTATGGAGAGGTGAGCATGTTCAATGTAATATTATCTGGTTTTCACAGTATTTTTCAGCAGTAAAATACCTACTATTGAGTAAATGCAGGTAATATACATGTAAAGGCATAATGTGGAATATTCCAGGCCAAGCAACATCATCTCCATAGAGACAACCGTCTAACTTAAAAAGTTACACAGTGCACCTTTGAGAACAAACAAGCTTGATTTCAATGTGAAAATTATTATTTCTACAAAAATATGTATAAAGTTAGACAATATGATGACTTTGAAATGATCTTGATATTGTAATTCAGTTCTTCAGTTTGTTTAATGTACCTCTATGACTAAACACAGACCCAAGCTGCCTACTTAACTTAACACCCACTCTTTTGGTCAGATTCTGGTCCCGGTTAGTTAATTGGTAAACTCTAAATGGATGATTGGCAATCTGGGTACAAGTCTTGCCTAAGGACACAAAAACAATTTCAACTAGAACCACTGTTGTCCACTGTGGCATCCAGCAGTCTCCAATCCAAGTACCTACAACACCCGGCCTTGCTTAGCTTCTAATATCTGGCGAGGTTAGACATTGACAAGCTGGTATGGTCACGGTATTTGGTCACGCCTTAAAACATGCACTCTCAGAAGAAGGCAGTTTTAATTACCATCCCAAGGTAATATTTAAAGTTATTGAAGAAGATGATGTAAACACCTGGCATGCACACACACACTTATTTATATATATATATATATTTATACATAAAAAACAATTTTGAAAGCAGATACTGAAAGTTTCTGCTAGTATCCTTGAGCCACAGTCCCAGCTGATGTGGCTTATATTTCAGCGCTCCTCCTGTCCTAAACGGTTCATCTATAAATCCTTCAGGTTTTATTGAAGGCCTCTAGCAGGAATGCCAGTGCGATCGGGGCCTGCATATTGATACTTGGAGATATGCAGTGGTTTGGTGCTGCGTTTGAGCGCCTGGGCTAAAATGGGATCTTCCTGTTTTCCCTCAGAGACAGTGAGGTCGTAAAAAACCTGGTCGGTCTAGTCAGTGCTGTACTTTCCTGATAACACGCCTTTCCCCTTCTCGCTCTCTTCCTATTTCTCTCTCTTTCTCTCTCTCATACAATTTGGGAATCTTCGTCTCTAACCCTCATATTAACTATTAATCCTCTCTTCTCTGTAGCTCTCTCCAGCCCGTCTCGTGGGCTTCTGGTTTCTGCCCACTGTTTGCAGTTCTTATCCAAAAGGCATTTCCTCTCGACGTCCTTCACTTTTTCTTTTGGCAAAGCTTCCTGGCTCTATCTTTCTATTCGCACCCACTATCACCTAAGTCACCTTCGTTTTTCCAGTGGTATAGCTCGGTTTTCAAAGGTCCCTACTGCAATAATTCTTACATTTGGTATTTGACCATCTTCTCCATATTTCTCTTAGTAGATTTGCCCCAGTTTTTGTAGTGGTTCCAGTGGTCCACAAATCTTTTCTTATCCTCTTCCTCTGTCCCCTGGTGCTATATGGTCAGCTAACTCTATCTGTCTTGTCCCTTACACTGGAATCCCCACATCTACATCTCTATGGAAACAATAGCCAAGCATGAATGTTGGACATAAAAGAATACAGTATTTTTTAGCACAATTTAACTAGATATAAAGGAATATATAAATTGATTGATCAATTCATCATTACCTTTATGTTTATATAACTGATTCAACAATAATTATTCTGGGATCGCACTGGCCTGATTCTGAATAGATCTATAAGACTACTTACACACAAAATACATCACATTTGAGACTAAACTTGGACTAAACTCAAATCTAAACCCGTACCTGACCAGGAATAAATCAGGACTGGAACGGAAATACGTATTAGGATTAAACCAGGATCAAACCAGGACAAAAAAATTTGAACTCAATAGCAAGTTGGTAAATACCTTCCTATAATTACTGGATGTCTTATACTTTGCCTCACCTTAACTGCCCCAGGTTGTAGTGGCGTGTCTCTCCGTCTGTTGACCGAGTTACAGTGACAGAGAAGTACGTTCGAAGCTGACGGAGCTCCAAAAGGACGATGGCCAGGTAGTGAATGAAGAGCAGAGCATCCACTAGAGACACAGCGTACTGCACTATCCCCTGGTAGTTCTCATCCTGAAATTATAATAAAAACATTCAATAACAAAAGTGTTCAAAGATGTATCATTTTTTGGCCTGGGGTGTGCAAAGATATCTGAAAGGAGCATGGGAAGATTAAAACTTACTTCAAACAACTGCATTTGCCTTCAAGCGTTTGGAGGAACAAACCAACAGGGAGTTTAAACCATAAATTATACAGTAAACATGTAGCATTGGGAAAACAATTATGCTTTTGTAGTATTTGATGTTAGTGCTATCCTATGAGTAACCAAATTTGACCAATTTAACTAATCAAATTCAGAAAAAGAAGCTTCACACCATAGAATGTATATATAAAAGGACATGGACAACCCGCTAGTCATTATGTTTCAAATAGGAAGTGAGCATGGGGGAATTTCCAGCTCCACTGACTCTTCAGTTGATTTGAAAAATTGTCACCCTTCTCTCTGTAACTCCTGTAGTGAGTCTCGTCATTTTGGTTTTAAAATGTTTGTATTAACTCATTCTGCATGATCCTGGTGTTTTTATTTCCCTATTTTGTCCGTAAATAAATTCCTGTTCCCAGTATGGAACTTGGCTCCAAATTTGCTCCGTAACTGCTAACCTCATTTGACTGGAGCCAAACGCTATGGGAGACATCACACTCACTTAGTCTACTTTTTTATATGGTCAATGCTTCACATTAAAATTAAATTGATACTGTCAGTAAAAATGGAAGATAACATCATTTTGAAATAACCAGAAGCTGCTTAGTAGTCAGTGTTACCATCATAAAGATATAAATTATTAATGGGTATTTAAGTATTCTTTAGATTTGTTTTCCCTTCTGGCGCTGCCACAGTAGATCAACTGACTCCTACTGTGCTGTAATACCCAAATCACAAGAAAATACTGTAATGAAAATAAGGCTAGGTAGGACTATCTATCTGACAGAGATTTGAAGCTTTGTGCAAAAATAAAATGTAAAAGAGTGAGCTTTGTGTAGTTCAAATGTACCCTTGTTTTATCATTTTTTATAACAGTAAATTGACTTACTCTCTCAAAGTATACTGAAATCCTTAAAAATAAATCACAAAACTAAACAGTTATTTAATTTTTTTTGTGATCATTTGTGGTAGCATAATTCAAAACTTCTACACATATTTATTATAGCATTTGTAAACCTGCCACAATAACAAATTTTGAAGTATGATATATTGCTGGAGAAAATACAAACGATAAATGAAAATACTGAAACTAATTTATGCCACAGACAAGCAGGACTATCCATGTAAACTATTTTCCAATAAACAGTAAGATTAGGCATTAGCCATAAACCCTAAACCTCTACAGCTAAAATCGTACCTCATTACATAAACATAGCAGAAACTTCCCCACTATTGCAAAGAATTGTACAGACGATAAAGAGTGACCCCTAAAATATATTGTTTTCCAGGTTTAATATGCTGAACCATAAGTCGTTAAAATAATTAGTGGCAGGAATAAGCACTTAAAGTGTTAAAGCCTCACCTGTGTGTCCAGTATCCTGACTCCATAGAAGAGCCAATAGGACACGACAAAAAGCAGCACCAGCACCGCGAGCAGGGCCCTGAACACAAACACGCGAGGAAGTCCAGCGCGCGGGGGCCTGAAGAACAGCGCCCACACAGCCAGCAGCAGAATGAGGAGCTTAAAGGCCACGGAGATGAACAGCCCCTCACACGCTGTCCCACAGGTCTGAAGCTTATCCGGCCACAGCACATGGGGCAGAACCAGGAAGGCCAGGGGGGTGAGGAAGACCAGCAAGCCCAGGATCACAGCCAGAGTCAGGGTGAAGTAGCGCCGGCAGTCCAGGCCCACGCTATCCTCCAGGTCCTTAGTGATCCGCACGATGTCCTCCTGAGACAGACTGTGCTCCGATGTTCCTGTGACTGCAGTGGTGGTCTCGCCCCAATTGTCATCCTTCAAAATATGAGAAAAAGAAAATATAAGTTTGTTTACTTATAATAAAACATTTTGTCTATTTCCATTTAGACTTATATAAACTTTATTGATCCACAAGGGGAATTATTTAAACATAGAAGCTCGCATATCACAATGTATTAAAACAACAAAGAGCAAAAATATAAATGGGAATAAATTCTAAATAAGTAGCAAAAATGGAAAGAGACTGATGCCAAATAAGGCATAATTATACAAATGTATATGTAAAAGCAAAAATAAAATATAGAAATATAGTAATACAAAATATATCTCGGCTATATACAAGAGTTGGGTAAGGAGAAACAGTGCTAAGTTGAAATTTTCCGATTAAAGTCAAATTAAACGCAATTATCCACTGCCATTTGCCAAGTTTCCAGTAGAGCTTGGAATTGTGGCGTTACACTGAAAAGAATTTTCAGTGGGCCTAATATTAAACCAATGGAGATTATTTAGACACTAAATACTAGCCTTAGCATTCATTCAAATGTTTTCTGACACAACAGAGTGACCCAGCAGTTTATCTGCTGCTGTTCCACTGTGCTTTTCTGTACTTTAATTTATCCCTATGAGAGTTTTACACTACTGGCACAAATATGGCGGATTTCCATAGTAACGTCCAATTTGTTGATATTCTATCCAAAGCTCTATGTGCCGCTGAGAGAACCTTTCAGATGTAATGGGTAACCACAGTGCAGCGCCCCACCTTTTGTGATTTTGAGCTTGGATTTTGAGCACTAGTCTGTATCTGAGGAATAGCCAATTGTGTATTAATGAGAGAGCCTGGAGTACTCAGAGGAAACCTACCCAGACACAGAGAGGTCATACCTTTAAAGGTCCTACATTACACAAAATTGATACTTGTGAGCTTTAAGCCATATTAGAATGTTGTTACCGCATCAAAAACATCCCTGGAGTTGTGTTTTGTTTCATTCACACATGTTTGAGTAACCCTTCATTATTAGTTCGTCTACATCTTCAAAGCTCAAAATGCTGTTGCACCTTATGATGAAAAATAAGAAAACAATTAAATATTCCCAATGTTTTTTTTGTGATTAGAAACAACCAAACAAATATCTAGTGGCTGTGACAAGTCTATGAATTGGTACGAGGCTCCATTTGTTTATCGTAACATCTAAGAGACAATACCAAGGGATTCAAGATGAAAACATCACAAGAGCACTCCTAGAATACAATTGGCGTTTTCCTGTGAGTGTATTCCCTGAGCAGTAACGTTCGCCTAAAGCACAGACTCCTCCAACTAAAGTTCACTGCTCTGCCGTAAGCTATAGCAACAGCCCAACATAGAAAACAGTACTGATTTCCACACATGTGAGAGAGAAAGGAGGATCTAGGAAGTGCACTGCAAAAACAAAATCTAGCCAAGTTAAAATTACTTGAATTAAGAAAGTTTTATTATGGTTTGAGTAAATTTCACTTGACAGTTTAAATGATCTACCAATGGAACGAGACTTTTTGTGCTTAAAATATGAAAATATATCTTGCTACACTTAAAGGTGCATTGTGTAAATATCTGTAAGAAGCTTTTCTCCATGGACATATTATTGCTTTGTCTGGAATCTTTCCCAATATGGTATTATATGTTTTTTATCAAGTTACAGATCAAATCTGTGGAGAGATGACCTCTCTCACAGAGAGAATGCCTGTTTTTCTAGGTAGTTTTGAGCTATAAAACCACCTTTAATTTCATAAATGTAAATGTAGATGTGTTTAATGTCATACTGTGGAACATTCTAGGCAGAGCAGTGACATATCCATATAAACACAAAGTTATGTAGGGCACCTTTAAGATAAGAAAAACAACAACTCTTTGCACGTGAATGTGTTGTGAATTAAGAAACACACTCATTACACTGGAAGATAATTTGATAAATAGAATCTACTAAAATAAGGTAAAGTTTTATTCAAATCATCAGTGTGGGAAAAAAAAACCAGTCAGATATTGCCAAGTCCTCTGACGTGTGCCTCCGACTGTATCCGCAGATAATAGAGGTCAGCAGAGCCAGAGCTAAATGTTATAACAACAAAGATAAGGACTCTTTACAGACCAGTCAAAACAGGCCAATGCTGCTGTGCTGTGAAGCTGCTCCTGGGGCACCCACCGCCAGCTAAAAGTGCTTTTAATGAGCTGCCACCAGTGACAGGATCTGATATTACTTACATGTTTTCCTTCACCCAGACATGCAATGGCTTTTTTTTTTTTTTCCAACATTTAACACAAGTGCAAATCTCTTTATGTTGGATTAATATCAATGACATTAGCAAACCCCAGCACACAGAGAAAGGAGATGACAGAGGGCTTTCCAAGAGATGCATTATGTTCCCAGGCAGAGAGGGAGGAGGAGGAGGGTGAAGAGGGAGGAGGAGGGGGATGGTACAGTGCAATGGAGAGTGTCCCAGTGGCCTCAGGGTTACAACAGCAGCTTTGAATGAGGTGAAGCAGAGGACTAGAGGACACACACAGTAAGCATGTCACATAGACCAATACAGTTACAATCACATCAGATCATCGGATGGACTACAAAATATTGGAAAAAATATATTATGGTGTGGTATTATTTATGCTTTTACAGTGCATATTTCAAACTAACTATTGAGCTTTAAAGGGCTCATATTACAATATTTTCTGATCTATCTAGGCTGTGTTCTTTGCTCAAACAGAAAACACCTGGTGATATCATGTGGTAATAAAAGGAAGGGTGCCACTGTGTTCGTAAACCCCATACACCTTCACTAGAATCATTTGGCTGATTTCAGAACTGGAATTGCAATCTCAACATTACTCAAACATGTGTAAATGAAACAAAACACAACTCCAAGTATGTTTTTGAGGAGGTAACAAAATCATGACATGTCTTTAAACTCACAAAAGTCGATCTTGTGTAATATATGATCTTTAAACATGAATCACAGTCTTTTAAGAGCATGTTTGTAGAGGTCTAAACTACACGGTTTAAATTATCTAGGCAATTGCAGCCTTTGTGATTTGATCATTGCTATCACAGACCTCTTCTTATCCAGATGACTTGTAACTTTGTAAATGTAACAAGGCGATACATACACGTTTTAGGCCATACTGTGGAACAATCAAGGCAAAACAATAACATCTCCATGGAGACAAGACAAGACCTTGGCAGACCCTTAAGCAGAAAAGTTACATAGTGTCTCTTTAAATGTGCATTCGCTAGTGGTCAGAGTGTTCAGTAATGGAATTTTGCCTGTAGCTTGAGGACAAACCTTTCTATCTTTAGCATCACTGCCAATCATTGCAGGAGGAATTGCAGCCGGAATGCTAACTGTCCAAGATCAGATTTTCCCATCCAGGCTCTCATATGAGCATTGGCACTCCAAACTGTCTCAGTTTCAGCTCACCTTTAACCCCACAACATGGTCGTAAATTTAAATTCTTGTGTCGGCATGGCTCTTAAAATCTCAGACAACATGAGGGCCAAATCCACCGCCCTGTTACACACACATTACATCAAGAGCCAATAGGTCACAAACTAAGATGTTACGACATAGACACAGCAAACCGCCCAGGCTGAAAGTGAAAGTGACATACAGTTAGAAACAAAAAAATGATTGATTTCATATATTGCAATATTTTTTTCCATTATGTAAATAAAACATAGATGGTGACTTATGTATGAAATATGTTGGTCAAACTTAACAAAAAGAGACTGAAATAAGGCCAAATTAGGATAAATGGTAAATTGTTACTTTTTAAAATAGCACCTTTCCACCTTCAAGGCACTCAAAGCGTTTTATATCAAGCAACCACTCACTCATTCATACATCAGTGTAAGCAGACACTGGGGGTGAGGTGGGTTAAGTGTCTTGTCCAGTGACAGTATTCATCTGTGGGAGTTGGGATCTGACTGCTCTACTATTTATGTTTATGCCAAGGGCGGGATTCGAACTGCCAACCTTTGAATCAGTGGACAAAAAAACAACATTTTGAGAATAACAGGCTTAAAATCTGTCTTCCTGAATATTTTACATCTATCTCAACATATGTGAAGAAAAAACTGTCAATTTGAAGCAAGTAGCATATGGCAACAGATTTAGTCTCTTACAATATGGATATTATGTGTCATCTGATAATGCAATGCAACAATGCATTTTATATACTCTGTCTGAGCTACCCCACTGGACAATGTTAAAGCACACAGTAACACACACACACACACACACACACATATTTTAATAATGAATGGTGCAGTGCGGTCAGTTCAAGTGAGTTGTTTTTGGACTGGCCCAGTGAAAGCCTCTTCATTAATAATGTGAGAGAGGAGAGCTCTAGAGAGGCTCTCTGTATTTCCACACAGACTGGAGCAACAGGCTGTTTACTCTCCTCTACAGCCACCCTCCCGACGCAGATCAAAACACAAAACAAACCTCATTATTCTCACTTTGTATGAGCAGACAGCAGCGTTTTACATAAGAGTCAGTTACACACAGAAGCAAGAGGCGTGAGGGTTTAACAGGGTGATAGCAGCACTCAAGCTATGAAGGGTAGACTCAAGGAGGCAGAGGAATGGTGTAGATATGAATCATTTTTATAGGGTTTAGTTCTAGTATTTGGGCACAACAATATTTAAAAAAAAGATGACAGTAAGTGACATTTATACTCTACAAATGGAATAAAATATTTTGAGTCAACCACAGTTTTAATAAAATCTATGGGAAACATTGATTCTTGACACGTGTGGATCAAAAAGAAATGTAGCAGATAGAAATACATGTGTAGTACATTGCAGAACATATCAGACAGTTGTATAATCATTAGAGTCCAGCCTGTCTGTTGTCTCTTTGGTCATGTCCAAGCTCTGAGTACATTTGAGACAGGAAATCAATAGACATTAGGTTTATGTGAAGAGGAGTTACTGAGACTGAGCACATGGATACACAGGGGAGGCACTGATCATGACAATGAAGCCCCAAGACGGATTACAACTCCA